ATAAATCTCGACTCTCAATTCCCAGTAGAAGCGGAGATATGAACATTTAAATTCAAATTTCAATTAAAATTAACATACAATTTAAAAATGTAACCTTCGGTATCTCCTAAATGGCTCAATATACAGGAACGCGCTTTTGCCTCAATATAGTCCTGTATCAACCCTATTCTCACCGTAAATCTCGACTCTCAATTCCCAGTAGAAGCGGAGATATGAACATTTAAATTCAAATTTCAATTAAAATTAACTTAAAATTTAAAAATGTAACCTTCGGTATCTCCTAAACGGCTCAAGATACAGGAACGCGCTTTTGCCTCAATATAGTCCTGTATCAACCCTATTCTCACCATAAATCTCGACTCTCAATTCCCAGTAGAGGCGGAGATATGAACATTTAAATTCAAATTTCAATTAAAATTAACTTAAAATTTAAAAATGTAACCTACGGTATCTCCTAAATGGCTCAAGATACAGGAACGCGCTTTTGCCTCAATATAGTTCTGTATCAACCCTATTCTCACCATAAATCTCGACTCTCAATTCCCAGTAGAAGCGGAGATATGAACATTTAAATTCAAATTTCAATTAAAATTAACTTAAAATTTAAAAATGTAACCTTCGGTATCTCCTAAATGGCTCAAGATACAGGAACGCGCTTTTGCCTCAACATAGTCCTGTATCAACCCTATTCTCAGCATAAATCTCGACCCTCAATTCCCAGTAGAAGCGGAGATATGAACATTTAAATTCAAATTTCAATTAAAATTAAGTTAAAATTTAAAAATGTAACCTTCCGTATCTCCAAAATGGCTCAAGATACAGGAACGCGCTTTTGCCTCAATATAGTCCTGTATCAACCCTATTCTCACCATAAATCTCGACTCTCAGTTCCCAGTAGAAGCGGAGATATGAACATTTAAATTCAAATTTCAATTAAAATTAACTTAAAATTTAAAAATGTAACCTTCGGTATCTCCTAAATGGCTCAAGATACAGGAACGCGCTTTTGCCTCAATATAGTCCTGTATCAAACCTATTCTCACCATAAATCTCGACTCTCAATTCCCAGTAGAAGCGGAGATATGAACATTTAAATTCAAATTTCAATTAAAATTAACATACAATTTAAAAATGTAACCTTCGGTATCTCCTAAATGGCTCAAGATACCGGAACGCGCTTTTGCCTCAATATAGTCCTGTATCAACCCTATTCTCACCATAAATCTCGACTCTCAATTCCCAGTAGAAGCGGAGATATGAACATTTAAATTCAAATTTCAATTAAAATTAACTTAAAATTTAAAAATGTAACCTCCGGTATCTCCTAAATGGCTCAAGATACAGGAACGCGCTTTTGCCTCAATATAGTCCTGTATCAACCCTATTCTCACCAAAAATCTCGACTCTCAATTCCCAGTAGAAGCGGAGATATGAACATTTAAATTCAAATTTCAATTAAAATTAACTTAAAATTTAAAAATGTAACCTTCGGTATCTCCTAAATGGCTCAAGATACAGGAACGCGCTTTTACCTCAATATAGTCCTGTATCAACCCTATTCTCACCATAAATCTCGACTCTCAATTCCCAGTAGAAGCGGAGATATGAACATTTAAATTCAAATTTCAATTAAAATTAAGTTAAAATTAAAAAATGTAACCTTCGGTATCTCCAAAATGGCTCAAGATACAGGAAGGCGCTTTTGCCTCAATATAGTCCTGTATCAACCCTATTCTCACCATAAATCTCGACTTTCAATTCCCAGTAGAAGCGGAGATATGAACATTTAAATTCAAATTTCAATTAAAATTAAGTTAAAATTTAAAAATGTAACCTTCGGTATCTTCAAAATGGCTCAAGATACAGGAACGCGCTTTTGCCTCAATATAGTCCTGTATCAACCCTATTCCCACCATAAATTTCGACTCTCAATTCCCAGTAGAAGCGGAGATATGAACATTTAAATTCAAATTTCAATTAAAATTAACTTAAAATTTAAAAATGTAACCTTCGGTATCTCCTAAATGGCTCAAGATACAGGAAGGCGCTTTTGCCTCAATATAGTCCTGTATCAACCCTATTCTCACCGTAAATCTCGACTCTCAATTCCCAGTAGAAGCGGAGATATGAACATTTAAATTCAAATTTCAATTAAAATTAACTTAAAATTTAAAAATGTAACCTTCGGTATCTCCTAAACGGCTCAAGATACAGGAACGCGCTTTTGCCTCAATATAGTCCTGTATCAACCCTATTCTCACCATAAATCTCGACTCTCAATTCCCAGTAGAAGCGGAGATATGAACATTTAAATTCAAATTTCAATTAAAATTAACTTAAAATTTAAAAATGTAACCTTCGGTATCTCCTAAATGGCTCAAGATACAGGAACGCGCTTTTGCCTCAATATAGTCCTGTATCAACCCTATTCTCACCATAAATTTCGACTCTCAATTCCCAGTAGAAGCGGAGATATGAACATTTAAATTCAAATTTCAATTAAAATTAACTTAAAATATAAAAATGTAACCTTCGGTATCTCCTAAATGGCTCAAGATACAGGAACGCGCTTTTGCCTCAATATAGTCCTGTATTAACCAAGTTTTAGTTCGATATATTTTTAAAGTCAAATTAGATATCATTGACATTTCGTCAATTATAATAAGAATAACATCTTTGAATAAAAAAATATCATAGTATGTAGAATATATACACATTCGATATGTATATTTTATAGTGAAGGTTTATCATTTATTATAATACTATATAAACTTAAATAAAACATATACGTACACCGTACATATATAGAGAGAATTTACAAGTACATTATATTATAATTACATAATATTATAATAATAATTATTATTATTATATATACGAGAGTAATTGCAGATTCATAAAATGTCTATGATTACTAGTCGGATGATGGCGGATCGTAAATGCCGAGCGCGAAATTCCGACTTCTTATTCCCGGAAAATTCGTGAAAACGATTCGTCAAACGAAAGGCAAAAAGTGTCATTGCTCGTGAGCCGATCAACACAATCGGCACGATGTAAACATTGCGGGCCTCGGCGGCGGTTGAAGCAAGAGAGACTTGCCCTTGGGCATCTTTTCTTTTCTCGAAGGTTCCGGGACAACGAGGGGAATGCGAGGAGGCCTTTCAACTGTACGCGACATTGATTTACTACTTATTGATTACTGAAAATAAAGAAAATTATTCTGTCGAAGCATCGGATATTTGTTAGCTTTATGTTAATTAAAGAGGAATGTGTACGATTAGAAAATATGTGAGCAACTAATTGTACAGAATGTCAAAGTTGTTGTAACGCCGTTTTCGGAGAATAATTAAAGGTCATGGTAGCTTTAAAGAGTGGAATTTCATCTCATGCGAATTTTGTCTCGTTCTTGTTAAATGTTAGATTATCCGCTGCGGACAATAACTCTTCTATTTTTCATCTAATATTCAATGATAATAAATAACATTTAATTGCATTCGTTTGGCTTTCTTATTTCGAAAATAAAAAAATATATACCAGGGTGAGATTTCACCCATGACAACATCAACGTGATTTTCTTTGATGCTTTTTTTAAAAGTTCAAATATTTCGTCGACTCGCGGGATATTTCTAATCGGAGTCTCGTCGCGTTAATTAACATGTGTTTCTGCGAGCGGATCGAATGCTCACCGATGGCCACTGTCAGTGCCACGAGCGAATGTCCGGAGCGGACGGGATGCTGAATTGTGAAGCAGGACGAAGGGAATGGGACGCGATACATCATGCGTCTCCAGACGTATCAAATCGTTTATTATACAGGAGACTTTGATACGGCAACATGTATGTAGAGGATTTAATATTTAATATGTACTTTTATTTTTCCTGCTTCCCCCCCCCCCGCTCTTGTTAGACCTTCAGGCATAGTCTGGCATAGAGATGGTAACTATGGTTGCAGCACGGACACAAACCACCTGAAAGTGGATGTAGCACGGACTTCCACCACATGCAGATTTTACAACCAAGACTTAAAAGTGGATGTAGCATCGTAGTTCTCCTCTCAAAATGGATGCAGATGGCGCCCATTTCAGTGCGAAAAATCGGTGTCGCCGAAAACGCCGTGTTGGCCGCTCTTAGCTTCCTCTCTGCTAATAGCTTATTGTAGAAGGCCCATTAGACTAGAAGGTCTCTATTGCAGACTCTTAAGCCAGCGGCACACGGTGCTTGTTTTCGTGCTGGATTGCTTGCTGGATGAAAATACTGCGTTCTGATTGGTGCATTTCCATCCATCTTCGGAAATGTACCAATCACAACGCAATATTTTCATCCAGCAAGCAATCCAGCACGAAAACAAGCATCGTGTGCCGCTGACTTTACACCCATATTCATAGTCAGGCCTTATATTTAAAACTTCCTTAAGTTTATCTTCAGATGGTCTGTAGCCAATAAAATAATCAGTGCAGCATCTAAAGATGGATATAAGGAGGCCTCAAATAAATACGGGTATTAAGCCAGCGGCACATGGTGCTTGTTTTCGTGTTGGATTGTTTGCTGGATGAAAATACTGCGTTCTCATTGGTACATTTCCGAAGATGGATGGAAATGCACTAATCAGAACGCAGTATTTTCATCCAGCGAACAATCCAGCACAAAACAAGCCGTGTGCCGCTGGCTTCAATCGAAACTGATTAAAGTTATCTTTTGTACATTATTGTACTTCATTTAGGCTAAAAGCAGATTCACATCTTGGCAGAAAAACAGAAAGGCAGCGTCCAGTCAGAAATCGCACTAATAGCCTATCTCTCTCTTCTTTCTCTCTCAAGAGAGAGACAGACTATCAGTGCGACTTCTGACTGGATGTTGCCTTTCTACTTTCTGCTTTTCTATTAAAGTGTGAATCCGCCGTAATTTACATACATATGGTCTGTTCTTTGTAGCTGCACTGCTGAACTGGTGCAATAAGCTAGAGTGAGAAAACCTATATTTGTCTCACTTTAACTTATTGCACCAGTTCAACAGTGCAACTACAAAGAACAGACCAATTATTAGTAGATTTTCCATGTTTGCATTGTGCAGTTAACCCATTTGAATAAGCCTTTAAATTTAATTAAGACCATTTGGAACTTGGAACTTGGAATATTATCTATACAGTTGTACTTACTACAATTGTATGTACCAAGTTGGTCTTGAGTGAAAATATGTAACTACAATATAAAAGAAAGAACCATTGAATATGTGTCAAATATTACACTAAGATATTTGTGTTATAAAACAAACATCTTCTGATATTAAAATCTTTCTAAATATATCTGTACAAGGTATATTTCAATCAATTATATTCCACTTATAAATTATAGCTATATTTTTAAAAATATGTATTATTTTTATCATATGCTTGTAAATTATATTTAGTTAATAATTTTACTTTATATATTTATATATAAGTAAATATAACAAGTATTTGTGTTGTGTCTTGTTATTTCTAATTAATATTACACAAGTTTTTACAATTATAGAACTAATTTTTAGAAAGAAAGGAATTTTGCTAATGTAATAATAAAATATCGATGAAATTATATAATATCTGATATATGAGCCTTCTGTCATTTTAGTTACGTCTATTTAGAAAAGTTTTAGTTTCAAATTGCCATAATTGAATTCATATATCATAAAGTCTTAGCTGTAGCTTAGATAAATATAAATAAATATATAGTTATATCTAATATATCTTTATAGATATTTGGAGAATGGGTTGGAAATTTGAAGTCGCTAAAATGTTTATGTATGTATCATTTCCTGTTGGAATATTTCATTATTTTAATCAACCAAAAAATTATGAAGAATGGGTAATAAAAACAAAGAAAGAGTATTTTCCACCTCTGAGTAAGCAGTTGATGGAACAAGTGGACAAGTTTATTTATGATTTCAATGCTGAAGCTCAGAAGAAACGGTTGGATGAGATGGAAAGACAATACAAAAGCAAACCATGAAGAAAATGTATATTGCTGTAATATTTTTAATTATATGATGTTAATTACATATTGTAAATATATTAACATAATTAATAGAAAGAAGAATAATAGAGCTCACTTTTAGTTTTATAGTAATTATTTTATATAAAAAATACAAATTTTTAACAACTTATAGAACAGAAGCTCTTAGTTAAATCCAATAAGAATATGTTTTTGAACGAGAAACCAAAAATATTTTCAAATCTTTATTCATTAATTGTCTGAAAAATTATATTAAACATTATACTAAACAATTATAAAATGGAAATAACTTCATCAATTTCAATAGTTTTAAACTTAATGTATCATTAAAATCATGATTATGATTAACTTTCAAAAGATTTTAGCCCTGTCAGTCTTTGTTCATTGATAAAGGGAACATAAAACCCAGTCTAAATTTATTAAAAATTTATTAACAAAAGGAGTTTGAAGAAATTTGAATTAACATCAATATGTAAAATCATCAATATGTCAAAGACGTAATCATTGATCCAGGATTAAAAACTCAATTTTTACTTATAAATCTTCAATTTCCAATATATATTTATTCAATAATTGAATTATACTATTCTCTATCAGTGCATAAATTTATATAACTTTTGTGAAAAATCAGTTTAGGTTTGGACTTCTATATGCAAAACAAATCAGTTGGATATGTTTACAGAGTATCAAATGCTGTTCCATTTCATTTTATTTGTTTATATTTTTCACAATTTGATATAACAATCTTAGCTTATTTTTGTATTTTCAGTTTTAGTCTAATAATCACAGACATTAAAGGTCTTGAACTTGGGTCTATGTTAGGAGTGAGAGTGAGAAGGAGCGAAAGAGAAAGGAGGGAAGGAGAAAGACAGGAGATGGTGTATGAAATATATATATATCCTAATTTTCACATGGCTGTTCTTTTCGTTCTTTTTGTCGTTTGTTCGGTATATGGCTTTAGGTAGAAAGGTGTACCCATATGCTATTCTCCTGTTCTTTTTGGTTGCGTTCAGAAAACAAAGCGCTCACTGAGCGCTTAGTAACTATTGGTCCTTACTGTTAGATCCTTACAGACTACTAACGTTGACGAATTACTCAACCGTTGTGTAACCGTTGTGTTTTCTGAACATAGCCTTTATCTTCTTCTTCAATAGATGGCTCTGTGCATACAATAGATGCTCTTACGCCACTCACCAGCCTTTGTCTACATTGCTGAATTGGTACAATAAGGCCTGGTCTACAATAGGTGTTGTAAGCTGTAAGGAATGACCAATTATAGCTGATTATTTTTGTAATAATCAACTGTAATTCGCAAATTCTTATGGCTTACAACTTAGGATACGGATTGTAGACCAGGCCTAAGTTAGAGTAAGATAACTATATATCAGGTATAGTAAAAAGAAATCCATTATTTTTGCATGAAATTGAAGGCTTTAATTACCATAGTTAGAATGATCCGATTTAGGTCAAATATGCGCCGTTTTGTTCGATAACTTGTTGCCATTTTGAAGGTAATTTCATTATGCCTCTCTCATAGAAGCCCTCGTCCCTATTGGCAAAAAATTGAGACAGTCGATTTTCACAAGCCTCTCTTGAAGCGAATTTTTCACCAGCAAAATTGTTCGCCATGGACAGGAACAGATGGTAATCACTTGGTGCCAGGTCCGGACTATAAGGTGGATGCATAAGAACCTCCCAACCAAGCTCCCGGAACTTCTGGCGAGTCACTATCGATGTGTGTGGCCTGGCGTCGTCCTGATGAAACACAATTCCTCTCCTATTGGCCAAAGCTGGCCGCTTCTGAGCGATTGCTTCCTTCAGACGGTCCAATTGTTGACAGTACAGTTCCGAGTTAAGAGTTTTGCCGTAGGGGAGCAGCTCATAGTAGATAATTTCCTGCCAATCCCACAGCACTGCCAAACACACAGCAAAACCTTCCTGGCCGTCAATCCTGGCTTGGCCACCGTTTTCGCTTGACGTTGTCGTAAGTGATCCACTTTTCATCACCAGTGACCAACCGCTTCAGAAATGGGTCGATTTTGTTGCGATTCAGCAGCGATTCGCAGATGGAAATTCGGTCCATGAGTTTTTTTTGGTTAACTTGTGTGGCACCCATACATCGAGCTTCTTTTTGTATCCAGCCTTATTCAAATGGTTCCAAACGGTTTTTGTGCAATCTTTAGCTCTTGGGCAATCGAAACAGTACTTACATGACGGTCGGACTCGACAATGTCCATGATTTTATCGATATTTGCGACAATTGGCCTTCCAGTGCGTGGTGCATCTTTGACATCGAAATTACCGGAACGGAATCGACGAAACCAAAATTGCGCGTGATTGGCTGTTACAGTATCAGGACCACAAACACTATTCACATTTTCAGCCGCCTGGCTTGCGTTTTCGCCTTTATCGAAGAAAAACTGTAAAATATAGCGTATTTTCTCTTTGCTAGTGTCCATCTTTGACGCGCGCTCAAACAAAACTGAGTCAACTAATCACAAAACTGTCAGAAAAGTTTTTTTAGTACGAAATCTCATCTTTCTAACGCCATCTAGTGGAACCCGATCGGACTTATACAACGCGAGATACAGATAACTAAAGCCATCTATTGGAAAAATAATGGATTTCTTTTTACTACACCTGATATTTTCCCACTCTAACTTATTGCAGAAGTTCAGTAGTGCAGCTAGAACAACCCTTAACCCACAATCAGACATAACACTAAAGGCTCGTCTACAATAGCTGTAAGAGTAAGGCTGTAAGGCTGTAACGTAAGCTGTCAGCGAATGAAAATATTTCATTTCGTGTCTTGCAACCTTACAGCCTTACTCTTACAGCTAATGTAGACGAGCCTTTAGGGCAAGAGCACAGGCTTTTGCATAACACATAATACATAACACATTAGAGAATAAACCAATTAGTTTTCTTCATTTCCCTCCTCAGGACAGAAATAAAGAACTCTGATTGGTTGATTCTCTTATGCATTGGCCGCGTTCAGTAGACTCAACAGTTGGACAACATTACTAGATTTTTCATCGAATCTCGCTCCTGATTGGTAAATACTTCTGGCTCTATGAAGAATCTAAAAGAATGCTCCAATCACAGACACTAATCACTAAGCGCTCACTGATCACTTTGTTCTACTGAACGCGGCCACTGTGTATTATACCTCGTTTACAATAGAAGTCATAAGGCTCGTCTACATTAGCTGTAAGAGTAAGGCTGTAAGGTTGCAAGACACGAAATGAAATATTTTCATTCGCTGACAGCTTACGTTACAGCCTTACAGCCTTACTCTTACAGCTGTTGTAGACGAGCCTATAGAGTCGTAAGTCGTACAAATTGACCAATCGCGGTCGATTATTTTTCTCTTACCGGACTATGATTGGTCAATTTCTACGACTTACGGCTCTACGACTTCTATTGTAGACAAGGTATTATGCGTTATTAAGGCTGCGTTCTGATATTCACTGCCAGTATTGAAAATATATACTTTATGTCACATATATTATAGATTTTCAGTACTGGCAGTGAATATCGGAACGCAACCTAAAGCCAGCGGCACACGGTGCTTGTTTTCATGCTGGATTGCTTGCTGGATGAAAATACTGCGTTCTGATTGGTGCATTTCCGAAGATGGATGGAAATGCACCAATCAATCACCAGCAGTATTTTCATTCAGCAAGCAATCCAGCACGAAAACAAGCACCGTGTACTGCTGGCTTTAGAAGTCTGTGCTCTGGCCCTAACAATCACTTATTACCGGCCTTTAAACGATAAAAAAATACATATTTTCTAATACTTATTTAAAAAATGAGTATTGAATATACTTTTTTAAAAGAAATTGACTGTAAACAAGGTGCCATCAGATCTGTACGATTTAGTGGTAAATAAATTAATGTTATTTTTTACATATTGTATTTTTATAGGTTATATATATTTTATAGGTTATATATTAACGCATATTTTCATATTTTAGTTGACGGTTCTTATTGTATAACATGTGGATCAGATAGAAGGTTAAAATTATGGAATCCATATAGATCCATTACGTTAAAAACATATAGTGGACATGGTGACGAGGTTATGGACGCTTGTGCGTCCTGTGACAGTAGCCAAATTGTATCCTGTGGATTGGATAAGTCTATAATTCTTTGGGATGTAGCAACAGGCACACCCGTACGCCGGTTAAGAGGACATGCTGGTCCAGTAACAACAGTGAGGTAGTTTTTTATCACTTATCTGCTTAGATAATTAAGTCTACAGAAGTAGGTTTTGCGCAGTATGCTGTAAATTCTATAGATAACTTATTGCCAAGAATCTAATCAAGATCTGCTAGTATATCAGATTATGATTTGTCATAATATTTATGAAAGAAATCTAGCAAGATATATTGTCACATAACCAGTTAAATATACTTAAATAGAACATATTCCTATGTATCCAATCAGCTGTTAAGTTATTTCAACAGGCTTTGCCGATGAAACATGAACTTAATGCAAATGCAGATGCTTTCAGCAGGCTCTGTCAATAAAACATGAATAGATGCAGATAGTTATGGATCTACTTGATACTTTGACTAAATTTGTTACCAATTTGCTGGCATACTAATATTTCGCTTATTGAAAAATAAATTTGAAGTTAAAAAATAAATTTATACAATCATAATTTGTCGAACATATAATATTAATTATTACATACTAATATAATTATATATTATATATAAGTATATACTAATTAATATGTACTAGATATACTGTTTTGTTAAAATTATCTTAAAATAGCTAAAAGTATCTAAACTAATAACATGTTCAGCAAAATTTATATAGTTCAAAAACTTTTAAATTTATTTATTTAACTTGGCATCATTGAGGCTGGATCATGATGACCCATTTTTAATTAAATTAAATATTATTAAATTAAATATTAGCCATTAAATATTTCATCAAATTATTAAGAGACTACTGTTCGGTAAAAGTTACTAACTTTTCATATTATACATAAACTTTTATATAAATAGTCTTTACAATGTATTCTTTTATCTAATGTACTTGGATAAATTAAATTTTATGGTTTTTGTTACAATTGCAGATTCAATGAAGAGTCATCAATGATAATTTCTGGATCTCGAGATAACAGTGTTATGTGTTGGGATGGACGATCTAAAGCACAAGAAGCTGTACAAATATTAAATGATGCTAAAGATTCTATTTCAAGTGTAAGAACTTCAGATCATGAGATTTTGTCTGCTTCTTTTGATGGAAGAGTACATACTTACGATATACGTATAGGAGAATTTTGCACAGATTTTATGGGAGGTAAATAAGAAAATTTAAAAATAATTATATATGCGAATAATTAATAATTTTATTGATAAAACGAAAATGTTTTTCAGATGCTGTTACGTGTGCAAGTTTTACCAGAGATGGCCAATGTTTGGTTGTTAGTTGTGCAGATGAAGTGGTTAGATTAATTGATAAAGATACTGGGGAATTACTTGGTGAATTTACAGGACACAGTGGAAAGAATCTGTGTTTAGAATCAAGTGTAGACTATCAAGACACAAGAATTTTTTCCGGCTCTGCAGATGGCAAATTATGGATTTGGGATCTTGTATCTCAGAAAGTGGTTGCAAAACTTTCGGGACTTAAGCCAACTAAATATCCAACTGTGTCTATAAGTGTTCATCCACAGAAAAATTGTATTTTGGCCTCCAATGGATATAATGTATTAATGTGGAGTTCCTCCACTCATATAGATAATGAGTAATATTCATATTTATATCATAAGTAGAACTTTATATATTACAACAGAGTGAATACCGAATTATTGATTATTTTGTGCTCTCTTTTTTTAATATTTAAATTTTATACTTAAAACATAAATGATGATATGTGTATTTCTTAGAATCATTTAACTATAGGTCTGTTCTTTTGTAAAGAATTTCTAAACTAATGCAATAAGTTAGAGTAAGACAAATATATTTTCTCTAACTTATTGCACTAGTTCAGATATTCTTTGAAAAAGAACACACCCATTAATTAAATATTTTTGTGCATATAAATTGATAAAAAATCTCTCTAATGAGGTCACTAACTCAAATAATATATATAAATATATATATTCATAAGTTATGCTATTTTATATATTTTGATACATAAAATAAATTCTTTCAATAATATTAAAATATTTTTATAGAGCGACAAAGGGATATTCTTACACATATATCACGCACGTGATATACACACGCGGATGTGCGCGCACACGCACACAGCGTTAGATATTGACGTCTGTAGGAAGTAAACAACTAAAATAGAAATGTCACTCGATTAATAATTAGAAAACAAATTTTTGGGAATAATGCCCAATTCGTACACAGATATAAACTTGCATGCATGTATAATGAGATTAAAGACTATATGCACTCATTTGAAAAAAAATTTAACATTAATCTTTCTAAATTTTTTGGAGTAAAATTTTATTTAAGAAATGGAATTTTTCTCTTTTACGGAGTGAACTCTTTTATTCTTATATCATGAAGTAATTTTCATTTTTATTCGCGATTGTGAAGAACGAATCTAATATATCCTATATTATTTTAACATGTATGTTACAAGCAAGATGATCAAGTTTTAAGCCTTATCTATGATTTGTTTCCTGTTTCTTTCTTTTTATCTCTTTTTTAACCTCTTTTATCTCTTTTTTTATCTTTTTTAAACTTTATATCTATAGTATATTGTACATCAGGCTTTGTCGTTGTTATCACTTTTTTCAGTATAATTACATTTCAGAAATGTATAGTTGAATAAAAATATTAAGAAAACTATTCCATCTCTCTTAAATATTTTAACTGTAATATTTTAACCTGAAAAAACCTTATTAATTTATTATTATTGATATTACTTATTGATATTACTTATTATATATAATTAATTAATATATAATTATATTACAAAATATAAGTGAAATTTCATAAATTATTTTGGAATTATATATAAACAATGCAAAATGTATTTAATGATCAAAGTGAAAGTAAAAAGTATATCTGACTCAAAATTCAGAAGTTCTGAATTCCATTTTGGTCAAGTATGAATATTTTTCAAGTGTAATAAAAATGGAATTGATTAAATGACAATTGAGACGCAATTGAGAAGATCTCGAACATTTTTGACAGTACTATTGTCAATCATAATTCCATCTTATATTTAAGCTCATCAACTTTACCTTAAGATGTTACACATATTGTTTTATCGGTTCATATATAGCATCTTAAAATACATAGCATCTTAAAATCAAATGATCTTAAATATTACACTATAAGATTACATTGCGAGTATTGCTCTATATTTAGTTAAAATTCAGGAAATTATTCATATATATGAATATTTATAGAAAGTATGTATTATTATTAATATCAAATATGAATGTATATATATGTTGAAGTTTCAAAATTTGAAGTGATTAATTTAATATAAAGAACATAAAAGTAAAATTTTCATTAAAATTTAATAAAAATATATGTATAAGATTTTTGTAGTTGTCAATGTTAAATATGATATCCAAATTAAAAAATATAAAATTTGTGTATATGTGAAGAAAAGGATTCTGAGAGAGAGAGATCTGTGATCTAAAGAATTCTAGCATATATAATTTTACAAAATTGATGACATTTTCACCTTCATATTTGTTATATTCAATGAACCCACACAGTTTTACATCCAAAAATTTGAATGCTATATTTGACATTAACAATCACAAAACTTATGTATGTACCTTCACAAGATTTCAATTAAATTCTCATTTTTGTGTTCACCAAATTGAAATTTGGATTATAATATATATTAATAACTTCAGCAACATTACAAATTTCTGTATATTTTTATTTTTTTTTATATGTAAATTTTTATATCACATATATAGTTTTTTAGCCTACTGAGAAATATAAACATCGAGTCTTTTTCGTTTATTTTTCAAGAAGTCAGAAGAAATATAGGTTATATTGATAGCAGAGTTATAGAGTGATAGCGTATATAGCAGAATTAAGATAGAATTAAGATTGAGTTAGTGTTGAGCTGTGTCATGTTAGGCACAACTGTATTGTATGCGTACATATATGTTCAGAGATTCATCGTATATGATGCGCGTGAATGTAACTTTAGCGCGTGTACGTATTTAACCGCGGTGGGAAGAAGAGAACACGTTCTCGCACCCGAATGCGAGACAGAGTGAGAGAAACGAACGTGCGCGCGCAGGTGGCGCGATGTGGTGCGTCAGTCAGTGTCGGTGCAGTCTCGCCCGGGAGTGCGAGAGAGAAATTTAGTGTTTTATGCTGGGTAATTGAACGTAGTAGAGGCAGATATCAAAGAGTGAGAGAACTGGTTGAATCGCTTCGAAAGAGAGAAATAGGCAAGAGAAAGAAGGACAGATATATCACGTAAGACGTACTGCGATGTCCGCACACGGGGCGAGCCGGTCAATCGCGCCACTTCGCGGAGTGTACGTTTAATCGCATATAATTTCAAGCAAGAAGACAGGCCGAAGCCTGAATAAAGAGATTAGGGTAAACGAGAGGGAATGAGCAAATTACTCGGCTTAACAAGTACCGGTGCGAAGTAGTGGCTGGACCACATGGTAGCTTTATAAGCTGTGTTAGTGATCGTCTTATTCGGTAAAAGCACACATTGTTATTGTTGTTGATCGATATCCATTGCGAGAAAAAGAGGAGATAAATAGGCAAGCAAGCAAGAGAGAGAGAAAGAGAGAGAGAGAGAGAGGGTGGGTGAGAGGGAGAGAACTTTCGTAGCAGAAAGCACCGAGAGGTTGGCAACGGTGTGGCGCTGGGTGGTGGTGGTGGTGCACTGTGACACAGTGGTGAAACGAAGGCACGAAGGACACGGCCGTGAGTAGGAAGAGGGTTGTTATGGGGCGAGACTTCTGTGGTGTGCTGCTGTTCATCGCGCTGGCCGCGTTGGCTGCGCTAGTAAGGGCAGATGCCTTTTCGACGGAAAGTAAGTCTACGATATTGTTTGGGCATGAAATATCTTCGGAGCAAAGTTAAGGAGTCAGAGAGGAGGGCAGCGCAAGCTGTTCCTTGAGCTTTCTTAGTGTACCTATTCCCACTAGTCCCTCGTAGAATCCGATGTCATGTCGCATGTTTTTATCAATTTTCAATCTTTTTCGATACATCGCGGTGATTTTTTTAATTTCTCAGTTATGCTTCGTCTTCACTTTCGCGCCATCGTCCACGACCTCCCCCTTCCGGGTGCGTCGATAAGAGACAGGATTCCCACAAACGATGTCCCATGCGAGTTTTAAAGCCTTCGTATCCGACAGTCTCTCATACGTTCTCTCTAGGATAGATTTATTTATTGCGAATTATCGCCGCTGGTGCACATCATGGAGATATAATACGTTTGTTTACGACTGTTATCGGAAGTGCGTCTAAATTGTTAGCGTCACTGGCATTTGACGTCGTACAACGTTCGTAAGACATGCATAAAACGTTAATATTTGCGCATGAGTCATATTTTATTCTGAATACTCTTTCTTCGGGCTAATGCTATTCGTTTATGAGATCTGAAAAACACCGGCGAAGGCGAGGGGGAGAATTTCATGGCGGTCGTTTCAACCCTGAGTCTCTCCTTGAAATTTCCTATTCTAAATTGCATCACGCGAATATCGCTATGCCAACAATGCAAATTGTGTTTCGGGAATTACGCTTTTGCGTTTATTTTATCAGTGAATTATATCACATTGTATTCGTATTTTGAGTTATTAAGATACGTATTATTGTTAAAGAAATTCTCACTTATGTGTGTATACAAGCTGGTCTCTAACATGTAGTATAACTATAATTGTCAACTTCTCGTATATATAAGTGCGCGTAAGGTTAAAAGTCATAGGAACCGTAAGAATTATAACAATTATATGATTTTTAGTCTTATGTATAAATGCGCAAGGTCGAAAATCGTACAATTGTAATTGTAGTTGTATTAAGGCATATGTGATGCCTGATATATAGCTGACTTAAAACTTATATTAGGGTTGCTGCGATTTTCAATTGCATGTGTATATTTAGACGTAAAACGCACATCGGACGTCATATGTGCCTTGATGTTGTAACTAATACTAAGCTATACTATTTTCAGTCTTATACATAATGCGTAAAATAAAACAAATCGTAGGAAACCTCAGGGAATCGTGCACTTGTATTATTGTTTTGCATTTGGCGAGATTTATTTCAGAGCGCTGGGTAAATTATGCTTTAATGATAATAATAAATAAATGATAAGAGATGTGTGACATCTGATGTACAGCTGAAAATTGTTACTAAATGTTAAGGCATATACGGCAGTCTGTACTACTGGTTGGTAATAATAATAATCACATAAAAATTATAATTTTTAATCGTTTATATATACATACATATGATTAAATCGAATACGATTACATACGAAAATCGTAGTAAGCTCTGTAAAACGTAGTCTACAATGACAGTAAGCAGTAAGAAGTAAGCATAAACGGTAAGAAATAAACCAATCACAGTCGACTATGACAAAAATAATCAACTGTAGTTGGTCCATTTCTTACTGTTCACGCTTACTTCTTACTGCTTACGGCCATTGTAGACCACGCTTTATATAACTGTTAGGCCTATGGCATACACAAAAGCGTAAACAGTAAGATATAAGTAATAAGAAAATTGGCTAATCGTAGTTGAATATTCGCGTGGACCATACAAAAATAATCAATTGTGATTAAACCGCTTGTTTACATTTTACTGCTTATATTTTTGTGTACCATGGACTTTAAGGCTGTCACATCGACCAATTACGTTCGTGCATATTACATATATATTACATATGTACATTCGTATGTTACATGTTAGGTATTCGTATGTGCATAACGCGTCAAGATTTTTGCGTGTCTCGTTTTTATCCGTGACTATCACAAATCTCTCGCAACATTCCAATAGAATGCGAGTGAACCCTTGAAAAAAATATGGTGGCAACGACCTTTATGACTTGACCGGTGTTACGTGAAGGTGCATGTTATATAAGACCAACAAGCGTACAATGTCAGCGTGCAACATTACAGCGCTTTTGTTTTGTTAATCTTCGTTTTTACTCGCTTTTTTCAGCTGTTTTTATATATACTTTTGGCCAAAGTAAATACACGTAACATCATTAATGCCTGAACATTTACTAGATGAAGAGTTATTAGACATTTTTGGTCAGACATATTTGTTTTACGCATTTATTATGATTGTTGATCATTTAAAATGTATATTTTTTTACTGCTTATGTTTGTTATTTAACACTGAAACTAAGAAAAAGATTACCTTACGCGCAATGAATTTGAAACTGAATATACATATCATATTCAATCAGTATTTTCAATCAGTTTCTCGTTACTTTCTATCATCTTTTAGATAATCGTTTAATTCTATGTTTGTAAAATAATTCATGTCTTTAGCCGATCAAATTACTGACGATGTAATAACAAATAAAAGATACGATAAACCTTTGTTGTAAGGATATTTCCGGGTTAAAATGCGCGAGTTAGAATACAGCAAAATATAATCATATTTGCAAAGTATAATTATATTTCATTGTTACTTGAAAAAATAGCAGCGTAACCTTGTCGACCAATTCATACAGACAGGTTATAACATTTGATTTTATCGTTACTATCTCTCTCCGACATTTAAATATGTTGATATATTAAATAGGTTGATATATCGTCGTCTTCTAATAGCATTTAGCTTCTAATAGCGTCTAGCATCTCTCTGATTATAGCAGCGTAACCTTGTCGACCAATTCATACAGACGGGTTATAACATTTGATTTTATCGTTACTGTCTCTCTCCGACATTTAAATATGTTGACATATTAAATAGGTTGATATATCGTCATCTTCTAATAGCATTTAGCTTCTAATAGCGTCTAGCATCGCCCTGATTATAGTCTGCTATACGTCTTGGCGTTGTTTCAATTCGTTTAATTTATCAAAACATAAAAATATAGTTATTCAAATAAAAGCGGATGTGTATAAATTTGACAGTAACTTTATTGCAAATTATAAAATCACGTCATGGCTACATATTTTATGAATCAATTAATGCCTCATAAATTATAATTGCATCATATGACGACAAAATACGAAATAAAAAAGGTTAACAGAAATTATTCAAAACAATATGTCAATCGGTTCTGGGAAATAAAAACATATTTATATGATGTCTTGTTTTTCTCGTTGAGTATAAAAGGCTTTTATGTTAAACATCATAACATGAAGATAGAACATTTTTAGGTTTCGTATATACATCAATGATTATTAATTTGTATACAACTGTAACTTTTCTTAAAACAAGCAGTATTTATTATACTTATTTATTTTGAAAAAAAATGACTTTTATCGAATCATTAATTGTAAAAATTACAAGGTAAAGTAATAATGGAAAAAAAATAAAAATATTTTGGTAATCTTTACATTGAACTTTTTAATTATAGCTTCTCTGTTTATTACTTTTTTCTTCTGTATTCTTAAGGTGTTGTGCCAATGATTTTACCTGAAATAGTAATTAATTGATTTAATTTATGTTGTATTTGATAATTTGCTCACCATAACGGATCCTAAGAATTCGAGTCTTTTATATGTTACACCACTTCCGTGTTGAGCAATAGATATCCATTTTATATTATCTAAAAAACACGGTATAAAAGAAATTTGCTGTAAAATTTATTATACATACATCTGTATATCTGAGCATAGAGCACGGACCCCTTATATTAATTCAATATATTGAAATCAATATTTACTATTTAAGTTTTACGTAACATTTATTTTATTCTGTGTCATTATAAACAAGCAGTCTATATTTTCGATATGTTCTCACATAATTACTGAAATATATAAAAAAAGTAAAGTAAAAAAGTAAAGTTAAATGATCTCTTATATTTCATTTTACACATGATTCAGATTTTTATATAACAATATATATCAAATTTTTATATGGCAACATATATCAGAAATGAAATTTATGAAATTCTATATTACAATATATTATAATATTATACATACATATATTACATATATTCCAAATACATACACATCAATGTTCTTAGGATATTACTATTTTTAAAATACTTCTGTGAACTATAAAATTTGAGTTACAAACAAGAATATTTTATTCTACTTTATTTCTTTTGTTATGTGAACTTTTTTCTCTTACAAATAAATATGTTGAACATGCGTCATATGATCGTCACATCAGATCTGAGTTTCTTTCTGCAAAAACTTATTTGTTTTGTATTATTTATTGGACGTCCTGTTGTCCGAATATTAATTAACTTAGATCAGACAGTTTTATTATGTTATATATTTTTAGAGATTGCGGCTTTATATGTTTATCTCTATAAATTTGAAAGAAATTAAGGTGAAATAACATAGAATGTGTAATATATATATATATATATATTACACATTCTATAACTTAATTTTATAATGATATTGAATCAATATAATATTACAGTATTGAATTATAATTTAAAGAATAATAATCTTCAGAAATAAAAAATTAAGATATATTCATGGCTCATGAATTAAAGTTCTAAATTTTATTAATAAAGTTGATAATAGAATACGATATAAGTTACATGTATGTAATAATTAACTCTATGTACATACGCTTTTACTGCGAGTATAGTTTATAATATCATTTTTTATGTATTTCCTATGTTTATTCAGAATATTATATACTAGTGATTCTTTTGGCATTAATAAATTAATGTTGCGAAATATTACACTTTTTTATAATTCTCAGGTAAACTGGCTTGTCCTTTGAGGCAATTCCGATGCAACAATGGCAGATGCATACCAATTTCGTGGGTCTGCGACAAATCGGACGACTGTACTGACAATTCTGATGAAAGCCCAGAAGAATGTAAAAGTAAGTAATATCACGGAATTTATGGTAATATATCAAATAATCAAAAGATACAAACATACACACACACACACACGTCTTATATTTAGGTAAATTGAGTTCAGTAAGTTACTGATTAACATATATTTTATGTTGTTGATTTTATAATATTTTATTCGCTTATTACTTTAATCATAAAATTAAGTATTTTATTTTATAACTTATTTATTTTTATGACTATATTTTATATATTGCCCTTTTTTATTGATAATAATCCTTACAATCTTGTAAGTATTGTGAGATATATTTTATAAATATATACGAAATGCTTTAATAGTATAATCAGAAAAGTGGTGTTTATGAAATACGTTCGAAATACGTTTGATACATATGAAAAATGTTTATGAAATACGTTAATATATATATAAAATTTAATACAGAATATTAAATTTTTTAATAAATAAATTTACCCCTCGCAAATATCTAGGCCCTTGACATATGTTGCCAAGAATATATCCTCGAACAACATGCAAAAAGTTTAATCGTCATTTAACGCTTGTTAAAAATTTATTAACACAAATATGACCTTACAAACGAATGTTGAAAATCAACATTTTTCTCATACATTATTTATAACTGTATAATTATACATTTTTATATTATTAATATAAAGTATTAAAAATGTTATTCAGTATTTTATGATATACCATTGAGAGGATATATTTGTGACATGATGATGAAAACTTTATTTATGGATTTATAGTACTATAGATGATATATAGTGATGGTATAGACTATAGTATTATAGGAAACAACATTTATATAAAAATCTGGCTAAATAGAATTTGTAATATCTTACAGCATCACATATAAAACGTGGAATAACAGCTCGCATATCATGCTAAATTCTTTCAATATTTTGTATCTGAATCAATGAAGTTTATATGGAGATTAACATGTATGAGTATGAGTGTAATTCATGTTATTGATATTATTATATCACGAACAGTCACTGTATATTATAGATCCAGGAGCAATAAATATATTTATTGTCGATTTACGAAACATACGAGTAACGATGAACATAACTATATGTGTTACCAGACTTTATCGACGTCGTTTAGCTAGCTTTATACACGATAAACTTTATCTCGTTATTTTGGTGCTGATTCATTTCTTGCGGTCATACATCAGCGAAATATTGTGAATGAAGCTTTAGGTGAATATCCGCGAAACCGGTCCTGTCCGTATACAACAACTACTGGGAGGACGAGCAGGTGCCCGTATAATACGTTACCCAGTTCTTCCAACAAGCCCTTCTTCATACAGCATGATCGATGATTCTATCGAATTTTAATTATCTATTCATTATTCGCGAGAATATTATCATATACAAACATTAGGATAGGAACGTTTTCATTTGAGCTCGTTTGTATACGTACATATATTTCATATGCTATGTTATCGTTTAAAATCTCGACGATATACGCGTTACACAGAAAAATTAAATAATGTATAAACTTTTTGTTTCGAGTTTCTCTTCTCATATATATTTTAAAACAGCCCTATTCTATTTATCGTTTATTTATCATTTGAATTATTTTCGTGACAAGATAGAAGTGAGAAATTTTTGCGACAAAGTGTGATTGCAATTATACACATTGGGCGAGTTTTGTTTTTAATGAATAATTGAATGCTTATGAATAACATTATATCATTTATGATTATAGTATGACGGTGTCGATTTCAGTGGAAGTTCCATATCGTGACTACACATAAAAATAGATACGAAATCGCAGATATAAAATATCGCAAGACTTTTTCAACATTTTGCGCAATATTACTGCGGAAATGCGCAGTCTGATATGAACGTGTGCATATTTAATCAATGCACGCTCATAGACTGTCTGCGGAAATGCGCAGACAGTCTGATATAAGCGTGCATTGATTAAATAAAGTGATCTGTTGATACACAAAATTCGCGCGATTGCTCATGTGTTCTCTTCATATTGTTTTAATTTCGTATAGAATTAGATATTTTAACGCAATGCAAAACTAACTTTTGCATCTACAATTTGCAGTTTTGACCGATTTAGATATCACATTGTTTAATTATGGAGTTCCAATAAAACTTCAGATTATATTTTAATTGTTCCGTATAATTATTATTTGGTAGTGATTAGTACTGATATCTAACAATATCAATATCTGACATATAACAATAATGCTATACGCTAACATATATATTAATGTGCATTCTCATTGTATGCACCGATTTATAGGCATATATGTTATAGGATTTTAAAATATAGATTTATTAAAAATTACAATTTTATTATGTAATATTTACAAACTGAAATTTTGGAAATGTCGTTTATATTAACTTTTGATATTCTAATAATTTCCTTACAAGGTGTGTGTCTCTCTTACACTAATATTAAAATATATTTTGAAAAGACAATTTTTTTGAATCTTGGATATGTTGAAAACATGTCGTGAACGGGCAATTTCTTTGTTCAGGAAAACGTTTTTAAAAGAAAAATAAAATAAGAATATATAATATATTTAGAAGCTCTTTAGACAAAGTTATATAAATCTTTACATGACTTACATTCACTTTTAGAAGAAGACGCAAAATCAAACTTTATATAAAATCATATATAAACTTCATTAAAAAGTATCGAAATTACTGTTGCTTCTTTTCCACGATACTTATTAATTTCCTTGATATGTGACTCATTTCTCTGATTGTCATCGCGGAAGATGTTTTTGTTAGTTTAAGGTTACTTAAAAAACAATTTATTTTATATTAAAATATCAATAAATAATATATTAGCACTGTTTTTAATCGTATACGATAACAAGGATTAATGCATAGCATCTAGTTCGTAAAATTTGGATTTAGTATGATCTGTATGATTGTGTGAAAGATTCTTATTTGCATATTGAAACTTTAATTCGATTTATTTTATTCTGTTTTTGTGATGGTCGTTTTATTAATTGTGAAATATGACTGATACAATGATAGCCACGCGCGAACATATACGCACAACGAAAATAAATATACAGGGTGTCCCATTTTAATCCGACCGGCTGAATAAAATTTGAGGATATTTTCCAGAAAAAAATGTCAGACAAATGTTGCAAATGTTCAGTTCTAAGGGGGATATTCGATGCCATCAACAATTTTGACCTCGGGTGAAGGGTTCAAGGTCATTCAAGGTCAACTTTTTTTTCTTAAGTGGGAACCTCTATTTTTCACATCGGCAATCGATTCTACGTAAAAAAAAATGAAACTTTTGTCTGAAGCATTTTTTTTTATAACGCAAATTAATTTCACTTATTCAGCCTCCAAAATTGAAATTTTCAAACTTTCTGAATTTTTTACTCGAGAATGGTGGGGTTTGGGGGGAAATTGCAGAAGACAAAAAGTTCTTGGAATGCTGCAAGGAATTCACTCGAATTTTTGCATAGTTGATCGTGCACTTTTTTCGAGGTACCTCCTGACAGGTAGAACATTGGCGGAAAAAAGTGCACGATCAACTATGCGAAAATTCGAGTGAATTCCTTGCAGCATTCCAAGAACTTTTTGTCTTCTGCAATTTCCCCCCAAACCCCACCATTCTCGAGTAAAAAATTCAGAAAGTTTGAAAATTTCAATTTTGGAGGCTGAATAAGTGAAATTAATTTGCGTTATAGAAAAAAATGCTTCAGACAAAAGTTTCATTTTTTTTTACGTAGAATCGATTGCCGATGTGAAAAATAGGGGTTCCCATTTAAGAAAAAAAAAGTTGACCTTGAATGACCTTGAACCCTTCACCCGAGGTCAAAATTGTTAATGGTATCGAATGTCCCCCTTAGAACTGAGCAACATTTGTCTGACATTTTTTTCTGGAAAATATCCTCGAATTTTATTCAGCCGGCCGGATTAAAATGGGACACCCTGTATATTAGAACTAAGAATTAATTTATTCCTTTCTGGCTTTAAATTGCTAATACATAATGCCCGACTGAATATCCGTTTAATTTGAAAGAGATTTTCTGCTTTTAATGTTCAACAAAGACAATATTGATTAGAAATTGACGATTAACAATTTCCAATTAATATTAAGAAGGAATAATATGAACAAAAGATATTGGTCTAAAATTCACGAGCGAATAATCTTATCGACACAATTATTATCGATTGTACATGTCTTATCTTACGTCTTCCTATAAATATATATCATAATAACCTCCGTGACACTACGCTCTTACGTGAGTGCATTTTTTTGCAGATTAGCAATAGTGAATAAACGCGGCATCCATCATAATATTTTCATAATTATTACTTCACATCATAATCATACAACAGTGAAAAATGACTTATATCTCTATTGACCTATTATTACTCGGTGCCTTGTTCTTGAATGCATGAATTTATTACTAAAACAATTTCTAATGAAAATTATAATGGTCATATAATCTTCACATATCCCTTCTTTAAAAATTGCTTCAAATTCTGTAAAATAAAATTTTCGCCGATGACACGCAACAAACATTTTCGATAACGAATAATGATAAATTTCTGCGTTTTTTGTTATTTAATAATTAATAACGTACAATACTTTATTACGATGTAAATAAATAAAAAAGTGCAAGATCATTAAAAAACTGGAATTGGGAAATTATAAAAAAATATTTCGCGATAAATAGTATTGTCTCACATAGTTCAATTAAATAAAGTTCTTCTATACACTTCTATCTTTATTAGAATATATTTAGTAAATATTTTTTTTATTCGATAAATTCGTGTTCCATATGTAATTATACATAGTTGAAAACCTGGTTTGATCGAAAGAATTATAGATCATAGCTAAGAAATAATCAATTTCAAGTTTGTATCGCATTTGCACAATCAACATACATGTAACGAAACCTAGCAATCAGGAAATCTAAAAAGTTTACAACGCCATAATTTTATACCTTTCCTTATATCTCACGTCTGGAGTTTTATGATGGGAGAGAGACACGAACGAGGAACAGTAATCGCATATAATTTTATAAATATGTAATTACAGTCTTATCATATACACAGTTCCGCAAAAATTTTGCAATAAAAACTCGCCGTCCTTGCATCTGATCCGATGCTTATGATTTTCCCTGATTAAACGTACATGAATTGGCGCGTGTAAGATGTAGTCTTTCGTTAGTCTTGCATCAGACAGTGATATAATCTGCTTTTTCATATTGGGAAATAGGACCAGAATATATATTCGTTTGTATTTATACCCTTGCTATACATAACTATTAAAATACTTAATTGTCCGCATGATTGGAATAATTTGTTCCCAAATATAAATATTTATATCATATTTTAAATATAAAATTATACATATCTTTTTTTTAAGTCTATACATTTGCATGCGTGTATTAAAACAGAAATAGAGATTCTGCTACAGCTATTACATAGCGTTGTATACAACGAACAAAGATGTTAACAACAAAATTGATCATTACTAGTAAAGACACCACTAGTCTAAATAGTAAATCATAAAAATTACAAGAATGATGTATATAAGTAAAGGAATAAGAAAACCTCGAAAATTTATCGAACGTATAAAAAATTAGAGAGATGTATGTGTGCTATATATATATATTATACTTTCCGTAATTTATAGTAATTTACAGTAATTTTATTTTATAACATTTACTTCTCTAAAAGATATTTTACATTCAAATAAAGCAATAAAAGTAAAAACATGAAAATGCAAGTTCAAAAATAAACAAATGTTTAAATAAATACATATACATCGTGATACAATAATGCCATGCTAAAATAATAAAATAGAAAAAATAATGGAAAAGAAAGGTGGTGCTTTTTTTCTTTTTTCTTTTCTTTTTTTTTTCATAAGCGAAAAGAAGTAATGAAAATAAACGGAACTGCCAAATATATTAAATCGACTTTGCTCGTGTTTATTTTTCGGAACACTCGTGAGATCTGCCCTTTGCAGATTTGCCTCGTGGTTAAATTCTTCCCCCTCTCTTATCTTTTTTCTTCAGTTTCTTCGGTTTCTTGCCGCCATCCCGTATCGGTATGCCATTTTAACTCGAGGTCAATTCGAGTCTTGTTATTAATCCCTTGTTGATTTTCTTTTACTTCTCCAAACTTTTCAACCAAACCCTTGATTTCAGTTCCCTTCCGACATTTAACGGTCAGTTTAATCCTCAAGCATACGGTAATTTTTTTCTGGGACGGTTGAACTTTATTCTCTATTCCTTTATTCCTATAATTAGAATCAATTTATTATAAATTTAAACTTCCGGATAGATTAAAAATCATTTCAGAAGGATAATAAGCATTATGTTTAATATGAATATACAGGATATCACGTAACGATAATTTTTCATGAAGAAATAAGTTAAAAATATAGAATAAAGTTGTTTTCGTACATGAGATTACATTTTCGAGAGAATTGATATTGAAAATTGAAAAACTGATGATATTTCCTTCTCTTCTTTTTAATTCATATTTCTATTAATTTTTACGATACATTCTTGTAAACTTTTGTTTTAACATCAAGATATTTTAAGACTAAGAAGATTATGTCAAGATATACTTAATCCCGTATAATATATCCTGTTGGAAACTTTCCGGCAAGATATATTCTACTTTTTGTAAATTCACCCTAAAAAGGGGGTATTATATCGCGTCTTTCTTCCTTACTTTGATCACCGTGACCTAAGGTGCAATGGCATCGCTTCGATGCGGTACGCACTGGCCCGAACGATATTGCAACAGACTTCGAATTCGTTTTTTCACCCTTTGCTTCTTTTACACTGGAACTCATTCGCCGTGTAGCGTCGGCTCTTCCTTCATCAGTGTGGCCCTGTTCGTTTAAGGCCGCTACATTTCACAGCGTAAGGTCTGTGTCGGTTGCATCAGACGACAACGACGACGATGACGAGGACGAGGAGAGCTGATTCGGCCGATGCCGCGCCGATGTAGGCAATGTACGGCAACTACCGACGCACTATATAATTATGGTGAAAGCCAGTTCATGCGTGGCGTAGTGTGTATAGAGTTGCATGATTTGCTCGAACATCGGCTCGCACATTGGCGCAGCGGCCGTATCGAACTATCGATTGTGTCGAATGCGTCGATCGCTTGCTTAAAATCTGACGATGCGTATCAACGTGACAATCGGATGTATTTGTGATGATTTGTTATCGGTTGTTCTTTTCATCAATATAATCGCGTTCCGAGGACACTAGAAAAAAGAAGGAAAGAAGAAGAAATACAGAGACATACTGAAGAGAAAGAACATATGTCAGGATTAATCGTTACTTAATTGCCCCAAGGTATGATATCGAGACTATTTGATATTTTTGCAAATGATAAATTGCCGGTAACGTAACAGGAAATAAAAAGTCCACAATATCGTGTGGAAAACACACAATATTTTCAGGAAGTATAGCGCATGCGGCAAGTACGTAATCCATGTAACTGTCTCGGCAGCGATAGTAGTGCGTATTATAATTCAGTCTATTTCAGCCTTTCAGGTCATTGAATGGCGGACATAGCGGCGTATATGCTTTTTTTTTCATTCTCAAATCAGTATCTTGCGTAAAGTGACGTCCACGAGAGATAACGCGTATATTGTACGTCGTAGTACCGCGCGCGTACCACTTTGCATACTCATTTTTCTTCATTTTTGTTTTCAAGACGCGTGATCGTCTTGAACACGATTACACTTCGTTCGCTTCGTATCGACGTACAAGCAAAATAAATTTTATATTTACAAAGAGGCGTATTACGTAAGACATCGGACTATAAAATTTCACACTCGATCAGTCATATATGCATATGTGTGTGTGTGTGTGTGTGTTTCTTTACGCGCCGATAATTTTATAGAGTGCGGTCCAATCTTCCGTTGTGCGCTACTTCTCGTATTTTTGCGCTGATATGTCGCTGCGTTATCGATGCTGCTACTCATGTTGCCGCGATCTGATCCCGTATACGAATCGCGCACACGTGTATGCGATTTCCCCACATGGTTCAGGAAAACACAAGCGTAAGAACGTGCTAGACACGCAACAAGAGGATTAATACTCGTGGCTTTGATTCGCGCGCTTCCCTCCTAAGCGCGGTATCACCGTTGTGCGTGTTCCCAGATCCATATATAGGCGCTCTTTTACCGAGCTGCAACCTTATAGAATCCGCGACCACCATCGCGAGCGCATCGCCGTCAGGTGTGCCAGATATAATCCGGAGCTGCACCCGTACACTGCTCGCGCGTGGAATGTGAAAGAGCTGCTGCGAAAATAAGTCCGCGTTCTACGGAGTAACGACGAGATTTGTGAGGGTGTCTTCTCCTCTTTCCCGCGAGAATGTTTCGCTGATTCGACAATTTGATTCGGAAATATCGCCAGTAGGAAGGATTGGAAGTTGGAAGATTTTAGACGATGTTTGCGGGACATTTTCGCGGTCAAATGACGCACTAGTGGGATTTTATGGACGATCAGTGATATGCGACCTTAAATATATAAATTTGTGAAACTTGAGCGGCGAGAATCTTACTCGAGGAACTGCGTATTTCAATCAATTAGATTAAGAGTAGATAACATACCTTTCTGTGTTTCAGAAAGTTAAGTGACCACGTGTCGCGCGGCCGTCTCGTCAATTTATGAAATAATAAGATGTGACAGAGGAGTTTGTTTCGACGATAGACGGTTTAGCAAAGGATCATTTATCAACACTAAGAGTTCGTGTCTTAATTTTCTCGAATGTAGACTCAGGTTTCATGTTATTTTATGTTGGATAGTAGAGAGACCTCATCGGATCATTCGCGTCATTGAAAACTTAGTGCCGTCGTAAAGTTTGACGTGTAGTGCAGCCCGTACAGTTTCGTCTGTGGTACAGTTTATAGTCACGAGCAACTATGCAGCTCGGCAGGAATTCACCGCGCTTCTCGGATATGTCCTGGTTTTGGTGCACATGCATCCTGTTACAACTTGCGTGTATGACTACCTTCGTAACTGGTGCTGTCGATCATCCTCATATGAACATTTCAGATACCCAGGAATGCAAAGAGTCGGAGTTCAAGTGTACTAATGGCAGATGTATACCCAATATATGGCATTGCGATGGTGACCGGGATTGCCCAGACGGTGTGGACGAAGATCCTGCGGTCTGCAGTAAGTTAAAATTTTTTATAATGCATGTACCAAGGATTATACGTGTATACGAGTATAATTTAATCGATAATTTGATTTATAATATCCGTTAAAATACGTACGCAAAGAAACACGTAGTTATAATTTATAGAAATGTGTGATCCTAAGGGAAGAGACATTGAGTTAAGATTAAGGTAAAGATCTCGCGTGAAGGTATACAATTAACAATTTTTACAAACCTATAATTTGAAATTTTGATTGAATATAATTAGATTGTAAGATGTTGATATATTGCTACGTTCATTACAATATATGCTACGTTTATCCAATTGTAAAATATGTGGGCACAAATTTTATTATTAGTTATTTTATATTAGTCCTTTTTATAATATTTTTATGGTAAGATATATTCTTACATGGTTACATAAAGAATGGATGTTGAGCCGAATAAAATGCATCTTCATCTGTCAACATTTGGTACGTATCTGAAAGTGCAACTTTTTTGTGATTGCTTTCATATAGGTAAAGCATAACGTATGCATAAGAGGGACTGTATGAGTTATTATATAAAGATCGCAAATGTGGATTCTCGCAAAAATATCTTGTTTTGTAAAATAATATCAATATACAATGAATTAAGAAAATATGTTTAAAAACTTCAAGGAACAAAGAGCGTATATAAAAATAGAGAAAAAATCTGTAATTAATATATATCATGCAATTAATATATAAACTGAATGTTTCAAACATAGAAGCAATTTTTTTATTTTAATAATGTAATTTATTTATTTATAATGTATTTATTTATATTTCTGCAGTGAGCGTTATGTCATTAAATGTTAGACACCCTATGTACATACAAATATTTATTTTAAATTTTAAACAGCCGTTTATTTTTGAATGCTCAAAACTAGATGAAAAACTAGATTATATTCAGAAATTTCTTTTGTAAAAATTATGCGCTGTATCAATTTGGAATATCATACATTTATTATATATAAATAAATAGAAGTGATAAAACATAGAAATATTAAAAAAATAATAGTTGTTCGAAAATATACAGTCACGAACAGAAAGATTGTACATAATTTCTATAAGTTTCAAAACGTATTCTTCTACTTCAGTAGGAAAATTTGTTTTCTAATAGGATAATTCTGTCATTAAACAAGACGATTACGCAACGATTACGCTTTTGTGAAATTCACACAAAAAAATTAGGAACAAGTTTTCTCTCCACGGCTTAGATTTTAAGCACTTTCTTCTTTGGAAATTATGTTTTCGAAATTAGTATGCAAAATTTTTCGAGGACTTGAACTGATTGATTTCAAATCTTTTATATATCTTCAACACATATATATCGAAAGCATTTACATACATATATCAAGTTCCCTAAATTTAATATTTAATATTTTTTTTATTAAATTAATTTTTGGTGGGAAAAATGCAACTTCTACTTTGCACTGACGCCATTTTATTGATTTTTAATTTTTTGTGAAATTGAAAATATATGTGCTCAATATCTATATATTGAGGATATGGTTGTGGAAGTTTTAGGAAGGATATGAAAGTTTTAAGTCACACATAATCGATTCAATCTTTAAAAAATCTTGTATATTGATTTTGCAAATACAATTTCGAGGAAAACGTATTTAAAATTTTGAGTACGATATTTCAGATAAACATTATTAATCAATAAACATTTTTTAAATATTTATACTTATATAATAAATGTATCACGTTGCAAATTGATGTTTTTTAATGTCTTCTGATAAAAATTTTATCATAAGTTTACTTTTTGAGCTTCCAAAACTAAAAAGCTCTTTTTAACACACAATTTTGTAGTTAATAGAAATATGGTTTTGGATGAAATATAGTTGCCATACATTTTGACTAAAATACTGTAAATAATTTCAAATAAATGTCTTTAGATTTTCTCCAGCAAAAAAGTTTAAGGATAGCTTCCGGTCTAAAGAGTCAATAGATCGAATTGTTGTTTTTTCTTTTCACATTTTTCGTATCTTTAAAATGTTTAAAACATATCATTAATACGAATTTTTTTTAAATTCGTGAGAGTAAGGAAGTTATAGATATCCATGTACAGTCAAGTTTAGAGTGAAAGCTGAATAAATAAGACTTTGCTTAGTATTATTGTATATATTATCCGAGCTATTTACAAAATCTGTCGTTAGATGATTTACTCTAGCGGTATATAGGCAATAATATACAAAATAATGAGAAATTTTTCATCTGCGTGTGTGCATTTGCTCCAAAATACCTATTAAAGACGAAAAGTCATAGAAGTAACTGCATATTCCGAATACGTATATAACGATTAGTTTCTCGCCGAGTATCAGAATATAAACTAGAAGTGAACCTAGTGAGATCATCATATGTATACTTTTATGAATATGAATATAGCGGTAATGATTTCAATATAGAGGGAAAATTTGATGAAGAAAAATTAGAATTGGCGTATGTTAGCAAAAGTCATCGCGGACATAAAAAAACATTTCTGTGCGGAAAGAATGAACTTAAATGGAGCGTTACTACACGAGGAATGAGTGGACGTTGAATATACGTTACGTACGTTGAATAGATGTTACGTTTGCCTGGACTAAAGAACAAGTTAAATTATAAAACAACATAGATATGTGGTCGTTGCTGCTCAACGATGAAATGCTCTAAATTATAATAACTTATACAAACGTGGAAACTCAGAAGAAAGACAGAGAAAAACAAACGTTTCAAAACAAACATACAATAAGGAAATATACATGATAAAACCCAGAATATTTATTAGACTGTTATATTTTGTAAATGTTAAAAAATGGAAATGTTGAGACAGAGGAGTTGTCAATCGAATTTGGGTCGACCTTGTTTAGGACAATAATATCTAACCATTGGTAAGCATTTTTTTTTTGGCGTGTTTGCGGTTTAATAACAAGATCAGATATACTGAAAAACGATGATCAAATTTTTTAGCACCTATCAGATAATTATGGAAATATTTTACAAGAAATTATAAAAAATATATTTTATAATATATGTAACAATCATCAGTGTGACCGTCAAAAAACAATTACTTGGTTTTTGTGGATGTTTTGTTGCAAATATGTATATGAAAATAAACCACATAAGTACAATATAAAAATAATATATTTAAACGACGCAAAAACTAATTTATTGAATGCAATTCTATATGCAAAATATAATTAATGTCTCGTGCTAAAATCGCTTTAAATATATACTACTTTTAATAATATAATAATATAATATTGGATTAGTAAAGAGTTTAATTTAATTTTTTTACATACTTTGAGTTACACTATCAGCTTTTCTAAAAATAAAGATTACCGACGAATAAATTATCCGACAAAAAGATTATACTAAATATAAATACACTGAATTAATTTGCACACTTAATAATAATATTATTTATATCATATCTAAAGATTTACATGTATTTGGTATCCTTTTATTTTTGTAAGGTCTGTTGTTAATATTTTCTACGAAAGTGTCCATAAGATACACAATATAGAAAAGTGTCTAATGAATGAAAATATTTTTTATTATATTAACCCCTTGGGTACGGATTTATTTGAGAAAATATTTGCATGTGGAACGGTTTTATATTACAATTGTCATCATTTTCTGGTTCACGAGAAGATTCACTATCACTGCTCGATAGACGTCTTGTGCGTCTTCGAAACCTTGATATTATATTAAAATTGTCATCATTTTCTATTTCAATATCGTCTTCATCACCTTCGCTTTGTATTTCATTGTAATTGTCAATTTCAGGATCACTAAACAATTCTTCTTCAGATTTCTCAAAGTCACTTTCGCTATCACTATCATAAAATATATTCCTTGTTTTTGACATAATGGGGCAGTGTATCGCAAATAATGTTCACCGAAATACTGTAATTGCCTCTTCTATTATGACTGATACAAGCTACAATGAAATGAACAGAATTGTGCCTAACCTCAAATATCGTTTTAGACACGTCATCCGCTCCTAGGGAAAACAAATGAATGACGTCTCTCAGACGTCAAATGTACCCAAGAGTTTAATTTTTGGTTTGACGTCTTAAACACGTCATCCGCTCCTAGGGGAAAAAAGTGAATGACGTGTCTCAGACGTCAAATGTACCCAAGGGGTTAATATGAATATTTTTGACGGTATTGACAAATTAAGAGAAATTGTGCGTAATAATGAAATAATGAAATTAATGGATAATAATGAAATATATTTTTTAATAAGATCATAATATAATTTCATACAAAAATTGAGAGTATATGATATTGTCCCTCACATCTAGTAAATAATACCCCTAATAGTAAATATGTCCAGAGAACATCCAAAGACATCCTGGAGATGTCCTGGAAACGTCCTATTTCCTGAGGACGGCCCTAAGATGCCTCTGGATGTCCCCAGGAGATTTGTGCTATCAGGGGTTATTTAAACATGAACATGAACAAAGTGCATATGCATGTATTAGGATTTTGCTAAATAAATGTATAAAATTTGGGTCTTTAAAGTTGCACACGACTGTGATTAATAATATCTTCAATAAGACTGTAACTTGCATATAAAACACACACACACACACACACACATGTGTATGTGGGTGTGTTTTATATGTGTTACGTTATATATGTATAATATGTAATTATGTACATACATATATATTATATATACAATATAATGCAAATATGCAAAAAACTTTTAAAATGTATCAAAAGCGTCTAAATTTATTTATCTTTTATTTATTTGTTTTTTACATATCTTTCAGATAATTTTGTTAAAAAATTATCTCTTATTGATATTTATAATTAGTATTTGTAATATCAATAAAATACGAATATAATTTCGTGAGATTGATTATGTTTTACGTGGGAAAGTTGTTAATTGAAAATATTCAATTAAAAAAAAAGGAACGGTACCGTGCAGCGAAACGGAATTCCAATGCAGCCCAGGCGAGTGCATTCCGAAGACCTGGCTATGTGATCGCCAGGTAGATTGCACCAACGGTGTGGACGAGAAAAATTGTCACAGTAAGTCGCAACATGTTCGCGGATAAATACTTTAACATTTAGGTGTTACCGGAAAGCAGCTAAGGAGGAACGAAAGATCAGCCGACAAAACTATAAAACATGCGACAGGACAGCGAATTGTTCGCAACGAGGACCCTACAGATTGTATTTTCGTGTTCATAATATATCTTCTCGCTTACTACATTGCGAAATGCAAATTTTCAATTTGTAAATTGCCTACATATAATATGCACATGAAAATACATGAAGAAAATGGCAAATATATTACCTCATATAATAATTTACAATTATTTGAAATATATATATATATATAAAGTGGGTAATCAATAAAATAGTGAGAAATATAACGTAAATTAACGTAATTTTATGAAGCGTTACACGCACAGTTGCAGCTCTTTTATATTTACATATGGTATCATAGTACTTTGGTATTTACTAAGTCAGGAATTACTTGAAATTTTCTACTAGATATATTCACTTCTAGATGTGCGTTTATTGTTTGTATATTGTGCGATTGTTGGCTATTTAAGGAAACAGCAGTAATGTTTTAAAACAGCTTCGACATCTTGACATATAATTAGAATCAGTAAGGGGATCTGCTCACGCGTTACGTATAATCAGTATGAGAATGATATAATACATATGAAGCTTGCAAGAACTAAAAAATTAGTTTTCCATTAAAAAAATTTCTGTAAGTAGTTTATGCATGTGGTTCATATTAACTGAATAAAACATTATGAGTGTATATAAAAGCCATGTAGTCAAAATGTTTTACACAGTTAATAAGGAGCCATTCATCTACTATTTCTAGCAAATTTTTTAACGGAAAACTAATTTTTTTACTTCTTCTTAGCTTTTGTTAATAAAAATCAGCAAATCAGATGTTGATACATGGACAATAGTAAAAATATACAGAAGTCTAAAAGACTTTAAGATTCATAAGAAAAAATAAAAAAGTTACAATTTGCAAACAACTACGTAAAATTTTGAGTTATTAATTAAAGAAGATTTATGAATGATCACGTAAAATGCAAATTTGAGATAATAGATTGCAAAATCTATACGTTCACTCGGTTTATCACATCGTTTGCAAATTTCGGATAAATAATACAAATCCATGTATATAACAAAACCGAGCATGTTCAATACCTGACAGTAAAAATTAGATTAAAAAATAGAAAACAGATGTCATATAGCTTTCTCTCTACCTGCGCAGTGTCACTCTTGGTCTATTCTTACTACATCTATGTATAAATCGACCGTCATAAGTTGGTACAGGCGCGGATGCAACAATATGTCGATTGTTGAAACATCGTTGCTGCTTCGTCAAATAATCAAGTCATAACCAATGAAGTCAATAATTAACAGCCATAATAAACATATTTAGAAATAAATACCTCTATTTAAAAATGTTTATTAATTCTCGACTTAGTAAATGGTAAAGTATATACTCATTTGCAATATGCTCATTTAAATACTTTTATAAATTTTTAAACGCATCCGTAGTTTAATAAGAAAACGTATTTTATGAGTAATATTCAAACAAATTCCCTCATTGGACTATCAGCTATATTCTAATCTGTATTGAGAAAAAAATGTTCAAACCGTTGGAATAAAATATACATTAAGCCTTGTATACATATAGAGGGTGTCTCTGCCAGATTTGTTATAAGATACCCTGTATATATATGTATGTGTATGTAATATACAGAGTGTCCCATTTTAAAGGACCCACTCAAATATCTTAGAAACACTGCGTTAAATCGAAAAATGCTTAAGACAAAAGTTGTTTGGCTTGAAAGGGAACATAAGACAGCGATAGCATTTTATTTATAGATGGCTCCACTTTCGAGATATTCATTGGTCATCAATTTTCTTAAATGGAAATCCCAATTTTTTATTATATCATCTTTTTCTATCAATTAATTTGAACAACTTTTGTCTGAAACATTTTTTATTTGCTTAATATATTTTAAGATATTTAAGGAAAACTTGGTAACTTTTCCAACATTTACCTTACAATATCTCGCTAACTATTCGTCGAAAGAAAAAATAGTATTAGACTTTTTTACTTTATTTACTATCAAGAATATATTACTATAATAGTACCCTAACTTTTGTTAACTTATCGACCTTTGGAAATTTCAAAATTATTAAATTAATAAAAGTTAGGGTATTATTATAGTAGTATATTCTTGATAGTAAATAAAGTAATAAAGTCTAATACTATTTTTTTCTTTTGACGAATAGTTAGCGAGATATCGTAAGGTAAATGTTGGAAAAGTTACCAAGTTTTCCTTAAATACCTCAAAATATATTAAGTAAATAAAAAAATGTTTCAGACAAAAATTGTTCAAATTAATTGGTAGAAAAAGATGATATAATAAAAAATTGGGATTTCCATTTAAGAAAATTGATGATCAGTGAATATCTCGAAAGTGGAGCCATCTGTAACAAAATGCTATCGCTGTCTTATGTCCTCCTTCAAGCCAAACAATTTTTGTCTTAAGCATTTTTCGATTTAACGCACTGTTTTTGAGATATTTGAGTGGGTCCTTCAAAATGGGACATCCTGTATATATATATATATATATATATATATATATATATATTCGATTTTAATATTTATATACTACGATTCAAACATTTATTCAATATAGTTTGGAGCGTATCGTATCGATGCTCAGTGAGAGAATTTGATTTTGAATAATTCTTAGAAAGATCATTTCTTTCATTGAACATTAGATACATGTTCCAAACGGCATCAAAAAAGTGTTAAAATTGTATTAAAACCGAATATACTTTAATTACTAATTGGCATTATTTACAGTGTTGTTAAAGAGTATTACTCTTTTGTGCATGTCATTTAATTTTTGTAATATTTCTTTAAATGATATTCTTTCGGTGTGCGGTGTGCTTTTAAGAATGATGTATATTAATCGCACGTGTACAGTTACAAACACGCAGCTATAATAAGAAATTTCTTTATATAAAGAAATTTAAGAAGAAGAGATAATTTTGATAGAATTGTAATTGAGTATTGTAATTGAGAATCTAATATTTAAAAAACATGTGAATTTCAAAATAAATTTTTAAGAAGATGGAAAAGCTGATATTTGATCTGTTTCTTTATATTTCTTTTTCTTTGTTTTATTTTCTTTGTTTTTTTCATTATTTTTAATCAAATTTTGATTTTTTCTATTGAAGTAAATATTATGTGAAATTCAATTCTCTCTGTTCGTCCGGCAGAGGAAATGTTATTTTTACTTGCTTTGTGAAATAGTCTATGCGGGACATTCGATACAGAAATGCAATCATCTTTCAACATCTATCGCTTTGATAATTCCAGTATTGATGATAATATTAATTTTATGCCTCCTGCGCTTTTGTACAAATGCATTATGTATTTTGTGACAAAAACCAGTGCAATGCAATTGTCATCTTGTAGGAACCAAGACCTGCACGCCGGAACAGTTCACATGTCATTCGGGAAATGGCGAATGCGTGGCATTAACATGGATGTGTGACGACAACCCGGACTGTTCGGACGGTTCGGACGAAGCTGAGTGTAGTAAGCTTCTGCACTTGAGCTAATTTTGCACTTGCACTTTGTTTTCTTTTTTCTTTTGTACGTGTGTGTTTCTTGTTTTTTCGTTTGGTTTGTTTGGTTTGTACGTTTAAACTAAATCGTTACTATACTACTAAGCAGTTATCTCTTTTTACTTCATGCTTTCAATTTTTGTCTATCAATTTAATGGACAACTCACAATTATGAACAACTAACGAGCATTAATTCATACTTACGAAGTGTTAATTGTAAATAAGTATGTATTATAGTATACTGTTGGAAAATTTTCGCCAAGCAGGGCAATATCGGTTGTGCAATATCTTGAATAGCACCTATAGCGTTATGTGCAATAGAAGTTATATAATTATTTAGGCCGTTTGAGAAACTAGTTTATTATTCGATTCAAAATGATACAAAATGAAATTAAAAAAGAAGCAAAAAGAAAAAATGAGGTCGAAAGGTAAAATAGCGAGAAAAAATGAGAAAAATAAAAAACGAAAAAAAATAAATAAAAAAGGTTAGGAAAGGGAAATAAGAAGAATTGAGAAAAAGAAAAAAATGACAAGAAGTAAAAAAGATGCAAAATATGAAAAAAAGAAAAATTAGAAAGTCTCTCTTTATTATTTTATTTTACATTTATCCGATTAAAATTAATCTTTTGTTTTTTAGACAAGTGTTTGATTTTTTGTTTTGCACAAAGTGGCCATTAGGGCATTAAAATTAAGATGAAAATGAAATAAAAAATGCAGTTTGTGTTTTAAATAGAATATCCTAATCAAGATTTATGCTAATTAATTTTTCTAATAGAAATTTTTGGTAGGATGCTCTTCTTGAAACAAGAACTCTAACCAACTTTTCAAAAGGCCTAAATAATTATATAAATTCTACTGTATACGGTACTTTCTAGAGCGTCCATTCAAATAAGATATTGCAAAACTGGACTCTAGTCAGTAAATCCTCTACTACGTATATACGTACACATTCGTCATTAGCACTTCATATATTTTTCTTATCAATAGGGATGTTTCACATGAATGTATTGGATAAGTGCAAAAGTTTTGGTAAGTTTTTCAAAGATATAACTGATTCAGTTTTATGGCAACATTCATAAATACGTTAGATGCATACTGTACCATTGGAGAAAACGATAAAGATTAATTGGTAGAATGAATAAATTAAACGTTTTTTAATAACATTGTTTAGTCCATACACACACACACACACATATATATATATTTTTCTATCTATGAAATTCATCAAAACTTTTGCACTTACTTGATATATTTAAGAATATATGTACCTAATATAGGAGTATGTGTATTATAACTACGAGGTCGACACAAATTTTTCTATTATTTTTCTATTTTATGTTGTTTTCCAATTATTTTCAGTCAAGAATTCCACTAATTTATGTTTATTAAAATTTTTTGTTTATTGACTAATGTATTAGTGACTAATATATTAATATAGTGACTAATAATAATAGTAGATATAACTAATAGTAACAGTAATAACTATTAGTAATAACTAAACTAGTAGTAATAACTAATAGTAATAGTAGATTTCAATTGGTGAAAATTGTTAAAATAGAGGAATTCATAACAATTGGTATCGATCTGTGCGATAGAAAATTAAATATAATAGTTATTATTAAATAGTTAAATAGTAGTTATTCTCAACTAAAGTTGCGTTTGAAAGACTTGGCTTGCATAGATTATGTTTGCTTATACATGCTTTATGAAATAGTTGCAAAGAAATTACGTTACTTACGATAATTTTTATGATGATTACCACATTCATTTATTTGTTGAAACCGTTTTTCATAGCAGGTTGGTTTTTGTTAATTTTTCTCTCTTTGCTACTTTGTCGGTAGATAATGTTAAGATTTACAAGAATTGATGGTGGGTAGAAATACTGAGTAATAACAAATTTTTATTTTTTGGAAATTTGATTCTTATGCTTGAATATATCAAGTTACAAAATTATTTTATTATTTTGAGATGTTTTTTTTAGCTTTTATTTTATTTAAGTGAAAAATAATTTCATTAAAAGTAAATGTTACCCACAATCTAATTGTTGATTGACTTGTGCGTAATTAACTCTATTTTTAATTTTTTTTCCTTTCAATGTACTTTCGAAAATAATCATAAATACTAAAAAATAACTATTTTATATCTTATTACACACATATATACACATGTACACACGTACATATACATATATATGAACACATTTTCTTTTCAGTCAAAAATTGTCTAATGTTTCTTGTTTAAAACTTGAATTTGTAATATAATTGATAATTTGTTATTCCTTGTTAAATCGTTTTATAATATGTGCTCCTGTTGTTAGCTTAAAAGATATTTATAAAATAATTATTTTTCTCAAAATTATGACAACAGGAAATCTTATTTTTTTACGGAATTTGTCTCTTTGAAAACGCAAGTAATTTATAATCTATAACATCATAAGAAAGGAAATTCTTTCACATGAATATTTTTTACTATTAATTAATATTATTGCGATAATTTAGTTTCTTCTTGGAATGATAGTTACATTATAACTTCATGTGCATATGTAGGTGTGCCTTATCCTGATCCTTCGCTACGGAACTTTTGATTAATGGCGTCAGAAGCGCAGAAATTTATGTTAAAACTTCTACAGATTATATTGAAATGAAAATATATATACATAAAATTATACTTGCAATCGATTGAGCACATTTTCAAGGTATTTTGGAAATTTTCCGTTTGCTCTATTAATCAATAAATGACCGTAAAATTAGCAGAATATTCAACTTTTCTTTCTAATATATTTTTTCCATGATTCGGTTACATTGATTTTCCACTTATTCTTATTATTCACCTTAATTGCCTAAAAAAAAAAGAAATTCTCATAACATGTTAGAAATGTACTTAATTTATTATATCATAGTGTCATTTTATGAATATATCATTTTGGTGAAACCCTTAAGAATTTTTAATATGAATTTCCTCGTTTCTGACATTATTATTCAAAGTGGTTGCGGCGAGGAAACAGGAACCATAAGACGTAAATTTTTATAACATGTTCTCCAAGATACATGTTAGTATATATAAAACCTGTAATATTAAGAAATGATTTACATTCAATATATTGTATATAGGATCTCATTTTTTAATTGAAATGACAAAATAAGTTAAATAATGTGGATAAAAAATTTCGGGTAAAAGTTTTAAAGTTTATGCGTGTTATAAATTTATTAAGTTAAGATATTTTAAAAATATGGCCATAAACTGTTTTTCTAAATGTAATATTTTTGAATGGGAAACTTATTTCTATTATTTCTATTTTCTCTATTGCAAAGAAAATAAATAATTTGTCTTAAAAGTATGTAACATGTAAAATTTTTGATATAATTGTTACAAATTATATCTGTGAAATAAGTGTTACCCGAAATGCACTATGTAAAGGTTGTAGTAGGATGTAAACTTACGTGTATGTTTGTTTATGCATGCACAATTGCTCAAAATTTTTCTTATTTTGAAAATGATATAAATCTCGAAAATATGAAATTTGTTATGGAAAATAGTTATCCACTACTTGTTATATTTATCTAATACTTGTAATATTTATCCACTATTTGTTTACTATTAATTTACGTTTTAACTGAGAATACGCATCTCTTAATTTTGGTTATTAAACAGATGCTTTTTGTGAATGTTTTTTGTAAATAAATAGTATTTAGCAGGTTTTTGAAAATGATCATGTTATTATCAATATTATATACAATATTAATATTACATACGCACATGATACCGATATATATGTACAATATTAGTATATCATGCATTTTAATCAAATATGTTTGTAGTTAATAATAATGTTTATAAAGTTAGTAATAATGTCTATAATTATCACTATATCTAACAAACAGCAAATAAAATCGCTGTTCACTTTTTTGACATTGAATAATCTTTTTGATTTTCGGGAAATGTCGCAATTCCATATTTCTAAAAAGCAGAAAAATTTCATCATATTTGATTTTCTACCTTTAATAATGTAATTTTTTGTTCTTTGTAAATTGACGTTATTTAGATATACTGAAGTTTACTGCGAATTTCATCTTTATTATATTATGTTAATTTAAAACTTGTCTCGTAAAGACAAAATGCAACATCTTATTTTTCAGCGAGTTTCTCTCCCTTTCTCTCTTTTTTTGCATAGAAGGAAGAGAAAAACCTGACTTTTTCGTTAAAAATTCCTTTTTATAATAAAATTGTATTTAATAAAAATGCAATAGTTAATCATAATAATTGTCATTATTAATTATCAGAGAATCATATTTATCAGGAGATCTGACAAATAGACAAATAGACATTAATAGAGTATTAATGTTTAGTGTGGTATTACAAATGTTCCTAAAACAGACTTTACTTTTACATCTTTATGATGGTAGGAAGCAGAAGGCGTTATTATTTGGAAAAATACAATTTATGGCTATGTCTCAAAACAAATAGCCTTAATAAGATTTTAATATTTATATCCAGGCTATTCTTTTAAAATGTTATTTTTTTTATTTGATAGTATAATTTTTTTATTTGAGGTGTTCGATTAAAAATGGGATGTTTTATATGCTATATATTAGAATAGAAGTAGAAATAGTAGGTATATTTATATATTAGTATATATCAGTATATATAATATACTATATATACTGATATATAAATATATAGTATATATTTATTATATATTAGTTTAGTACATGTTTTATAAATAAAAACAAAAGGAAAGATAGCAAAAGCAGCTGGAAAGAAAAGGGACGCAAGTGAGATGAAAAAAGAAATAGTAGTAAGAGATAGGGAAATAAGATTATTTGACTTGAATTTTTGTTCAATTTTCTGGGATTGGTTAAAAAATATATGTTATGTTCGCAATTTCGGTGAATAGTCTAATATAACTATTATAAAACAAAAGTGATATCTGCATATTGAAATATTTGCAAAAGAAATTGTGTTTGAATCTATCGTACAAAAATCTCGTACAAAATGAACGTACCGTGCATAACAACTCACAAGTTAAATATTTTTAACATATTTATTATTTAATACTTAATAATATTTAAAACCTATTTGTAAATGTGAATATACTAGTTAAAATTAATCAGCGTATTAAGTCTCAGAGTACTCAGTTCCTGCAGAATACAGTTTATTAGATTATTTATTGCGTGTATGTCCTGTAATTGAAATTACGAGATTAAAGTGGTAGTAATAGAAAGTCCAAAAATTGTAGGGATTATACTTACAGAGTATTTTTTTGTTTATATTTATAAAATATGTACTTTAGATATTTATACTTTATAATTAATTTGGTTATACCGAGTATTTCAGACCACCCGGGTCACTCGATTTTTTCGTTAACGCGATATTTTAGAGAAAAATATTTCAGACAAAAGTTGTAGGGCTTCAAAGAATCAATTTACTGACGCTATGAATTTGACTTTAGAAGATAATCTTGAAAAGTTCAGTCAAGATCAACATAAAAATCTTAAATGGATACCCCAATTTTTTATTACATCATCTTTTTTTAGCAATTAATTTGAACAACTTTTGTCTCAAACATTTTTTTTATTTACCTAATACTTTTTGAGATATTTAAGGAAAACTTGATAACTCTTTCAATATTTAACTCACGATATCTCGCTAACTATTTGTCAGAAAAAAAGTGGTACTAGACTTTTTTGCTCTATTTAATCTCAAGAATATATTGTTTCAATAACGCTCTGAATTTGGTTAATTTGATGATTTGAAATTTTCAAAAATCAGCAAATTAACAAAAGTCAGGGCGCTATCGCAAAAATATATTCTTGAGATTAAATAGAGCAAGAAAGTCTAGTACCACTTTTTCTTCTGACAAATAGTTAGCGAGAAGATATCGTGAGTTAAATATTGAAAAAGTTATCAAGTTTTCCTTAAATGTCTCAAAAAGTATTAGGTAAATAAAAAAATGTTTGAGACAAAAGTTGTTCAAATGAATTGCTAGAAAAAGATGATGTAATAAAAAATTGGGATATCCATTTAAGATTTTTATGTTGGTCTTGTCTGAACTTTTCAAGATTATCTTCTAAAGTCAAATTCATAGGGTCAGTAAATTGATCCTTTGAAGCCCTACAACTTTTGTCTGAAATATTTTTCTCTAAAATGTCGCGTTAACGAAAAGATCGGGTGATTTGGGTGGTCTGAAACACCCGGTATATATAATATAGAAATTTATGTGTATCTATTGTAATATGTATATGTTATATATATGTTAAGATTTATAATCAATAATGTAATGCAAGGGCATGTTCTTTCAAGATTATTAAAATAATGTTTTTCTTCTTTTTTTAATTGCAATAATATATAAAATATTCTTAGTTGTTAATTATTTGTCGTTATTGAAAAAAAACGGAAATGATTTCAGTAAATTTTATTTTGTTTTAAAATCAGTAAAATATTAATCTTTTTAAAGCTCAACGTCGTTCTGTAGACATTCTCTCGCATATACATCATGTTAAATCTTTTACTTGTCTCACATAAAAATCTTTCGTCTCAGACGACACTTGCCGGTCTGATGAATTTACCTGCGCGAATAAGCATTGCATACAACAATTATGGGTATGCGACCATGACAATGATTGTGGAGATAATAGTGACGAGAAAGCTTGTGGACCGGTAACTTGTCATCCTGACACTGATTTTGCGTGCTCCGAAAGTTACTGCATAACATCACGGTGGAGATGTGATGGCGACTATGATTGCCCTGATCGTTCCGACGAAATGGGATGTAAGGTATTTGGTATTTTTAATTAACATTTTAACGGTCACACTTATTTCGGAATAGTTTTCAACTACTATCAGCAGATATCAGGATGGAGACATAGGTTTGATGTTTCTAATATTTTCTTAGGAGCCTTCAGAGAAAATAAGCCACTGTAACAAGGAATTTGATTGCAACGATGGCGTAACTTGTATACACCAGACTTGGGTATGTGATGGGGAAAAGGACTGTCCAAATGGTGCGGACGAATCCCCGCAGAGATGTCACAATATCACGTGTAGGCCTGATCAATTTCAATGTGAAGATCGACATTCTTGCATATCAGGTATTTGAAATTCAATTAAATATATATATATATATATATTTATTTATTGAGTACGAAATATAAGATTACTTTCAATATAAATTGAAAATATTTTTATGATTATTATTAAATTAAACAAAATTATTAATGATAGATTTATCGAACATATTAGCGCCTCATGTTAAATTGTATAATTATTGCATTTGTGTATTTCACATATAAACATTAATTACACATTAACATTATACAACATTATTTCGCTGCAATTTAAGTTCAAAGCAAAAAAAATATCCAGAGATACTAATAATTTTCATGTTTAGGTCATCTGTATTGTAATGGTAAAACTGAATGCGCCGACGGAAGCGATGAAAAAAATTGTACGAGCAAAGTCGTAAGCTGTGATCCACAGGTTCAGTTTGAATGTAGCGAGGGCTCATGTATTCCTCTGGAACACGTATGTGACAAAAATCCAGATTGCATTGGTTGGGAAGACGAGAGCATCCAGTACTGTGGCGTGAACGAGTGCGCAAAGAATAACGGAGGATGCTCGCAGATTTGTGTCGACTTACCTATTGGTTATCGATGCGACTGTAATGCAGGATATAGGCTCATTGACAATCGCACATGTGATGGTAAGAGTAAAAGTTCAACGACTAAGGCTAGATTCACATTATTTGTCTAGATGACGACAGATAGAAATCCGTCAATCTTCTGTTGAATTCTTTTTAAATGGAAATTGTTAAAATGCGACGGTAACGAGTACTACAAATACTTTAATGCAAAAGCTTTAAAGAATATTTTGAAAAATGGTTGATGGAATCTTGTCTGCCATCATCTAGACGGATTAGCTTAGATAATGGATTCGACCTAAGAATTCCAAATATTTCGTAATAAAATAATATAAAGCTCAATTATAAACACACACCTTGAAAAGTGCAAATATTGAAATTGAGATATATTACAAAATGATATTTATAATAAAAAAGATTTTATATTTCAGATATCAATGAATGTTTGGAGCCCGGCAGTTGTTCTCAATTTTGCAAGAATGAAAAAGGTAGTTTTAAATGTAGTTGTGCCGCCGGTTATCTTAAAGATCCACGAAATCTAACACGTTGTAAAGCAGCTGAAGGTCACGCGAGTTTGCTATTCGCTCGCCGACATGACATCAGAAAGGTAGCTTTGGATCGTCAAGAAATGACTGCTATCGTTAATAACACTAAGATGGCAACAGCTTTAGATTTCGTCTTCCGTACTGGAATGATTTTTTGGAGTGATATCAGTGAAAAAAAAATTTACAAGTAAGTTATTGTAATCGTATATTGCTACTACGAAATTTTAATCTTCGGGGGAAAGAGGGTTACGTATATATATATATATATATATATATATATTTATTTATTTTTATTTTACTTCATTTATTTATAATTTTTGTATTTTGGGATTTGGGATGGCTTTCATTCTAGAGATTGTTTTTCTCTTTCTTATTTATTTTTTTTCCTTTTCTATTCTCTCTTTTCCCCTTTTTTATATAATAAGTCATGTAATGAATTGAATGACATATTTAGAGCACCAATAGACGAAGGAAATGAGCGAACGGTTGTTATCGAAAACGATCTCACTACGTCCGACGGATTAGCAGTTGACTGGATTTATAGTCATATTTATTGGACGGACTCTGGAAAAGATACGATTCAATTAGCTAATTTTGAAGGGAATATGAGGAAAACTTTAATACAGGATCGTATTCAGGAACCTAGGGCAATAGCGTTGAATCCTTTGGAAGGTTGGATGTTTTGGACAGACTGGAGTGACGAAGCGCGTATTGAACGAGCTGGCATGGACGGTTCTCATCGATCGGTAGGAAACGGAAATTAATAATATTTTTACAAAATATCGTTATCATAGAGACTTTATAAGGGGAAATATTATTAAAAATTGTCATATCAAGCATCCCTAAATCTGTGAGTAATATAAGCAAAACCTTGAGCAAACCCTGAGGAAAAAATTACATAGCATAAATGTCCTTAAACTTTATATATGTTTTAAAATGTTTGTTTCTGAGTAATCTACGATTTGAATCAGGCGACAGATTTTTTTCGCTACATAGACATGATATTTTAAAATAGTAGAACCATCTGATTATGTTATAGTATTTTTGTGAATAGTATTATAGTGAATACTATTTTTTTTTTTTTATTCATTTGCAACATGATCAATTGTAATATACATTTTTCAACACATTGTACAATATTTAATTACAGGCTAATACAAGTTAATACAAACATAATCTATCATTTTCATATTGTTATATGTTACATGTTTCTTAACATTTTGTAAATACAACTTAATTATATTTACTAGGAATAGAATTATCTTACATATTCATACTTTAAAAATATATTATACTACTACATACTTTAAAAATATATTATATTACTAATATATTCAGTAGTGTATCATATACATGCGCGTGCGTGTACGCATATATATATATACACACGCGCACACATGCACGCACGCACGCACATGCACACACAACTATATATAAATAAAGTTATATAAATAGAAATTTTTAAAATATACGTTAAGATTAATGTTATTTATGCTATGTAAGACTTTTTTAAAAATTTATACATGAATCTTTTTCAAGCAAGTTGCGAAAATTTTTATTTATAATTATACTTCTTTCTATTATTATATTAAGTTATTACGTAGAGTTATATAATTTAAGAAAAAAGAACAAGTGATAAGCAAAAATATTTATATCATCGGTACATTATATTATGTTTATATGTATGTTTATTCATCAAATTGCTTCTATTTCTAACAAAAATCTGTTACAGGTGATTGTTGGCAATGATGTTAAGTGGCCTAATGGCTTAGCTTTAGACTTAATTGGCAAGAGAGTGTATTGGGTAGACGCAAAATTAAACATCATAGGTTCCTGCAATTATGATGGTACCGGCAGGCGAACGGTTCTCTACTCTCCCGATAACCTGAGGCATCCCTTTAGTATCACAACCTTTGAAGATTATGTGTACTGGACTGATTGGGATAAGGAAACCATCTTTAAAGCCAATAAATTCACTGGAAAGGAAGTAGAGGCTGTAACATCTATTAGGACGCTTCAGCATCCGATGGTAGTTCATGTGTATCACCCATATAGACAGCCTGATGGGATGAATCAGTGTCAAGCCGTCAATGGACATTGTAGTCATCTATGTTTGCCGGCACCTAAAATCAATTCTAGATCGCCATTGTTATCGTGTGCGTGTCCTGATGGCTTACGGCTATTATCCGACGGATTAATGTGTGTGGAAAATGGTAAGTCAACATAATAGAGGATACAATGATTGACAAATTATATTTTAATATTTTCAAGTTATCGTATAACTTTCAGTTAGTAGTTCAATTAGATCATGTTGGGCAAGTATCTTAACGTTAAATGTGATCTTTTTAAATTTTTTAAATAGTGGTCCTGCCAAATTACGATGTTACAAATTTCAATTAAGAGAATGTTTAATTACATAATTGGTAGAATAGTTAAAAATTAGAATGTTTAATTAAGCAATATTAGCATGGAAAGTTACTCATAAATCTGTTACGGATCGTCTGTAATACAACACATGACGTAAAAGTAAAATTTGGGCTTTGCAACAGTATTTCATTGCATGTTGTTGGTGCATTTTTTATTTATGCTTATTATGTAAGTCGATAAGAAACGTGCTCAGAACTTTATTTTTGCTTCAAACTTATTATTATTCTTTCATCTCTAACTTATTCGTTGTTACTCGAAAATTGTTTTATACGTATGTTTATAATGCATATATTTACGCGTTAATGTCGATATTTTATATGAAGTTATTATTTAAACAATGATAAATTATTTGACACACTTGATCTTATATAAATATACCAGTAAAACGTAAAAATATGTACAAGAAAACGTGTATTCGATTTTCGAGTTTGAAAAGAAAGGTTGCAATCATTTAACGAGGATTGCTTGAAGATATTACAGGCTCATTAGTTTTCTTATTTCATTTACTTACATTCATGTTGCATGAATTTGGGTACTCCAGATACTACGACCGTAGCATCGACAACGGAACAAGCTACAAAGCTGTTTAGGAAGGTTGGACCTCCGAATATTACTACGACTACCAGTAAGTTTGGTTGGATGATAGTTTTGTAATGTACCTGTGGATTCTATTTTGGAAAAGGGAAAGGAAGTTAAACATTTTTTCATGTCTAATTTTCATATCTAGTTACATATGTAAAATTAATTTAATTGAAATGTTGATGCACATCTATTCACATAACATACATTTCATGTAATTATTTTTATACACTGCTCAAAAAGAATTATGGCATAGATAATTTATTGCCGAAAACTGACCAACTTTGACTGGCGATTGTAGACTAATGATTTTTGTTTCAAAATGAAGCTTGAAATCTCTACTTTAAAAATGTATCTCCATTTTTTGCATGCGATGCACCCCTACCCCTGTAACCCCTGACATCTGAGGGCATGTTTGGTATACTGAAAATTGCAAAGTTTGACGGAATGCACGGACGTGGACAATTTTTTTCGGGAACGTCGTTTACATCGTCATAAAGTTCAAATCTTCCCCTTCAATTTGAAAAAAAATGGAGTCGCTACAATTTTTTTTCGCAAACTTACAACTCTTCAAAAATATTGTTGTTTTTTTTGGCCTTCGGGCCAAGTGTGCACGCATGTACGTGCGTCCATGACAGAAGAGATAAGGACTTCGTGGTATACCTCAGATGTCAGGGGTTATAGGGATAGGGATGCATCGCATGCAAAAAATGGAGATACATTCTTAAAGTAGAGACTTCAAGCATTATTTTGAAACAGAAATCATTAGTCTACAATAATTTTTCGCGAAGTAATCGCCAGTCAAAGTTGGTCAATTTTCGGCAATAAATTATCTATACCATAATTCTTTTGAGCAGTGTATTTCATGCCGTCTATTTTTTAATAAAAAATGAACACTAAATCGGTTGAAAAATAGGTAACTCGCTCTGTCTAGAAAATAGCTACAGAATGTTTGAAATTAAACATCGCTCATGTGTATATTGGATCAAATTGAACAAAATAATCTTTCATCATTTTGCAAACAATTACGTAGATTTTTTTAGTTAATAATAATAATAAAACGGTCTTCATTGAAATTTCGTCCATGCCACATAGATAGTGTTTATAACAAATCTATCTCTAACATATAGAGTTTACTATGCCTTCCTAACAACGTACTTCAATTGAAACTTGTTTTACTCCAGACGAGGAGATTTACGAACAATAGATAACCAAAGAATGTTGAGCCTGACAGATTCCTTTTCAGTCTAGCATGAACCAGAAAATCCATGAACATAATTTCATCCTTTATATTACATTGTTTGCAGTTGTATTTCCCATTACATTTCACAACTTATGAAGGAACTTTATAGAACTCAGCGCTTCAATTTTCCATTTGCCAATCGATAATCAATGAGAAATAAGTAATATTTGCTGCTTGGCTAGCTGCCGATTGATAAATGAAGATTTTAGGCACTGTTCCGTCATTCAGGCATCACATGCGATTATTTACCAATTTGCTTTAGTTAATAACTAAAAAAATTTATATGGTTTGTAAAATGATAAAGGATTTTTTATTTAATTTGATCTAATTTACATGTACATGAACGTTTTAAATTTATCATTAGTATATTAAGACTTCTGGTCCCTAATTATAGCCAAATAGTCATTCATCTTTTTGTGATATATTTTATCTTGATAAATTAATATATAATGCAATTAACATGTGGCATATACGCGCGCGTACGTGCACGTATTTCCAATGAAAATATATCTTATGATGGATGTTCAAAATTTTCAACTATTAATTAACGAATCAAAATAAATCTTCAATATTGTTACAGTCTGTGCATCCTTTCGTCCATATTCTTAGCAACTCAGAATTGTGATTTTAAGACACTCGGTATTCACGTTTATGGTTATGAATAAATAAAAGAAACATGGTTTAGAAACTCTAATAATATTTAATGAAGAACTGTCAGAATATAATATCCATAATATCCATCGTTTTATTTTAAATTTAGCACTCGATCGTAACATCTGCTCTACGTAACAACTCGTACGAAACTTATGTTTTCCGCTGTTAATAAATACGTTGTTGATGTTATTCAAGAGACAAAAACTTTTGTTTAATCTTTTTGAAGACCGAATAGAGTCGATCATTTCGATTTGATGAAGATATATCGAATATAATAATATATTTTATTAGTTTATACTATCAAATGAAAGTAATGACACACGAAGAAACTAATTTATTTTGACATTAATACAAATGAATTTATATTCTTTTTACTTGAGATATAAATTTATATAAATGTGGCTGCTCCTAGGAAATAGAAGTTTTAACTGTAAATAAGACTGTTAGTATTCGTCAATTTTGAATCATAATTTATTTATTGTAATTAATTAAAATTACTAATTTCCTTTATAATACAAAAGTGTAAAAATAATCAAATTTACCATTTGTACTAACAAGGAAATGTTGAAATATTTCTTATCAATTTTGATGGACTTTGAACATGTAAATCTATAAGAAATGAAACACGCATTTTTTTAAATACGTATTTTTTAAAATTCTCTTGCATACATTTAGGAATTGAAATCCTTCCAAGATAATTTGATAAAACTGATTTTCTATGAATATCTTCTTCAAAACTTTGAGGTGCACAGTAAAATGCTTTAAACGATCATTTTATGATGTTCTGTATATTTAGATTTTCTGAAAATGTATTTTTATAATATCTTTGTGAATATTATTCAAAAATATAACCAGGATAACATGTATCAAAATCAAGGTCATTGGAGGTGAGTTTGTTAATGCAAATAATTATCTTCATTTTTAGCTGACATAATATTGTTAAAAGTTCATCGAAATTTATGAGAGATGCATCCAAACATTTTCTCGTAAACATTTTTATTCCAATCATCTTATACATAAAATGAGTTTGCTGCATGTCTTGCATGTATATGTATTTTTTAATATCATAAAAATATATATTATAAAAATTTAATTTCTACATGTATATAATTTTGCATGTTTTTCTTATATTTGTATTCTTATTGCACATATCTATTTTTAATTTTCAGCAGTATTATAATATGTGCATTGCTTGAAAATTAAATTCATTTTAATGTTTTACTAATTAATATTAATAATTTTACTATGCAGTTATGAATAGGTATTGAAAATATACGAAAAATTTATTGGTATCTTGTTATACTGAAATACTCTCAACTTAAATCAACTTCAATATTTTTACAATTAATACGCTATTTTTAGATCCACTACCTTCAGCAGATACAGATGGAAAAGGAAATTTAGCTGAAGCAGCAGATCCTGGCTTAGTTGCCGGTATTGTGATAGGCGTCGTGTCCTTAGGATTATTATTACTTGCACTTGTGGCTGTACTTTGCTACAGGCATTACCTTCATCGCAATGTCACTAGTATGAACTTTGACAATCCCGTCTACAGGAAAACTACCGAAGATCAATTTAGTCTTGAAAAGAACAGATTTCCGCTTCCTACAGCTACAGTTGGAGAAGAGGTAAAACTGTTAGACATTAATTTTTAATTATTTTTAATTTTTTAATTTTTCTCAGTTATAATTATTTTTACGACTTTCCCTCTCTCTCTCTCTCTCTCTCTCTCTCTCTCCCTCTCTCTCTCTCTCATCTCTCACCTCTCACCTCTCACCTCTCCTCCCTCATCTCTCATCCCTCATCTTTTTATATCTCAAATGATGTATTTATTCTTGATAAACGCTATAAATATGAAATTTAATTATACAATATCTTTTTGTTACGAAGAAATTACAATTATGAGAAAATACAATATATGGTTGCACTTATTTTTCACACACAGGCCCAGGAACCATTGACGAGTCCTGGAACAAACGACTATGTTTAAGATTCAATATGTCAATATCGAAAGCTTAACAGGCTATTAGGAAGTACTATATCGACCAAGTGATAAAACCATGTAAAAAACGAGGTATTTGCGTCAAAAGAGCTTGTCCAAACGCATCATGCCTGCGCCGCTCTCGCCCGCAAGCCTGCCAAACAACTGTGATTATGTTAATGTTTTGTATCTATTTCTTTACAAATTTTAGCACATTGTCATTCGAATATATGTATTGTATATTATGCGTACGCAACGTTTAGATTTGCTTCGGGACATAAAGGGAGAAATGCTTAGAGAAACCGTTGCCAAATAAGCGAAGTTAAAAGCTCTACATGTATCCAAATAGTTCGATAAGATTTCTATTTAATATCTTTTGCTTTTTAGTTAAGCAAGATGTAATTTGTAATATAGCACTTTTCGCAAGGATTTAGCATATGCTTGTGCATACGATTATGCTTACAGAAAAAATATGGCATATGCATGCCATGCTTCTACATGTAGTATATATATATACAAATTTAACTTGTTTAAATATTTATTGTTTTTAAAGATTGCAGTGGTTTTCTTGAGATTAATTTTTTTCTGAATTATATATAAATCTCAAAATTGTTATCAGAATTCTCATGGATCTCATGGAATCTCAAAATTGTTATCAGAATTAATTAAAAGATGGATCATTATCATGGATCATTAAGTGAAATAAAAAAGGCTATGAATCAATGTTTTCTATTCTGAACTTCATTTAAAATTTATCATTTTTTATTATATAAAGAAGAGAAACATTTTTGTCGATGTAATATAAATTTTGAACAATAGGAATTTTGTATGTGATATATAATTCTATTCATAAGTGGATTTTATTGTGGTTCGGATTTACGATTATATTTATATACATATAATATAACATTAATTTTCCAAGAAAAAAAATTAAAAATTGTAAATGAAAAGCTATGCATGCAGAAAAAATTTCTCCTTTTATGTCTACATAATGCGTTCAATGTTGTAGACATATGTAATAGGATCATGTTTCAACTTATAAACTGCCTATACTTCGACGGACAGTCCATATCACAAAGAGAGCTCTATTTACAGATATTAAGTTATTGTTTGTAACTGAATTGTAACAAAACAAAAAATTATCATTATTGTAACAACATAAGCTCAATGACATTAAGTATGACTGTATCCGTTAAAAAAAAAATTGTTGCCAAGATTTTAAAATTATTAAAAGAAATCGGTGTATTTGTATAAAATTATTGCGTGGGGCTTAAGAAATTTATTTACTATATTTACTACATAATTATATATATACAAGATGTCTCAGCATAAATGTGGCTATCCGCTTTTATTTTCTTAACTAATGAAAATAGAGAAAATATAAAAAATAAAATCAGGATTTAGAGCCAAAATTTAATAGCATGATCCGATACCTATTGTGAATATATGTGATTAATTTCTTGCAATTTTTAAAGCAAATACATACAAAGTAAGATAAACAAAGTTGAATCATAAACCTCAAGGCATATTCTGGTTTGGAATATTGTTTATCAGATACCATTATAATTAACTACTATTATTAACTAACTACTATCGGGTGAGTACAGAACTTTCGAGGGGTTTCTTAAAAATGTGATTGATCCAGTTTTATAGCAGTGCTACAAATTTGTAGATATATAGTATACCAAATGAAAAACAATAGCTATTACTTAATAAAATAAGAGAGAGAGAAAGGATATATCATTTTCAATAAAATTTTTTTTTTCATTTAGTTTATTTTTTTTATCACGAAATCCATCAAAACTTTTGCATTCACCCAATATTATTCCCTGCACACGTTTTAAAAATCTGTAGTAAACTTCTACAGTTCTGCAAAAGAGACTGACATAATAATGACTGCCATTACCCAATTATATTGTTTAATATGATATAATTTTTAACAACATATCTATCCCAATGAAAAGAATTTAAGCATATCTCCATAATCTTATTCTCCCTTTCCCTTCCATAATGAAGTTTATTAAATTTTATTGGTAACAGTCTGCTTCAATTTAGAAAATAAAAGGGATTATTATTTATGCTAAGATAACTTGTATAGAAGAATGTAAAGCATGGTTTATCAAAGATATGTATCAGTTCCAGTTTCAGAAAATTAAGTTTTAAAACTACCTTGTTACCATTATTCATTACTCATTAAAAATATAATTAGTTACTATTGTCTTTAGTCAAATTTATTACTGAAATATTGTTATATTTTTTTATTAATTTCTGAGATTTTTAATATATTATTTCATTTATTTTGTAATATCTATCGACTACAAACCTCGCCGCACTCAGAAACGATAGTAACAACGAGTATCTTCTACATATACAAAATAACTATAAATGTAAGGAGTATATTCGTTGTCGGTAATTAGTAAAAATAAAAATGTTACTGTCAATTACAAAAAGAATAAACGCCATTCTATTTACGATATTAGGAAAAAAACTAGTAGCGATAATGATGTTACAAATAACATTTCACTGCTGAAGATTAAATAGTAACGATTATAATTTTCTTGAATAAAAATTGAGATTGAATTTCTTTTTGTGATTGAAATTCGTAATATCATGACCCGTTATATAATTTGTAATCTTCAATTTTAATTAACTCAATAATTAAACTTAGATTAAAATTTCAATAAGAAGTTTCATATATATTATATCAAACTGAACACTGTTACTGATACATACCTTGTAATGTTCTATATATGTATATTTATCGTATATATATATAATTATCATACTAAGAATGATTAAATTAAGAGACAAATACACAAAAAATGTTTTATTATATATATACGATCATTAAGAGATATAGTATTAGAATAACCAGTGCTATGTATGTTGACAGATAGCTAATTGATTTCACTTCTATGCAATAATTTCATATTTTTGTCAAAATGTCAATAATTTTTGTATGAATCATTTTATCTGGTCTTATTTCTACGGGACCAAATCATTTTTGTACATTAAGCTATACAAAATATATATCTGGATTTTTTTATTTTACATATTAAAAATTACACGATACAAAATCGTGATCATAATCTAACAATTGTTAGATATAAAAAGAAAAATAATAAAATCGAAATTACAAGTATAGTTTCACACTTAAAGATGATAGATAATAAATGATAAAAAAGAAAGATGATAAAATCATTGAGATTACCATTGAGAGTATAATTTAATATTTTTATGTAAGAAAAAATTATAGTTACATTTATAACTTCATAACGTTAATTTTGCCAATAATTTTTGGTTTCATATCGTATTGAGCAAATTCTACTCATCCTTCTACTTATGATTGGTTGTCTGTTAACGGGAACATAGTGCAATTGTAAGTGCAAGAAAGCGAAGTCCAAAATTTAGATATATAGAGGCTTGGTGGTAATTTTAATCAAAAAAATAGAAAGTGCGTGTGTGTGGTGATATTATGTAACTAATTGTGCAAATCATAAAGGCATAACTTGCCTTAGCCAACCTATCTGCCAAAATTGTGTCAAACATAATCTTTATGCGGCATACGTTAGGTCATGTACATGCATGCTCGTACGTGTGTGTATGTATGTATCGCGTGCGCGCACTATATATAACGTAAATACAGGTAGAGTTCTGTACAGGCGAAAACATCACAACTGAACCCATTACTCGACCGTCTGTTTATTGATATGGATAACTAAGAATGTTCACGAATCATTCTCAGATTTTGGACGAGTAGAGTTTTGTAAATGCGAGAATATTATAACTTGCTATTCGCTCACCTGTTCATTGAAGAGCAACTACAATAGAAATGGATAGGTCAGATTACTTATTCGAATGTTATTTTTTTCGAATGTTGGGTAATTCGGACAGGTTAAGTATGAATAAATATGCAAATATACGAGTCAGATATATGACACAGAAATTAGGACAAATATAAATCTGATAAAAGATTACATTTGCAGAACTCTATAAATACAGGATGTGTTCCTGAATATTGTAATATATTTAAATAACATATTCTAGAGAGAGAGAGAGAGAGAGAGAGAGAGAGAGAGAGAGAGAGAGAGAGAGAGAGAGAGAGAGAGAGAGAGAGAGAGAGAGAGAGAGAGAAATGTCCAATATGAGTCAAAGATCTTCATACTTACATATTATGTCTGTATGTATGTATGTATGTATGTGTGTGTGTGCGTGCGTGCGTGCGTGCGTGCGTGCGTGCGTGCGTGCGTGCGTGCGTGCGTGCGTGCGTATATGCGTGTATGCGCGTATGTGTATATGTGTATGATTATATTTTTTGTTGATCTTTCATCTCATATAAATTTCACGCGTTTAGGTCCATAATGCTATATGGTAATAAGAATTTTGACTTACATTATTCTATATATATATATATATATATATATATATATATATATATATATATATATATATATATATATGCGCGCGCACGTGCATATGTGTGTATGTGTGTGAATATACATATACACAGGGTGTCTCATTTCATAGAAAATATTTTAAGGCCAGCAGCAAACCTATTACAAAACTTCATAACGTATGCGTTATGATTATAACGTTTGTGTTATAGAATACATAATACTTATTTTATGATTATATATTCCGTAAATACATTTTTATGCATTACATTGACAACGTGGTCAACAAATATGGTGGTAAACATATTACCTAGAAAGCACAAGGACGTCCTCCGGAGAATCACAGGACATCCAGTATGGATAGTGGACGATCTATCGATATCCTATTTTAGTTCCAAGATATACTATGGATGTCCTGATGAAGAGTAAATGATAGCCGAATATTACTTTCAGGATAGTCTCATAGATATTCGTGTAGGACATCCTCACGATTTCTACGGGATACATTATAGATATTGTACATTTTAAATACTAAATTCTAAAAATGAAATGCAGATTAGACGTGTTCTCACTGCTCAATATTTTAGAAGCAACAATATGCACTAAGAAAGAAGTTACTAATAAAAAAATTTTTCTCAGTTTTAGTAAACCATATGTTTGCAAACAATCATGAACATATTTATTTAAAATAAGCAAATATATCTATTTATTTAAAGAAAATGATTCTTCTATTAAGTAAATTATTATTAAATGTAAAAAAGATATTTTCTACAATACAGTCAATATTTATTGAAATAAAAATAATATTTACTATTAGATAGCAAATCTTCCATTTTTTTTAATCATTTTAAAGTCAATTTTAAAATCAATTTTAAAGTCTCTACATTTGTTACTATTTTTATTGTTTTATTCTTAAGTATTGTCAATTATTTTATCTGAAATATCAATTTTGTCAATTTTGTGCCGTTTAATCGCAGACCCATTTATGTTATATTTATATTATATTTGAAAAATTCGTTTGGCACCGATCAAACTCGAACCTAAAACTTCGGAACTTTCAGTTGTGAATTAATAACTATATCTTGCTTAAAAAAAATATATATATATCATTGTCTATATATAGCCTAAAATTTTACAAGCAATTCTACTTATAATAGATATAACATATTTCATTACGTGTATTAATAAAATATCTTTTAAATATTATCGGTAATACTTAAGAGAGGGATAAAGTAGTTATTTCAAGTATATGTTTTGTAAAATGTGATAAAATCTACTGAAAAATATTTATTGTTTATAAATAAAACATTTTTTTTATTTTTAATAGTTTGCACACAATTTCGAGAACTTGAGTTTAAACAGATGTTTACAGAAACTTTTTCTTTTTAATGGAAACTTCCAGAGCTAGAAGTAAATACAGCTAGATTTCAATAAATATTAACTACAGTATGTTGCGTCCGAATTAGATTGTAATTAATTAGATTGAAATAATTCCTAGAAAAATTAATTTCCTAATTTTTGATACTTTAGTTTACTATAATTAAATAAACAATTTCATGTTTAAAACATTATTTACTGAATATAATTATAAAAAAGTATTTACTAAAATTAACATTTTTCTTCAGTGTAAAATAAACTATGTATGTAATATGTCAAGTGCTAAATATTATATTTTTACTATAATAATTTCAATAGTTTTCGCATAAAATATATTTAAAAATGAGTAATTTGTCTCTTCGTGTAACAAGATTTTTGTTCTTGTTATCTTATGTAATAGATTTTATCGCTTCATTTTGAGTGTTTATGTCAGTGAAATTTAACATAGAGATCACTAACTTTAAAACGAAACTAATATTTGCAATATTTGCAAGTATTGTGAGTGAATTTCTTCACCAAGAAATGTTACATATATTTTATATCACGTAGACTTTCACGAATTTATAATATATAAAAATATTGTTTTATAAATACAGAATGTGATGTTATCTGGGTATCATCGTCATGATGTTATTCTGGATGTGTTCAAAACGTCCTAAGATATTTCTCAAGACATCCGGAATAATTCTAAGACATTCTGTTTAGAAAATTTCAGTAATTAATAAGTCAAACATTTTAATTAATTAAAAGTAATTATAAATATACATAAAATTATTTCATAAGTATTTTTAATAAAATCTCAAACATCTTTCTCTATCTTTTCCCCCCTCCTAAGAGTTTTAAAAAAACATTTTGTGGATATTTATATTCTTTATAATATCTGGCATTCTTAAATTAATATTTTAAAATGTTTCGTGTAATAGGAAAAAGTCAAGTATATAGAGATAAAATTTTCATAATATATTTTATAAAATATTTATAATAATATATCAAAATATGTATCCTAAAAGTATTTTAAGACATCCTAAATATATAAGTATAATCCCCTGAGGACATTTTGTGCTGCCTAGGTAAGTTTACACTGTATCGTTTATTAGCAAATTGTATTTTGTCTCTATTCAGATATAGCACAATATGTTTTATAATTATTTCAGACATTCAAAATGTTTTAGATGTGTCCCAAGCCATCTTGAATATATCTAAGATTATAGAAATTATAGAAATTAATCTTGAAAGTTTTGCCACTATTTGAATAAATTGCTTTTAGAGATCGTTTCACTGCATCACACACTCGTCAATTTTTTTTAATTAACATTTCAGTAATTATTATGGTTGTTTGCAAAATAGTAAAGCATTTTTTGTTCAATTTGACGAGTTATATCTATATACGAGCAGATATATACGTACATTACATACCTTATATACACACATATACATGTATGTATATATATATGTGTGTGTGTGTGTGTTTAAAACTTCCAATTCAAAATATTCAAACATTGTTTATTATATATGAAAAGACAGATAATTTATCAAATATTTTAGATATTCTAACATTTATGAACCAAAAACGCCAGATTCAGTTAGATTTTTTCTCATATGACTATCGAACTTTTTAATTCAGGTCTTTTTTTTTAATGATGAAATTGTATAATTTTCTTGACATAAATTGATTCTACCTGTCAATTGATAAAAATATTGATGGTAGATCATAGAGAAATAAATACTTTCTGAGATATTTTGTTTATTATTCTTTAATATTTTCTCTTTTCATGAAATGTAAAACATCTTTCAAGGTATTTATCTTCTGATCTGACTTTAGTACTTTTATACACGAAATGATGAATAAAATCGGTTGTTAACAAACCTAGTTTTAATAAAAAAGAATTAACAACTTCATAGCTTGATATACATGCAAATCAGAAATAAAATAATTATATTGTATGTGTCTCTTGAAATCATGCAATTTTTGTTTAAAATATTTTTATTGTAGACCGGACAGTTTACGACTAATTCGAAGTGATACTTTCAAATGTTTTGTTCTATCATATATATATATATATAATTTATATATTGTCTACTTATCACTCTATATTTACACGCTTGCACGCACATGCGCGCATACACATACTCAAAATTTATATTATATAATTATATAAATAAAATTGCAATAATGCCGTGTTATCCTACTTATGAAAGATAGAAGATTGTAAAATGTAAAATTTGTAAATAAGTCTATTTGAGAAAAAATTTATGTTATGGAAAACCCCTGCATTATAAATATGTGAAAAATAAAGAAACCATAATTAAAAAAAGAAATTTATTTTGTACAACAAAGCTAAAAATTTAAAAATTATTCTGTTTCATACGATTCAGTTGATGAAATGGTCTCATCTTTTATACAGTCTGTAACATATGTCCTTGTCACTATACATTTCGTCATGTAACAATTACATGGAATATCATGTTCTACTTCTTCTGCATCCAACACCTTTACTTCTATATTATAACACCTCGGACACATTGTGTCCTTTTTTAAATGTAATTTAAAAGCAATAGGTTCATGTTTCTCTACTTCTACATCTACAGGAAGAACAACTATGGTTTGCTTCCAATGTGTCGCCTCATCATGAGGCCCTGTAGACATTTCTGAACCATCTGGAAATTCAATTGTAAACCAAATGCATATTCCTTGATATCTTCCATCCTTGTTACACACTGATACATAGTCCTCTCCACATAATAGGTCTAGTTCTTCTCTAGAAATACATTTTAAATCCAGCCAAGCGACCAATTTACCTTCTGCTAAAAGATCATTTTGATCTAGACACAGTAGTTCTGGAGTTTTGGATTTGATTTCTCTATACTGTTTTCCAATACACCTGTACAAAAATAGAGACCATATTATAAAATCAATAGTTGTGATGATAAATGTCAGTTTACAATGACAAAAAAGGCTATAGAGGAAAAATATACTTCATTATTTTTCCGTCTTTTATTAGTTAAAATGAATTGTTTGCTGGAATTTGCAATGTTTAATGAATTATTTAATATGAAATTTGTACTGTTTTTCTAAACATGTTTAAAAAACATGTTTTTTAAACATATGTTTAGAAAAAGGTTTTCATTCACAAAAACTGTTTTCTTCTCTCTTCTTTCATATAATTTTGTGATAATTACCTCATACTGACTCCATGTACATTGTCCCAAAATTCATACATAATTCGTAACTGACATGGTGAAGCATACAATTTTGCTACAGATGGGAATAATAAACCATTCTCTTGTAAAAAATTATCTCTAGCATAAAGCAAGGAATCTAACATTCCTTCATGTACTAAATAAAAACCCATCCATTCTGAAATAATTATATCCACTTTTTCCAAACTATCTGGATAGATATCTTCTATTTTGCTGTGAATTACTTCAATTTTATCCTGTACGTTATTTTCTATTGATACTTGCTCAATAGTTTTTGCTAATATAGTTGCTTCTACTGCATAAACCTTTTTTGCACCAGCTTGAACACTAAAAACTGATAATATGCCTGTAATATAAAAATAGTATATATAATTTAACTAATCATGAGCAAAAATATAATACATGAATTTGGGCATATAGTTAGTTACCTGTGCCTGCACCAACATCCATTATTATTTTGTCTTGAAATTTTTCTTTTGAATTAAAAATTGCAGTTTTGTATGCTAAAACACGTATCTTGTCATTTAGCATTAATTGATGAACCTAAAAGTATATATAATATAAATGTGTCATAAGTTATATATATATATATATATAATAAAAACATTAGTAATATATAAATTAAACATGAATTAAACAAATTTGTTTTACTTACATCAAGTTCTTCATAACTTTGGAAATAGCGATCCATAGTTTAACATATAAAGGTAGATAAAAATTTTGTAAAATAATTCTATTTTTTTATATATTTAATGTTTAATTTTTTATTTATATTTTTCCCAGCAAATTGATTCTATTAAAAAAAAAAGGAATATTCTACTTTAATCATATATATATTTGTAAGATATATATATATATATAAGATATATACTTTTATTTGTACAATAAAATTTAAAATATATAAATGCTTTCTCACTTTCCCTCTAACAAATGTTTTAAATTTTCAATATTATTTTGCAAGTTTTCCAAATTAATTTTTAAAATTTTAATTAGTATATTTTCCATTTCTCTTAGATGTACATAATAAAAAAATATAGCAACAATTAGCTATAAAAAGTTATAATTACCTAAAAAAAATTCTAATGTAATTTCATATTCAATAGAGTATATATAAATGTAATTATTAATTATTACTGAAATAACTCCATATAAGTAAAGATATAACTTGTATATATAAATAATTGGTAATAAATATATTGGATAAATAATTAAAATTCTTAAGTAAGTAGAACATACTTGTATGCATATAACAAGTAGAAAATGTCAGCAATATACTAGAAAATTAGCAGCAGATTTAATTAGAAAGCTATAATAGACCTACAGCTTACGTGTTCCCAATTAATTCGTATTCTGTCAACAGTGCCTGCTGACATAACCTGATACCAAGTCTGCAACAATACTAAGTTTATGTTTACACCCAAGCCTGGTTTATACTATAGATCTTGTAAATATGAATAGGCAATACATAATAGTAGATTTTGTCTAGAGAAATTCAAAAAGACAAACATACCTCTCTCTCTAAAGTGTTCAGAAATGTGTTGCGCATGTATTAAATATGCCATATACCATACGGTAGAACATTTTGATTATATACTGGCAAATGTGCGCAGAATGTAATATATATGATACACGTGCGTTTTTCGCGACTTCTTAATAGATTTTACTATATATTATCTAAAATATTCTTTAGAATACGATATCAGATATGCGGTCGGATTAACCTTCTCGTTAACAAAAAAAGACATTACGGAGACAGGAAGATAAGAAGTAAAATTAAGGTTATATACAAAAAATATCTATATTTGTAACATTAATTTAATGTTTTAAATAAATATTAACAAAAATAGTTCAAGAATGTATAATCTGTAATAAGATATATTCTGTAGAAAGTAGTGTTTTTCTTTTTATTCGTAAGCAGGAAATCTCTACAAATGACACCATTGAAACCTATTTCTTACATATATGTTTGTTTGCTTAAAAAAATTTCTAAATCATAGCAAAAATTAACATACTTAAAAGCTCCTACTTATTCCAATATAGTTATTAATTATTCTAACAACATGAGAGCAAATTTTTGAACCCTAATATTAAATCTTTCCTATCTAGATATTTCAAGGTATAACTTTGAATAAAAAATCAGTAAAAACAAAATTACTATTTTTTTATTAACCAAGAAAAATCTGTTTTTAGATAAATAAATGATTTTTGATAAATACTATTCTAATATCTTTTTTTAATGTTCTTAATCAAAAAGTAAGTTATATTTATTTTTAGATGTACAGTAATGTTTGCAATATTGAATTAATGTGATGACTTCTCATAAGTTACAAATAGAAATTGTTTTATTTTTTAAACAATTAACCCAGTAAATACTAACCAACAGAAACATTATGTTAACCAATATTATGGTAACTAATGTTATATTAATGTTATAATTTGCTACTTAATAATGTGACTATTATAAACATGTTATATCATACTCACGCTATTGAACAGGAAACTATAACATTGATATAACATTATTATTAGCCAGTATTTACTAGGTAACTTGTATACAATGTATAATTTATATATTAAACCTGGAAAGTACTTGGTTGTATTTCTTTTTCAGCATGATATGCATAATGCAAATCCTTAGAATCTTCATCTGAAATATGCACCCAACCAGTTGACTTCATATGATATACTGTAAAGTAAAACATATATATTGCTGTTCTTGCTGTTACTATATTTAAAATACCAAATATTTGATTATCTTTTATGTTGAAATTACCTCTGTAATGAATTCTGCAAATAAAATAACTTATATATTCTTAATAATTATATAACTAACCTCTTATAATACCGCCTGAGTATGCATCTCTGTGTGTAGCATGGTAAATCGATCTTCTTCCAAGTTCATAAGCTTCTTCATCAGTTAAATCCCATTTGTAACCAGAATCCAATACCCCAAAGGCAAATACAGATCCAGAGCCTACGCTAAAAACTTTGCCAGGAGTACGAGTACCTTCTGAATCAACATAATAAAGTCCTGGTCCTCGTTTGTCCCAACCAGCCAGCATCATACCTGTAAGTTTATATATACAAATTTCAGTATATTTCACACTTAAATTTTTAATCTTAATATCACACTCACCAATACTTAGTCCCATCCCTTTGTAGTTATAAATCATGTTTGATAACAATTTACTTGCTGCTGCAATGGAAATACGTTCTCTGTTTCTCAATTCATACATGCGGCATTGTTTTGCTAAAACACGATCCCAATAAACGCAATCAGCAGCACCACCAGCTAAAGTTCCAAGAAGATAGTCATTGATTTCTACTATTTTCTTCATAGTGGACGAACCTAAAAGAACGAAATACGAATCAATGGTTTTTATAATGTAATGAAATGCTTTTATTTATCGTTGTTATAAGCATATTATTACCAATAAATTGCCCTCCTGTGGCACGTGAATCTACTGCTAAAATAATACCACCTTGATACTGAAAGCCCAAAGTAGTGGTTCCATGATCAAATTTAATCTTTAGATGTTTGCCAGTATCATCAGTACCTTGAGCTATAGAACCCAGAGTTTCAGCTGGCTATAAATGAAGGAAAATACATAAAGACCACAGAATTAAAATAATCAATATCATTTTGAAATATTAATATAAAAAAGAAAATGTTTTCCCAATTCTTTACTTTTTAACTCACAAAACATTGGTTTTGTAGTTTCATAATATTGATATATAAATGACTAAATGTTATGAAAACATAAAATTTCAATATTTATATAGGAAAGAATTGTAAGATATTTAACTATAAAATCTTATTTATAACAATATTATTACTTTTGATATATTATTATTGTTACTTATTATGATGGATATAATAATTTATATATATAATGACAGTAATTGGTTTTCAGCAAGACATAGACAATATAAAATGACAATATTTAATACAAGGCTTTTCAACAATGAAACAGATGAAGGATGACACAAATATATACAGCTAAAGAAAAGTCAGCATTTATAAGTTGCACAAACATTGCATATAAGTTGAATTTATAGTCACTAACGATTTGGGAAATATAAAAAAATATTAATGTTTTAGCAAAAATGACAGATACTTTCCATAAGTTTGCATATGCATATGTATGTATATATATATATATTTATCATGTTCATAGTAATTTTATTCTTTCAATTATATATATATATATATTGCCATTAATGTAATAAATTAAAAAAATATTTTATTATAAACATTGTGTAAACAAAATTTATTTGCTCAATAAAAAAACCAAAATATATTTGCTTCATTGCAATAGAAGTATATTTAAAGGATGATAATATACTTTATATAACCAAAAATGATATAAGTGAAATAATTTAAATTATAATATTGTTTTTATTAGCAAGAAAATTACAAATTTTTATATATAAAGTATATTTAATTTTATAAATTTATGTAATATTTATCATGGAAGTGACAATACTGAAACAGTAATAGAAGAAAAATCATTATCCTCTTCTAGTTGTGAAACAATTAAAAGTCCAAAAGTATGTTGTAATTAAAAAACAATCAGTGTATATCAAGTATTTCTTATTTACATGATTTATATTAACACTAAATTACATATATCTTAAAATATCTATGTTGGCACAAAATATGCAAATAAAAAGCCATACCTAGCATTGTACAAAATTAAAATGATAATATGTTATTAACCTGAACAACCTGCATGATATTGCAAATTTATAATATAATCATATTTCTCCACTTACATTGATAAACGGTGGCACTGACAATTGAAGATTGTTAGAAAAATTTTTTGTATACGCCTCAATTTCTCCAGCAAATTTATCCTTCTCTTGAAAAAAGTTAAAATCGATGAGAGAATTAATACCACAAACTTCAGCAAGCGCCATTTTTACTCGAATATTAACTGCTGACTACCGTCAGAGAGAAGAAGGAGAGGTGTCATGAGCCGCTTTTTAAGGCTCGTCTACATTAGCTGTAAAAATACTACATTCTGATTAGTGCATTTCCATCCATCTTCGGAAATGTACCAATCAGAACGCAGTATTTTCATCCAGCAAGCAATCCAGCACGAAAACAAGCACCGTGTGCCGCTGGCTTAAAGCTGTAAGGTTGCAAGACACGAAATGAAAAGCGTCGTCTACAATGGCAGTAAGCAGTAAGAAATAAGCGTGAACAGTAAGAAATGGACCAACCACAGTTGATTATTTTTGTCATAATCGACTGTGATTGGTTTATTTCTTACCGTTTACGCTTACTTTTTACTGCTTACTGCCATTGTAGACGACGCTAAATATTTTCATTCGCTGACAGCTTACGTTACAGCCTTACAGCCTTACTCTTAAGGCTCGTCTATAATAGCTGTAAAAGTAAGGGCCAGAGCACAGACTTCTGCATAACGCATAATACATAACGCATAAGAGAATCAACCAGTCAGAGTTCTTCATTTCTGTCCTGAGGAGGGAAATGAAGAACTCTGACTGGTTGATTCTCTTATGCGTTGTGTATTATGCGTTATGCAGAAGTCTGTGCTCTGGCCTTATGGCTGTAAGGCTGTAAAGGTCATTCTACAATACGTGTCGTAAGTTGTAAGCCATAAGAACTGACCAATTATAGCCGATTATTTTTGTAATAGTCGACTGTGATTCGCCAATTCTTACTGCTTACAACTTACGACCCATATTGCAGAATGACCTTAACGTAAGCTGTCAGCGAATGAAAATATTTCATTTCGTGTCTTGCAACTTTACAGCCTTAGGGCCAGAGCACAGACTTCTGCATAACGCATAATACACAACGCATAAGAGGATCAACCAATCAGAGTTTTTCATTTCTATCCTGAGGAGGGAAATGAAGAAAACTAATTGGTTTATTCTCTTATGTGTTATGTATTATGTGTTATGCAAAAACCTGTGCTCCTGCCCTTACTCTTACAGCTAATGTAGACGAGCCTTTAGCCGAGTCTAGAGTACCTCTAGTAAGAGTATAGACACCTTGGGTGTTTACTTCTAGCAATCTGATTTGTAATCGAATTGGAAGCAGTGATATAAACTGACTTTAGAAAAAGTTCCCTAGACTAATCCGATTTATGAAACGTGTCCTCGGAGCAATCCGATCAGATCCGATTAGCTCATGACGAGTAGAGAAGGACGTGGTTTATTTACTTGTGATTTACATTTCAAATCATATTAATACGAATCAGGCAAAATATATAGATGTGTACTTTATGAATCTTATAGTTACTTTCCTAGCCAAAGCTATCTAATGTGAAAACCAAAATTGTCACTTTGCACTGCGAAATGAAATATGAATAATTAAAATTGACTGACATAATAGGTTAAGAAACCTGTCATAATAATGAATTATAGCAGTTGTTTGATTTACTAATTTTTTTGTAATTAAAACAACAAGGAAATTAGCGGTAGCCGCAGCAAAGTACAAAAGAATTAGGCTAAGAAAGTGCTTTTCTGTTAATTATACAAAAAACAGGAAAGTTGGGTGAAACTAATTAAAAAACTTAACTCTTTTGTATTTTACTACGACTATCTCAAATCTCCTTGTTATTTGATTTATTTATTTTTTGTTTTAAATAGCAAAATATTTTCTTGTCCTAATGACTTTGTACTTTGTTGTGACTATTTGAAACCTTCTTGTTATTAGTTTTATTAAAAAAAAATCAAATAACAAGGTGGTTTGAAGTAAGTACAAAGTATAAGGAAGTTAAATTTTTTACCGATTAGTTTCACCCAATTTTCTTGTCTTTGTGCAATTAATAGCAAAATATTTTCTTTTTCTAACTTGTACTTTGCTGCGGCTATCTTTAATCTCCTTCTTATTTGTTTTATTTAAAAAAAATAAATGAAACTGTTGCAATAATATAATTTGTCGCAATAACAGATTTCGTAATCTGTAATATTATAGTCAACTTTAACTATTCATATCTCGCTTTGCGGTGTAGAGTGATTATTTTGACTTTCAAATATGATTACTACACATTAAAACACAATATAAATATGTGAATTTCAACCAAATAGGAAGTGAAAGCCTAAATTGGATAATTACCTAATTTTCAACTTCCTTCAAATGTCTATTGACAAGATGTATTTATATTTCACCGATATATATTTTCAAAAAATTAATAGACTATAATGAATAACCTGCCACCCCTCGGATAGACAGAATACTGAACATAGTATGGTCTTTTTATTACTACAATAATTTAGTATTAATTTAATTCTTTTGCCAGCATATTGGTAGCAATTTTTATGACAATAGAAAATTTCTGCAATATTGACACAATTTTCATGGCATCAAATGCCTTCTTTTACATATTAACAAAATTCTGTTTGTACAAGGATGCATCTTGATGTATTTATACTAGTCTATTAGTTTATCTACGTCTACTTTAATTATTAGCATATAAGTTTGTCAAAATAATCATTTTTTTAGATACTTGAAAATCAGTATGGCATGTGAACAAGAGGAAAACCTATGTAAACAGGATCAATATGGTATATATATCATATTATTGGAAAAAATATTTCCCAGTAAACACCAATTAACAGCAACATAACATAAATATTACAATATCTCATTGTCTAATTTAAATATAACATTTAACGTGCATGTTATGTAACAGTTACATTGTTGAGTAGAAAATTATAATAATGATATTATGTTATTGACAGTTTGTGTTTATATGTAACTGTGTTACATATAAAGTATACGTAACAGAGTTACGTATAAACACAAACTCAACAGGTTTATAAACATAAATAGGTAACACTCTGTTACCTGTGAATTTTTATTGTAATATAAGAAATGGATTTTATTATTGCCAACCTGTAAACTTCTTGATTGCCAAATATCCACAAGGCTACAGCTATCTATTTCTCCGGTAGTATCTTAGGCCAATTGTCTAGTTGCAATAAGTATGGTCCAATATGTTGTACCAATATTTCAAAAGTTTCTCTTCTGACGCAAAAATGTGTTTTAAAATCTAAAAGAAAACATATACATATATAACATGACAAAATAATATTATACATGCATTATATAAAATATTTAAAAAATTTTATATGCTTATATTATTTTATACACTTATACGCGTGTACGCATATTAAACGATATTTAAATAAATCTTTGTTTTGTTTAAAGTATTGAACCCATTATTGAAATCATTGTTTAACATTGTTATATTCAACTCAGTAAATATGTGTGTATATGTCCTTTTTACCTGTCAATGAATAATAAAGAATGACGTTTTCATAAAAGTTTTCATAAAGTTCGTAAAATTTTAATATGTTCTTCTCTTACTCTACGTATTTGCCATTCAGGTTTATTTTCCTCGTCATTATTAAACATATTCCATAAAAGTAATAAATCCATGTTTGTGTTCTATAAGAATATTTATAAAAATATTTTTGTTAAACAAGAATATGAATTCAAATTATAAGTTACCTAAGATATATACCTAAGATATGTATGTCAATATGAATATGTATATCAATATGAATTCAAATTATAAGTTACCTAAGATATATACCTAAGATATGTATGTATACTCAACTATAAAAGATTAGGTTTGATATCTTAATATGGTTTCTTCGAAATACAAATAAATCAAGATGCAATCACGTCCTTTACTCGTCATGGGCTAATCGGATCTGGGTACCTATTATGGAACTCGTCGGAATCGATTCCGATCGAATTTATTCCGTTATTTCCTAGATTTCTATTGTCTTTTCTAGGGGAAACGGAATTATTCCGATCGGAATCGATTCCGACTCCATAATAGGTACCCTGATCGGATTGCTCCGAGGACATGTTTCATAAATCAGATTAGTCTAGGGAACTTTTTCTAAAGTCAGTTTATATCACATATATTGAACGTCGTACGTCGGACATCGGACGTAGGCCTGTACCGCGATTCTGTAACTCGTTATTGGGGCGTTAACGACACTTTCGTTATCGTTGCGCAGCTTTTGTATACCGTAGAAAAGCTGCGCAACGATAACGAAACTGTCGTTAACTCCAATAACGAGTTACAGAATCGCGGTACTGGTCTACAATAGGTGTTGTAAGCTGTAAGCCGTAAGAACTGACCAATTATAGCCGATTATTTTTGTAATAATCGACTGTAATTCGCCAATTCTTACGGCTTACAACTTACGACACGTATTGTAGACCAGGCCTTAGTGTGAATCCTCCATAATCGATAATTAAATATTCGCTCTTCCAAACCAAAATAATGTTGGTGCAACTGAGCCTTAGGCTGGTTGCACACAGGACGCGGCAACGCTTGTCGCGTCCTATGTGCAGTCGGCTTAAGGCTTAATGTATTATTCAGAAAGAGAAAGAGAGAATGAGTAAGAGAGTAAGTGTATAACCTTATTTAACCGTGATGCACTGCTTGTCGTTATTGTAAATGTCTATTTAGTAAATTTGAAGAAATGTTTGTAGTAAAAATTACATGCACATACAAGTTCAATTGACATTTTCTATACATACCATGTCATACATATAATTTTTTTTCAAAAAATGACGTTTTATACAATTAATCATCTTTTTATATTGTTGAACATTTATATTGTTGAATAAGTGTTATAATTTTTTCAACTTTTGTTGTTTCTTAAAAAGTATCAGACAGATATACTTTCATCAAAATCGATAAAATATACAAGGCTCAATCTAGATTGTTTGCTGTGATATATTTTTAACAAGTTTAAAGTACTGTCATATATTATTTAAATAACGTAAGAAGCTGATAAAGTATTTATATGAATAGATTACTTTAAACAAATTTGAGCTTGATATCATTAGGATTGCATTTTTAATTTAACCACGGATATCAATCAAATTTGTATAAAATGGCTGTAAAAGAAAAACATACAGAAACCTCATTTGATGAAATAGAATGGAATGTGGATAACGAAATTCAATTATTCTTTGCTATGAATGGGCATAAACCAGTTGGTAAGATGGAAGAAACAATCCTGTAGTTTTATTTATCAGCAGTTTAAAAATTAATGTTTATAATTATAATTTAATGGGTTATTTTTAAGGTATTAACAAATACTTTCACATGTTATGTATATGGGAGAAATTTCGTATTGCCATCCATAAAGATATTCCATTAAAAATAATTTGGGATCATTTGGAATCTATGTATGATCTTATGGCTTTGGTAAGTAATATTATTGACAATATTCAGTAAGTAATATTATTGACAATATTCAGTAAGTAATATTATTGACAATAGAAGCTAATCTTTATTCATAAATTGAATAGATGTAATAAATTTATACAATTATTGTTGTAATAGATTTTTTAATATTTAAAAATTCACAATTTGTATCTTGCTGCTTCTATACATATATATAATATATATATATATATGTTTTGGTAGGATGATATGGAAGGTTTACCATTTCCTAGTCAAGAGATAGATTTCTCACTGCCAGAAATAGAATTTGATGGAAAGCCTTGGAGGAAGGAAGAGCTAGAAATAAAGCTAAAAGACCAGAAGGATAAATATAAAGAGATTAAGAAAGAAAAGGATATTAAAGAAAGTTCTAAAAAAGACAGTATGCTGCGTGACATTAAAGGATGCAAAGACATAGACAAAAAGAAAGAAGAAATAAAGAAATATGCAAAGGACATGGAAATGAAAAAAGATAAATTTAGAGATATAAAAGATGCAAGAAAAGAACACAAGTCTTCAAAAGGTCGTTCAAAAAGCAAAGATGATATCGAAGAAAGTAGGACATCAAAACTTTAATATATATATTTAATAACTTGATAAATTAATACATTATTTTATCAATGTTTTTTAGCGTCAAACATAAGAAAAGAACGCAAAGATTCTGAATCTGGTCGTGAACTCTTAAAAAGAATTCCCAAAAGACCAACTAGACAAAGTATGGAAAATTCCTCTAAAGCTTCCTCCAGCCCTCGTGACACACCACCACCAAAACGAAGAAGAATATAACAAGAAAACATTATTCTTATATTCAGTAAATATACTTTGTATATTTTTATATGTAAATTATCATTTTAATGGCTTGGAAAAATATTAACAAGATCTTGTTGAACTTTATTTAGCAGTTCTGAACATACAAGATTCTTCAAAGTTAATCTTTTAAAAGTTATATTTAATATAAAATATAATTTGCTCCTAATGTATATAAGAAATAAAATAGTTCCGTAATCGTTTAAAATAATATTTGAATATAAGTATAATTTTGATATCGTTAAAAATATTTTTAATTCATTTTCTCCTAATAATACTCAAATATATATACCTCCTGACTAGCGAATACAAAACAGTATCTTAATATTTACATTCTGAGTTTCATGTAAAAACAAATTTCTCAAGTTAATATATAACCTACAAAAAGATTACACAAAATGTTTGTCCATTTTAGGTTAATTTATTCTCTTAATAATTGTAACAAGGGCAAATTAATGACATCACGAAAAGTTTGTGGTTACCAGCCAAAATTTATTGTAGTAGGATTTTTATGTAACAGGAATGCTTCAAACGGAGTGTACAGTTTTGTTCCGGTTTTCTTCGAGAAAACCACGTTGTTGCGTCTGGATGTTGCAACACACTCAGAAATTGCCTATATGCAAACTTCAATCTGAGGAGCACGTGTACTGAAATATAGTACATCATGCATGCCAAGATCCATGTTCACCGACGGTGTGAGATCCATGTTCATCGTATGATAAATTCCTTGATATTCCCTGATTGTGGCAAAATCCGGATTGGCTGGTAATGAATTTTTCTGTTGACTTCTGCCTGTCTGCTATCGGAGTCTTCTCGCCTCGCGCTCGGATTCAAGTAATGTCAGGAGATCACCCTCGCGCACGGGGCCTTTAACATTCCTTATTATTTGGCGATTTTGCTCGCCTAGGAACTCCACTTTGACTTGTGTACACTGGCCTTGTGAACCAGTGCGCCCCAGTACCTTGATGACGCGAGCTAGTACAACGGGTTTATCCATGATTCCTCGTGGATACGATATAACAGAAGTCAAACGTATAACGCAAGTGAGCGGATAGAAAAGATTATATTGTAACGTCCCGGCATAAGTTTTTACCATTAACAATATATTACTATTGACTGGAAGCCGACTTGTATAATTTCAGTTTCGTCATTTTATCCCTATACTTATAATGCATATAAACCAGGCATAAAGACATATAAGCATATATAGGGAGTTTTTGCAATACCGTTAATGGCCGCGTTCAGTAGAACAAAGTGATCGGAGAGCGCTTAGTGATTATTGTCTGTGATTGGAGCATTCTTTTAGATTCTTCATAGACCCTGAAGTATTTACCAATCAGGAGCGAGGTTCAGTGGAAAATCTAGTAATGTTGTCCAACTGTTGAGTTTGCTGAATGCAGCCATTGATACAGGGTACCTATTAAGGCTCATCTATATTAACTGTAAGAGTAGACGAGCTTTTATATTTGAGGCTTCCTTATATCTATCTTTAGATGCTGCACGGATTATTTTATTGGCTACAGACCATCTGAAGATAAACTTAAGGAAGTCTTAAATACAAGGCTTGACTATGAATACGGGTGTAAGTTTACTATATTTAAGATTATTTTCTTTTTTCTAATTGGTCAAATTTCAATCCAATCTCATTCCCAATCCATAGTTTGATACGGGCTTTAAGCTAGCGGCACACGGTGCTTGTTTTCGTGCTGGATCGCTTGCACAAAAACAAGCACCGTGTGCCGCTGGTTTTAGGATCGTATTCATAATCGGATCTTATATTTAAGACCGTCTTGAGTTCATGTTCAGATATTCTGTAGCTAATGAAATGATCTATACAGCATCTGAAGATGAACTTAAAACGATCTTAAATATAAGACCGGACTATGAATACGGCCCTTAGATACGGTAAACGTAAATCGTGAACGTTATTTGCTCAAAAATAACATCGCAATGTATGCGACCAATAATATTCAAGATTTTCCCTTACCATATCTAAGGCCGGTATTCATCAAGTTAGGTCTTATATTTAAGACCGTCTTAAGTTCATTTTCAGATACCCCGTAGCCAATGAAATAATTTGTACAGCATCTGAAGATGAACTTGAGAGAGTCTTAAATATAAGATCCGACTATGATCCGGCCTAAGAGACGATATTGTAAAAACTCCCCTATATTTTTCGATATTCTACCATGCTTTGACGATCTAGATTATAATATTTAGCTGTGTATACGTTGAAAAAGAACTAAGGAAACGACGGATTGATGCAACGAGAGCAATGGAAATACGATGCGAAAAATAATGCGATAAACGGCACAACGTAGCACAATGCAACACAATTCGAAAAAATTCGAAAAGTGTGGGGCTACTAAAAATTTAATTTTTCTTAATTTTCTTGAGTACGCTTTAAGTTACAAAGTTGCGGATTGCGGCACAATGCGGCACAAACGTAACACAATGCAGCACAATTCGAAAAAATTCAAATTTAAAAGTACATGTCAATTAAATTCACGAATTTTACAAAAGTTGAACAATTCTTCAGCAGATTTTTCTGCTGAACGCAAACAATGAGATTATGGGCATAGTATAGAACAGAACCAAGAGTTTTACTTATTATCTACTGAGAGATATCATAATCTTGGCTACGTAGTTTTTATTCGTAATATAGACATAGAGGCGCTTCAAAATAAAGTAACAGCTACATTACGGCTATGATTGCTTCAGGTTTCTCTGTATACAATATGCGCAGTAACCAGTGACGAGTAGTAAACGAGAAGAGTGATAACATATGCGACGTGTCGCTCAAGTACTGTATCGAGTGTGACGTTTCGATAAACGCAAAAAATAATAAATATGTCGAGCGAAGTGGACGAGTGCAAGCTGAAGGGTGGGCATCCGCCAGCAGGTTAGCGATTTTTTTCAATAGTTCTTTTTTTCCCAAAACACGTAGGGAGAAAAAGAATAAGAATGTAACAAATTGATAATACTAAAATTCGCAATATACATTTGTCGATCGTGATTTCAAGGTCATCTTTTCATCTATCATTTAAATGATTTTTGATATTGCGCTACATTTGTACTGTTTTACTTTTTCAGTAAAGGCGGGTGGTATGAGGATAACGCAGCATAAGACGCCGAAGGACGAACGCGAGACGAAGTCTAATAAGGATGTGGAGGAAAGCAGACCATCCAGCAGGTAAACCATTAAATGAGACCTCATGATTTTGCAATTGTCGGTCGTGTGGCAGATTGTTGCACATAAAACTGACACATTCAAATATCCTTTAATAAAGACTTGATAATTTTGTTTGTAACGATAGACATAAGGCCTGTTCTTTTTAGTTGCTTTTAATATTCTTTTTTTAGTACTGTATACTCTAGAACTTTGTTCCTCTTCCACTCAATACTTGGCTATGTACTTATTTCATTGTAAGGCATGCGCATCCTAATACAATTTAAAAAACAATCATATCTAAAAACTACTTTTGAACAAAATAACGACATATATATATATTGGATCAAGTTGAAAAGAGTTCCACAATATAATTTAATTTTTAGGTTGCTTTGTAATTTTTAGGTAGTATTGTATACTGTTTTGTGAACAAATTTAGTTTAATATTGAATTTCAGTTTTAAACATTCAATTGGAATATAGAAAATTCATATAAGTAGTAGTATATATATATATATATAAACAGCTTTGCAATGTTGCAAGTTAGTCATCAATATATAAATAGTAAACGGATAAATTGTAATAGATAAATTATGAACATAAAAAGAAACATTTTCTAATAATCTTATGTGCTAACATACTGATTATTGCATTGATTATCTCTAATTAGCTTTGCAATATCTAATTAACTAATTTTTTTAATTACAATTTAATTCACAATTTATAATTTATATCTTTAATTATATTTGAATAATTAACAATGTATAATTATATCTTTAATAATTTATATTTATGTATTTTTGTATATATGTAATTTTTAATATTTTATATATATGTGTGCGCGCGTGTCTGACGCAAGCCGTACCAACGCTCGTATATAGAACACGTAAAATTGTGCAATAGGACCGCTACCATTTTGCAAACTATGTAAAATTTAGTATTATTAACGAAAGACAATTGACGAACCAGCGCGCGCGCGCGCACGATGCGGCGGGACGGCGCGATTGCATGAAAAATGGCTGACCGCATGATCGTATCTTAGTAGTGGTCAGTATCGAATTATTACGCAAACAATTGCTACGTGCCGTTTGTATTTTTCCTCTGCCTTTCGTTATCACATATATACACCACTTTTGTATGTAAAAAAGACCTAACAAATTAGATAAAGAAAATATATATATCACAGGAACTTTCTTTTTCACTCTACTTTTGGTTATTTAAAGCCTGTAAATGAAATAAAGGATTTGTAGAAATTAATGAACAATTAATATTTTAATTATAAATATATATTTGACATGATTATTTAATACTAGTGTATATAATGAATATTATGTTGATTATTTATCTGTATTAATCACAAAACAGCTTTTAAAATAATTCTGGACAATATAATATTTTTTCTTCCCCTAATCAGCATTATATACCGCCCACTATTGCCAATAAAAATGGTGAATAAATTCAGACATCTTGGATGAGATTTTGTCCTATCACGTTGCACGCTAATTTAATATGTGCTACTTTTGTTTAATTAAATTTTAATAATTATCTCTCGTATTTATTTATAAAATGGCAAAGGACTTCTTTGTTCGGTTTAATGAATTCTATTTATATACAAGCAGATATATAAGTTGCGTCAGGCACTTTGTGCAACATATTTTTTTTCTAATTGTAACACATAAAATAAAAGAAATTGTGAGATGTAACAACTTGGAATATTCCTACCGCTCTTATGATTAATTCGTTTCTGTCGAATGCCAGTTTTAACGATAAGCGGCGTTATCAGCCTGTTGTACATAACACAATGTTGTGCAATCAGAAAACAAATGCGAATTGCATCTGAAAAAATACTTACACGTGCGATAAGTTTGTCCATATCAATAAAAAGCGTGATGATTAAAGCAAAATAGTGAATTTAAATGAATTAATAAAAATAATTACATAACAATACACAACGTAAGTCGTGAATGTCATTCGCTCAGAAATAACGTCGCAATGTACGCGACCAATAGTATTCACGATTTATGTTTATCGTATCTGAGAGACGGTATTGCAAAAACTCTCCAATGTTTTCGATTTTGTAATAATTTACAAAAGTAATTTTCTAATTTTCTTGCACCATAAAAAAATTAAGACTAATTTTTGAACTTTTTCACTTTAACAGTATCGATTGTTCACAGTCCGCCGAAAACGATGATAATTAGCGGTGTGCCGGCCAAAGGGAATGCTGATTTTCCACCGGAAGCTGTGCAACATTTTCATGAGAAACCTACACCGACGCACGATGCACGACCGGCGCATTGTTCGCGTCCCATTATTATTCAACAACCAAGAAAGTGAAGTACTTTGCAAATTGCAAAGTTCGCGAATGACTTTAGTTCGCGAAGTCATTCGTTAAATTTAATCGGCAAAAAAAATTACATTCACATATGCGTACTTAAAAGAAAACATTTTTATGGAATTAATCGAAGAGTTTAGACTTCGTATGGCAGCATTCGCATCGCTCAATCCTTGATCCTTTAACCGATAAACAGCCGAAGTTTTATTAACAAGATACGGTACAATTTTTGTTTCATTGACAATCGTAGATTTCGGAGGAATATCTATTGAAAATTTGTACGAATTTGAGATTGTAAAAATAGGAAGAGATGTAAAAATAGGAACGAATTTACTTTGTTAGTAAAAATGAAGGACGAGCAGGCCTCGTGATTATCGGTTAAAGGATTAAAGTTTGGTTTCGTATGCTAAAGCGTTAATCACTTCACAAGAGTTTATTATTGTTACAAAGGAAAGGGAAGAATAGAAAAGCTTATTTTTAACGCCACAAGATTCCTATATCGGCATTTAATAAGTTTTTGTTTATAATTTCAACTTCATCAGTTTTGCATAATTGTTCCTCTTATACCAAATACGATATTCGCTGCAGTTATATTATTATGACTAAGTATTGCTGTAATGTTACATTACGCGATATAATTACTGTTTTTGGGACCAGTATACCTTGCGATTCAAGATGGAAAGAACTTTTCTATTTAATTATATTTTAAATTTCGTGCGACTTTTTTCATTTTTTTTTCCATGACTGTAGGTCAAATTGTCTGATCTGCTCTAGAACATCTTCCCGCTATGTACAACATTCCGACATATCTTGGTATTATTTTTAATTTTTAATTTCAGAACATCAGGATACTTTTGATCATATAGATGTTGAATGTATTAATGTCGAATGAGAATCGTAAAGTTGGCGATAATTTGTATAACATTTGGGAAAGAATAAACATTCGTACATGTACAAAATCTGCGAGTTGTATACTCATTATTTCCGAATTATTTTAAAAATAACTGTTAAGTTACCGACGGTCGTAGATATTACATTGACATTATTAATGACTAATTAAGTTTGTAGTGATATTATATCAAAATAGATGATAAATTATTATTAGCGTCTTAAAACTAATTATGACAATGCATTTGATTGTTCTATAATTGATATTCTATTCTACGATAAAATACATGCAAATATTCATTTCTTGTCCAGTTATTTAACTGTTTAAGAAATATTTAATTGTATATACATAATATAAAAGGTATGAGGAAAACGCATATGCTGAATATATAATTTCATTATATGTATTTTATTTCATTATATATTCAACTAATATCTATTATATATTCTATCTAACTACCAGCATATTTAAAAAAAATCACAGTCTTAATTGAAGAATTGACACCAGGAAACACTATTTATCTGTGTTTTTGTATCTATGTAATAAATATTTATAATATACAACTGTTTTGCATATATTAACGTAATATTTTATATGATTTTTATGATAATTCTGTAATAATGCATTATTTACAATACTTGTCTCTTCTTTGATATGTATTTCCGTACTAACATTATTTTTTCAATATTTTTTCTCTAATTAATATTTCATATGATAAAATCAATAAATTATGTTTTGCAACAGTGTTATTCAAATCAAATTTAATTGATTTACCATATACGTATTAACCATATATTAACTCATTGATACAAATAAAACGTAATAATTGTTTATACAAAAATTGTATTGGTATATATAACTTTAATTACTTTTTATAAATTGTACTTCCAGTATACAACTGTCAGTAATCTTCTTCACCACTGTTTTTCTTGTGCTTATAGATTAGGTCAAAGTGAACTTTTTATCATTTGTAAAATGATATATACTCTATCATTTTGCAGAACAACATAAAATTCTGAGTAACTCCAGTCGGAGACCACAGTCGTAAACGGGAATGTGATCTCTGACAAGCAGTATCTATCTAGATTATTTATTGAGGGAAATTTTCTGGGCTTCAGGAGAGTATACTTGAGTTAGAAATTGATGAAAATAGCTCTAAGGGTTTCAGAGTGAGAACTCGTAGCTATGACTGGGACTTGGCTTTGCACATCATAGAGCCTGGTTGAGTGAGCGGTTAAGTCTTTTGAACTATTAACTTTGCAGGACCAGAGATAAAATCTTTCCGGCTTTCTTACAGAAGGGAATTGGGCAAATTGTCGAGCCATTCACAAAGATTCTAAGAACCTGTCTGGCCTTAGGTTATATACTTATTTATTAAAATTTTCAATATGATTACATGCGCATTATGATGAACCTTGTTAAGGTAGTTGGTCCTGTAAACTTATTTTTTACGGGTCTTTTCAAATTTTAACAGCGTGTTAATCGAAACACGGTCTACATACAAGTACAACTAGAAAAAGATTGACTATGCCGAAGTTGAGATAATTGAAAGCAAAGTTATAGTACTATTTATATATATCACAAGTATGAAAACAGGTTTTGGTATATCACGCTTTTAATTCTAACAACTAAACTATTCCTATTTCGCTCTTTTAATGAGATGCAAGAAAACGATGAAAGATACTTGCAGAAATATTAGGGAAAGAAAATTACAAGATCGTCGATCATCTTATTTTCGAAAAATTGATATGTAAAGTACGCAATTTTGAATAGCAGTTGAAGTATACGACAGCTAATTTGTAAAGATCTGAACTGACTTGTATGCATTTATTGTATGCACTAAAATTCTCTGTTATATCTCATGATTAGGTATTTTTTAAAACAAAATGATTAAATAACCATAAGAATCTATAATCAACTTGTCAAAATATGGAGAATCCTAATGTTTTTATCATGATTATATATACTCCGGTTACATGCATTAATGTGAGACTATCAATACATATATATTGTATTCGCGGCCACATTAAGTTTATAGATTTGTTTTTTACTACTGTATACTAAATGTATACTTTCGAAACTTAGAAAGAAGCAAACATACAGTTCGAATTTGTTCGAAAAGAGAGGAAAAGAGAACTAGTGAGATGTAATGCGGGAAATTTAGTAATAAAAAACAAGACTTATTACATATCGATTGACTCACCCGCGTTTTATGACAGAAAATCAATAGGTGAAGATTGGACAGAAGAGTGATTCCCAAGGCAACGAGAGACAAGAATCGCATATAAATCTTCATTCGTGACAAACGTCTAACGAACAATATTGAGCTGCATTTCCTATTTCTTTCACTGCTTTTGTCCTTTCATTTGTTAAACCAAGTCTGCGGCGGGTTACATTTTTGGGCCGATTTTTCTTATTGCCATTCCCATTCCTCTCGTTTCGTAGCATAAAACTGCTGGCGGAGACATAAAACTCTCGGACTCAGAAACAATATTAACTGAAAATCGTACAGAGTTTTGACGCATTAAAGCGTCGCATAATTTTCAGCGATATCATCCCTGAATTCGAGCATCTTACATCTTCGTGAACAGTCTGTGTGCTACGAAATGAAGGATAGCAGCAAGGGGAAAATTAGCCAAAAACTCTGTAATCCGACCGCAGACCTGTATTAAACATTCCCTAATTATCACTTCGTTTACTTTATTATTCGCGGGCGTGAAAATAAATTTAGTGCAACGATATGATATATTTACAAACATATGTCTAATACGGGTAGTCCCAATCAAAAGGTCATATATCAAAGCGCGAAAAACGATTATATTTTGATGAATTTTTAAATATTACGTAAATTTGATTGATATTCTCTTGCGACAATGTCAAAATTATATACCATAAATTATATTTATGAACATTTAGCACGCAAATTTGTCGAGCTTCTTCGTGTTGTTTTAACTAGTACCTTTCTAATAGTATTGTCACGGACCAATTACCTTAAAACAATTGGCGTGAACGGGAAGTTAGTTGAGATACGCTTGGCGATGAATGTGTTAAAAATTAAACATTTAGTATGTTTTATATTTAAAAATGAATTATAGAAAGGAGATACAATATAAACATATGTATTAACAAAAAAGCAAATAGGGCGTTGAGATGCATTCAACATTGCTAGAGAAACAAGTTCAAAATATAATCACTGGGATTTAAAACCTTACTTCTTATTTTATATTTGCGAGTTTTACAATCGATATCTTACATAGGCTCGTATTAGTTTTTTGGAGAATCTATCGTTAATAATTTTAATTAATTTATTTTAATACGACTCAAACGCGTCAAAAGCTTTTGAATTTCAATGAATATTATTTTGAATTACTTATTTTTCTAACAATGTTGGGTGCGTCGTGACGTCCTACTCACTCATTTTATTTAACATTTAACATTTATCATGTAACTTTTCACTTTCAATTAGCGTAATGTTCTGATATCACTTTTCTTTCTTTTTAATCGGACATAACATTTTTAAATCTAAAATGTTTTTGCCTTCGACACCATTCTTTTACTTAACTTTTTAATAACATTACTGTTAACTTTCATACATTTTCGAGTACGATAAATGAATGATTGTTACATATTTTTAATAAGTTTCGGGATAATGGTAGTACATGTATACCGAATTTTTCTTTACTCGTTTTTTGGTGTTATAGTAATATCGTAATAAAATCTAGTTTTTAAATGATAACGCGAGAAAAAATCTGGAATAAAGAATGTATATATTTACGTTGTATGAATACGTAAATTTTATAGTGTTTTTTTTTTATAAAATTTGTTTCTTCTTTTTATAGGTTACATCACTATATTAAAAAATGTCGGCCCATTAAAAAAAAAGCTGACTTTGAAATACTATAAATTATAATCTCAAAAAAAAACCGCGCGCGCGCGCACCTGTGTATGTGTATATGTGTGTGTGGCTGGTTCATCAAAATATTTATTAATATGTTTAAATTGAATAATTTCCTTCTTAAAATGTTTTTATATCATAAAAAAGAACAAAGATATTCAAGATGCTCGAATTGCAAAGACACTTTGTATGTGTTGTATACGAAAATTGTTCTCATTCTACTTTTGTTAATAATTTTTTATAAACAATAATGTCTAAAATATTTTGAATATTACTCAAAATAATGTTTTTGATAATATGCAAAGGTTAAGGATATTGAAATTGGGTTCACTAGTAAATATAATTATCAAATATGAATAATGAAAAAATATAAAAAAATTTAAATATAAATAAAGGAAAACAAACTTTTTTGGTATAGTGGATACACTATAACAAAATTTCGTCTCATACAGTAACGGTTCATTCTACGTAGCACGATACGGTATTAAAATCATATCCATCAATTAAAAATACACATTTTACATATACTGTCATTATATCGAAATCATTGCACATGTATTTCTTATATGAGATATTTTCAGCAAAAATGTTATCACTCGTATCTTATATATATTTTGCAACTTCTGTATGTTAACATATTTTTTCATAATATGTGATTTAATTTATTTTATATACACATTGCAATTCAATGTGCATATTCTTTCCATTTATATTTTATCCATTTATCGCGAATCTCGAACTACGTCGTTTCAACATGACTATTTACAAGAAAATTATTTTACATTTATCTATTCACGCTGCAAATTGTACGTGGCACAAGGAAAGAGGAAACTATGCTTATACTCGTCCAGTATAAATAATCTTATTTCCGAGTAAAATTAATCCTTTGCGGTCTCAAGCAGAGATATTCCTGGTAAAGTTATTATATCATAATTTGATAATATATTTAAAAATATTATATTTCATTAATATGCAAAAATTTACTTACTAGAATTTTATTTATTACTGTTTTTTACATCAAAAATTAACTGGATGCGCATTACTTATTTGCCGCGCAAAAATAACCAAACCAAGCGACTCGACACTGCAAAGGATTAAACTAACTTAATTGTATTTTAATCGATGATACAAATAAGAAAATTTATAAATTGATCTACCTATACATATATATCTAACATTGAGAATATGTTTGATGAAAAGGAACCTTGCGAAGGTACGATAGGAAATAATAATAGCATTCGCAATGATTATGTACATCTAACAAATGCGAGCAGAATGCATGTACATCCAGTGCATCTGCATTAGATACTATTATTAATCCCTATTATATATCAATGAACAAATTTTTATTGAATGTTTTCTTTGTCGTGCTTAATATCCATATTAAGCAAAAACAAAGAGAATGAAACGTACTACGATGTTACTGAGGATTATTAAACATGCATATAATGAATATTTTTAGAAGATACGAATATATTAATATATTCATACTTATGTTATAAACAAGAGATGACTGTTATATCTTACTTCTTTCAAAGTAAATATTAAAAAAGATGTAGTACATCGAATGTGTTATACATATGAATGCGATATGAAGGATGACAATTTTAAAATACCGTTTGCGTATATGTAGCGTGTATATGCAATACTGTGATGAACGGTGTATGTTACACTAGGAATGTGTGTAAAACATAATATATAAAATAGTGTTATATTATATGCTGGTTGTCGTCAAACAGTAATACATGAAATCAACTGCTGACAAAGTTGACTGTATTGCAATTGGTCCCCGCTAATCCTACGCATTTTTATTCCCTTAACTTCTCTTTCTTCGGATTCGCATACTCTAAGTTCAATTTGTACACCACCCGGATATTCTAAACTAAGTCCACTGCCTTCCACTTCTTCCCTTGAAAATATGAAACCTTTTGGTGGTGCTCTTGCGTCTATTATTTGTTTAACACGACCTAATATAGCTTCAGAATTTAATCTACTCGATTCATCAGACAAAGTAACTTCGACCTCAGTAGGAACCGTATTAAGTGGTCTACCAATACCACGTGTGATACTAGGTCTCGAAGGATCACACGGTTCTGAAATAATAAAACTCGGGAGAGTGTTGTAATGAGGTAACGCATCTTCAAGCGAATCAGGTGACGGAGATGGGGAAGGTGAACAACTAATTAGTGTTACTTGTTCTCCAAGAACATCTGTCACTGAGATTTGTGGCGGTACCTAGAAATAAATTTTTATTAAGCATTGCAAATATATGACAACATTAGTACATAAATTATCTTATATATCCTATATCTTTTTTATTTTAAAGGACAAATAATATTGGTATTCTTATTAGTGACGATACAAAAAATAAGAATATTAACCCTTAATAGTCTTAAGGGCCAGAGCACAGACTTCTGCATAACGCATAATACACAACGCATAAGAGAATCAACCAATCAGAGTTCTTCATTTCTGTCCTGAGGAGGGAAATGAAGAAAACTAATTGGTTTATTCTCTTGTGTTATATATTATGCGTTATGCAGAAGTCTGTGCTCTGGTCCTATGTCTTGATATCCTTAGCAAAACTGCTAATGTTTTAATTTGATTATAAAATATGATATAAAATATTTTATATAAAATATGATATAAAATATTTTTTTATTAATATGCAAACATTTTTTATGGAAAATTAATTTCTTTTTGATATCGAAGATTAAATAATGCATGCAATATTGCTGCGCGAAAATAATAACACTAACGAGAAATACGCCACTAGTGTTTTGAGACTATAAAGGATTAAACATGTTAACCGTGGAATTTTATAAAAATAAAGAATTGTACAGTCTTATTTATTTTAGAAAACGTAACACACACACACACACACACACACACACACACACACACACACACACACACACACACACACACACACACACACGCGCGCGCGCGCGCGCGCGCACACACATACGCATGCACGCACGCACGCACGCGTAGATGAAGTAACAATTATAGCGCAATAATATGCATATAATTATAACTTGTTGAGCATAATTAATAATCCTAATTTCTTTTCATTTTTCCATGTTATTTCACAATATATCTCACATAGAAATCATCATAGAAATTTTGAATATTTTATGCAATTTAAAACAGGAATAGAATATCTTGAATATTTGCATAACACAATTAATGATATTTAACGATATATCGGTATCTTCCTTCAGATTACAGTATATTGAACGATTCATATCAAATATTTACCGAACTAACAAATTTGTATATAATTTTCTGCATGTTTCCTCATAAAATTGTACACTAGCAAGAAATCTATGGTTATATAACAAACTTATTGAATAACGAAGTTTTAATATACATTTAACCAAATGTTACTTACCCTTGATATTTCTACAGGATGTTCTTCTTGTATCATATCCAATGCTGGACTATTACTGGGAGAGTAACTTACGGGGGTAGTAGCAGGTGATCTATGATGCCTGAGTGGACTTAAATCTAAAGGTGTTGCTGGTGGCTGTGCCGGCGTACCATGTACAATACTACCCTGTACTGGCGTTGTAGTTAAACCACTAAGACCTATCATTATTAGACATTATTAGAAAATAACAAAAGTAAATTTACATCAAGCTTGTTCTTTTTAAATGTATTACGCAATAATAATTATAAACATATACTCCTCGAAATATTAATATTTGCATATTATATACAGGATAAAAAATTCTAGACTTCTTAAATATTTAGAAAACTAAGTATTTATGAAACAAATATTCCAGATAAAAATTGCAAAATTTTAAGGGAGACATAAAGTGACAATATTATTGTGGAGTTTAAATGCTTTTTATAAAGTTGTAAGGTGAATTTTTTGAATCATATGGTGTTTTTTTATTTTTTTTAAATACAAATTGATTTTCCGATGATTTTGTGTATAAAGATACTGAAGTAGAATCATCGGAAATATTTCATATTTTATTTGTAATGTAGCAGGGTAAAATATAGAATATCTCGGAAAATATTCGCTTTTCCGCAATCTTTAATACTTTAATATTTTTACATACAGAACAATCTGAGAAATCGAGGAATTATGTTAAGAAATATATTTTCCAAGAAAGAAATTGAATGTATAAAGGAAAACCATATTTTTACGAACAAAAAATAATACCTTGCGTAATTGCTGCTACACCTCTTTCATGTACAGGAGATCCAGGAATACTCGCAGGACTATGTGAAGGAGATGCTAATCGTTGTAATTGTTGATATTCTTGTTGAATAGCTTGGATAGCTGGTCCAGGTGTACCCGATCCTTCTGATGCTCGGCGAACAGGTGAGTATCTTTCAGTAGCAACATGACTGCTGGGCTCCTTATATGAATCCCTATTAGTTACTAAAATTTATATAAAAATTAGATATCCACATACACATTGCAACATGATTTAAAAGAGTATACAATATCTATCATAAGAATTGTTTAAAAGATATATTATAGTATATAAATATATAATAAAAGTAAAGTAAAAAATCAGTATTTGTCTTTTATAAAAATTTAGATAATGCATTATTCTTAATCTGTTCATCCTTTTTTACAAATAAGTTTTAGCTAATAACATTTAGTAGGAGCATTAAACAGCCTTAATATTATCTAATGCTTACGTTTATGTTATCACAGTTTCTCCAACCGTTTTTACAAAATGATTAATTAAAAATAATGTTATCTATATCATTTTGCATGGGATAAAATCGTTCCATTTTAAACTAGAAACATTGTGATGTACTTTGTGAGCGATTAATATGAGATGCTTTGTATATGTATGATAAAGATATTTACTTATTTATAAACATTAAAACTTTTCCACTCAACTTACACAAGCTAATAAAATATAAAATTAATAAAATAATTTCATAGAATACACCAAATGTCTGATAATTAACACAATACTGCTTGTGAGTCGATAGGATGTATAAAATTGGAAAGGGATCTCCCTACCATTGGTGATCCTTATAATTATTGAAATAAAAAATAATTATTCAATATTATACTTGATTTGAGTCTTTTATTGTGGATATGTTTAGTTTATAAAAAATAATAATGGCCTAAGTGGGAAAGCTTTTTCTGCTTTTTAATTCTTTCCTCGGAATTTTCCCAAATTTTAATTAAGCTAATAGACGATTAAGAAAGTTGCTAACGTAGAAAATAAATTCCGTTGAAAGCAGTAAGCAATTTATATTTATAATCCGTCCGTGGTTCTGTAGAATAAAAAATTTTTATTCTTAAGTTGTATTTATAATTTTAATAATGAATATGAATGAATAGGGAATTTTTTTATACAAATTTTATTATTTCCTGAGTCTGCTTCTAATAGGAATTTATCCAGAAATTTAGTGTAATTTTCTTATTTTATTGTATAAATTTGTGACTTCATCTTCTTGTGAGGATAGAAATTATATGAAATTGCATTTAAAATTTTTAATTTCTTGAAATAAAGAATAAAAAAAATAAGGTTCAAGCTTAAATCTCAGATCTTCTCAATGTTGCTGATCTGACAGATGCATAAGAAATTTATGAAAATAGCCAAATAGCCAAAAATGCGTTTTTTTTGAGAACTCAAACTTTTATTTTCTTGGAAATGTGGCGTAATTTTTTTTATATTCGTATTCAGCTTCGACTTGTTACAGAATAAGCTTTATAACAAAATTGTGAGAAATCGCTTAAAATATATTTCAGTATATAGTATTATTAACTATTAACTAGAAATTGGGAAACCTACTCTTTTTTACAGATCAATTTTTACAGATAACAAACATTTCACAGTAATAACGGATGTTTTAACGTTTTGAAATTATTTATCGGGTTTCGAGCATTCAAAAAATTAAACTTTATTTAAGATTATTTTTTGGAAAAAATTTTCAAAGTATAGATTCATAATTAGACATACTTATTAGAAAAATGTAAAAAGAATATTAAAAATACAATGATTGTTCAGAAATATTATACTTAAAATTTTAAACGCATTTTTCTCGAAATTATGTATCCAAAATCGGTATGCAAGATTATTTTTTGGAAAAAATTTTCGAGGTATAGATTTATAATTAGACATACTTATTAAAAATATATAAAAGAATATTAAAAATAGAATGATTGTTCAGAAATATTATACTTAAAATTTTAAACGCATTTTTCTCGAAATTATGTTTCCAAAATCGGTATGCAAGATTTTTCAGATTGTTAAATCGACTAGACTTCAAACTTTTCATATATTTTCAATATATATATATACATCAAATATATATATCTCGAACTGCACAAGAAAGAATTAAAATTAATACAATGGTGTTGGTAAAATAAAAGATGCATTTTTTTGTCAAAGAAACAACCTTTCACATAATGAAAAAGTACTAAATTTCAAAATTAAAAAGAAATTAAATGCATGGCGCTTTTTTTAATGATTTTCTTCTGTTTTTTGATAAATACTATGTTTGGATATCTTGATATTTTTCTAAATCTATTTTTGTGTAAAATAAGATTTTGGAAATACATATACAAGTTATTGTTTCTTACATGTTTTTTTATGAGGTCTTTTTAATTAAACATATTTTAGTTAAATATGTTCATAGGTTAAATGTATTCCAATTAATAAACATAAAATAAAAAAATGAGGACAATTAAGGACCAGAGTTACTTTGAGCTACACATAGAATGTTCTGCGTTGATTTTTGCACATTTTCTTTTGTATTACTGTTTATTTTGTCCTGCGTTTCTTTCTACTATATTTTATCTTTGTTTCAACATATTGTGTTTTCTAACTTTTCTTTCTTGAGACTATGGTAAATGTTTTCTTTCCACTTATTCCTCTTTCTCTTTCTTAACTTTTTTGAACATCTGTATTGTTCTGTAGTTTATAACTTCTATAGGTTTGAAATGTTCATTCTCTATTTAGTGTATTCTTATGTTTATAATAGCTGCGGCATTATTACAATTCTATAAGTTTGTAAATGTTTTTAATGCAATAGTAAACGGCATTTTAGTTTGGCAATTTGGAAAACTGCCATAGGTTCCAGAAATATAAAACTACAATGAAGATCAATCTCATGAAGTAGCAACATTCAATTCAGTTCAGTTTGATTAAAGCTATTTTCATTTGTTAATTGTTTTTATGACTTGCTTCAAATTTTAACTTTCATCTGTGGTATTTTACTTGCAATATTATCCTAACTTCTTTTCATATCATTTGTATCAATTATATTTATCATTGTATTATTTTATATTGATCATTGAAAAAGATTTCATTAAAGGACCGAAACGTACGTTTGGTTTTAACAAATATTGTATTATAAATTTTTCTCATATTATCAATCTGTAATTATGTAAATTCTTTATGCACCATTTTAATGCCTGCAATAATGTCTTTAATTGCCCTTTCTTTCTCATTCTATATTTCCTGATTAGAAGTTGAACGAATCTTCTACTAGAAATTTTAGTATTCTAGTTTTAAGATATTTTATTACATACAACTTTTCATGTTTTTACGTATATAACTAATCATAATCATTATTCAAAATAAAAAAACTGACAAATTAACAAAAATACAAAAGATTACCGGTACTAGTATGATATAATGAAGATTTCCTGTGGTGTGGAAGTGGTCCTCTAAGGTGAGTCGGTAACAGCCGTGGCGGTAGATAAGCTCTATTCATCCTAGCTTCTACCTCCATTACCAGTTCTTGGTTTATAACTACATGCATATTACCAACCAACGAAGAACGAAGTGCAGTGGACACAAAAAACATGCAAAACCAAAAAGAAAACTGAATAAAACAGTATATAAATGTTAAAAAAAGAAAATGAGGATTTAGATATAATAAAAAGGGATTATAACATAAATGTAAAAAAGCTTGCAAATTTAATCAAATAAATATTAAATTGAAAAACGCGGTATGATGTCTCGACGTTAAATATATATCATAATATTCGTATTGTGTATTACTATGTTCATATATTATATCAAAGCGAAAATAGCGATAGTTAAATAAAATATGAAAGCTTATAAATATTTATGTAAAATATGAGTGATACATTTTTTTATATTAAAGTGTATTATTATTTGTTTAAAAAATATATAAACAGCAAAACAATAAAATTATAGCAATATGCATTGAATATTAAAGCTTTTAGGTATTCGTTGCAGCTATCTTGATTTATGATGTCAGAAGCGAGAAAATATAGACGAGAAACTTCCTACAAAGTACGTCGAAATAAGAAAATATAAAAAAAATATAAAAAATAACAATCGACTAAGTATATTTACAAAATACTACTTTCCTTTTATTCTAATAATCAATCTGTGTCATGTTAATTTTACGGTAATTTATTGATTGTTAAAGCGAAAGGAAAGTATTCAGAGTATTTCATAAATGTGCTTAATTAATTGCAAGTCTCATTTTTTGAACATATTCCTTTATTTTAATGTACTTTGCAGAAGTTTTAAGCATACCTTTTCTCGCTTCTGATAAATTCATAAATCAAGATGGCCGCGACGTGTATCCACAAGCCTTAAATTAGCCAAAGCATGAAGTTTTTATATCACCGAAAACATTTAGAACAAAATATTAATATTAAAATGTTACACATTTACTGAGTCAAACCAAAATTACAGTTTATATCTTTAATTAAGGTACTTAATTAGCATAAAAATCGTTATATTTGATAATAAAAATTTGGAGTTTTTGCATATTCGACTGATACATACTATACTATGATGATAAAATTATCAATAAATAAAGTATTAAATATATTAAATATATAAAAGTGTAAATATTACATAAGAAGCACTTTACAAACATGTACATATATATATAAATCATGCGACTCTAATCATTAATCGCAGAAAAGAAAAGGACATAATTGGCATAATTCAAACATTGAATACGTTATACCTGGCCGCTGCATAACAGTGCTAAGACCAGTTCTTCTTCTTCTGTCGCTATTTCCACTATTACTGCTGCTATTGTTACTGTTTCCATCTCCACTCGCATTACTGACACCAACGCTTAATGACTGAGCACAACATTGTACTAGTCCTGAACTACCACTCTGTAACTATATATGTACTTTTTTAAACATTTCAAACATTTTTGATATATATATATATAGAGAGTGTTCTAAAAATTATATGTTATTTTCTAATAAATGACTCTAATAAATCACTAATAAATCAACTTGTATTTCCACTAAAGTTTAAAACTAATTTTATACTAAAATAAAGATTATTATTCATTATATATATATATAAAATAGATATATTTAAAAAATTATAATTATATCATTATAATCATATTCGTGATATATTTCATTTTTAAATAATTTCTTCATATTTTCTTATATTTCAATAATTTATAGTTTCGTGCTTTCTATATAGCACTTATATAAAATATTCAGTACTTTTCATATTAATACTCCGTAGCGTTCTTGTATCCGTTATTTTATGTTTATATATATAGGATATCTGATATGATATGTATGTCCACTTGTGTGTAGATAGAATTTATTAAATCAAATAAAAATAACTAACTAAATAACTAAATAAAAATAATTAAATAAATAACTAAATAAAAAGCTCCCTTACTATTTTGCAAACTATATAAATTTTCAAGTTATTAATTAAAGATAATTAGCGAATATATGCTCGTAATACTCTATAGGTAAAATCTTATCCAAGATATCTGAATCTGAATTGACAATTTCTTTGTAACAACATAATATTGAATAATAGAATTATGCATTACAACCCCTATATAAGGAATGTAAAAATAAAAATTATTAGTAGATGAGGATATGATTGATTTTAAATGATTTTCATAACTAAACAGCCTATATTCTCAACAAATATCAACGTAATACTTTTGAAAGGTCTCAATTGACAAAACACAAACATACATTCATATTTTGGAAACTTTAAGGATATTGATCCTTTTAACGAGAAAAGGTAAGTTAATTAAAACGTGTAATAGAATAAGCTTTGCAGGCATGATGACATTAAAAAGGTCTTCGACTTGCTAATTTCTTAGCCACGGAAGATATAAGCATGCTCTTCAGTTTCACATGCCATACTCGCATACTCTGTCTCATTGCCAGCTGATGTTTACCGTTATTTTTATTTTATATTAAGTGTGCAAACTAATCCGATACTTCTATGTTTGGCGCTTTATGTGAACTGAACATTAAACATAAAACATACTTGAAGAGACTGGCACATGTAAATAAAAACTATAAGCAAAGGAGAATAACATATAATATATGTGAAATTACGGTAGCAAAGACTATTATTCACTGTCAATATAATTCAATATAAAATTGCAAAAATTTAAAGTAATATATCTTAGGAACTATGTGTGATTCCCACGTGATTCAAAATATAGATGACTTAGAGAATTCCACTTTTCATAATATATATATATATCTATCATGATAAAAGTACTTTGTAATGTAATTCTTTGTGAATAATCCCCATATCTTTTTCTTTCAACGTATTTTGCAAACATTTTGAGCGTATATTTTTTTGCTCTAGCGTTATAAATTAAGAGATTTACGACAAAAGATCAAGAGTCTTGATATGTCATCTTTATTTGAATAAATAATAGGATTAAATTATCGACATAAGAATATATAGACAAAACTTTTGAGAAAAACAGCTGAGATTGCTAAGATGAAAAGGACTGAAGGCATTTCGGTTAGTTTCGTGACGTTCTTCAAATATATTCAGTTATCTTGTTTAAACATTATGTTGGTTTATATTTATATTATATTGATAAATATAATATTCTTAATAAACTAAAGTCATATTTTTGAAAATATTGTCATGTAGTAAAAAGAACCTGTCACATCTGCCCAATATCGATAATGCGAATAATATATTTTATCTATGTTCTACAAGACAAAATAAATATTTTTTATCATATTCACAGCAGTTTTGTATATTATTTATATCTGAAATATCATAAAACATGCAGTAGAATACAGTAATATATACAATTATATCCTGATGTTTATACCAATATTACTTTTTCCTAAATATATGTTACACGTTTACAAGGTAACTTAATATCCACGGAGTGGACTGTACTAAAAGCAGTTTTGAAAATAGTGCTCCATAAAATAGTGCTTAAATAATATTTAAATAAAAACAATTTAATGAATCGATAATGCAAAAAACTATATGTCTAACATAATTATAATATTTTCGAAATAGATATCGTACTGAATTTACACAAAACCTAAAACACTAATTCATAAATTTTTAATTATTTTCATTCAATAATTATTCACCTAATAACATTAATTGAATTTATTTATTTAATAACTGTTATTTAGCAATTATATAGAAGAAAAATTTTGCTTCTTTTGATACAGAGAGTTATATAGTACACTCCGTGTATATAAAATCTAGAACACCCTGTATATTCTGATATTAGTAGATAATAGAGATGTGCGAATCAAGAATTTTTATGTCGAATCGAATCTAATTTTTTAAATTCGAATTCGAATCGAATCTATAAAATTTCGTTCGAATTCGAATCGAATCGAATGAAATCGCATCGAATCATTAAAAAATTTAACATGACTATTAAACATACAAATAATGATGGAAGATTTTAATAAAAGGGAATATTGATATTGTACTAACATCTTTAAGTAAAACATATATTTAAATATTTAAAGTAATTTATAATTAAGTTATTAATTAAAAGTTATTAAGTTAAGCTAATTACAAGTTAAGAGTTCAAACATACAAGCCCAGATGGCCCGTTTTGTAGCTGATGCGCGCAAACCCTAATATATTTTTGATTCGTATTCGTATCTTCGCGATTCGAAATTTTCGAATTATTCGGATTCGAACCGAATCGAATTACATTAGATTTGATTTGATTCGATTTGAATTCGAATAGTTCGCACATCTTTAGTAGATAGAATTTCTATAATATACTTACAGATTGCAATTGTTCCCTGCTGCCAGGTTGACTCCAGCCGCTATCTTCATCGTTATTGGTATTATTACTATGTTGTTGATGAAATATGTGAAGGTTTGCCCCACCATCTGAAGCTCTTCTACCAAAACCTCCAGCTGTAAATATAGATGTAATAATGTAAAAAAATAATATGTACCAAAATACAATAAATTTTTTAATAACTTAATGTAGCGAATAAACAACATGTCAATATTTGCAAATTCGTGGTATTACATTTATATCAATTTTATAGAGAAAATTATAATTAATAATATAAAAAAATATTTTACATTAATTCAAGATTAAGATATAGATCAATTAACATTCAATTTATAATATAAACAAATTAATTTTGGATAGTTATAATGTTACAAGATCTAGACGCATAATTGTTTTTATTAATGAAATAACAAAACTAAGTTAAATTTCATTTTATATTTCTATCATCTTTGCTAACAAAATAATTATTTTTTATTAATAAGAATTATTTGTTAACAAAAATTTATTAGTTATTAAAAAAATTTAATTATTATAACTTTTTATATAAAAAGTAACTTACTGACACCCATTACAGGAGGTGGTTTCAATAAATGTTGATCTTTTATTTGGAAATTTTGAGGTGGTTGATGTTGAACTAATGGAAGATTCAATGGTAAATTCGTATGTGGTAAAACTTGCGGGTCCATGTTGCAATGAGGAATAGGAAGAGGCCGTAAAGTTTGATATCCTGACATGTGATTATAAGGATATGATGTAGGAGGCTGATGCGCTGCATCACCAGGTCCAACTGTGTGTCTTCTTGTTGTATGATACGGTGTTCCAGATGGCAAGTAAAGACTACTTCTTTCTTCCGTTTCTGCTTCAGTTTCGCCAAACTATACATACGTACATATATATATATATATATATTATACACACACACGCACACACATACACACATATATATACATACATATACACATGCGCATGTTTTATTTTAATTTTTCCATGTACGTATTTCCGAATCTAGTAGTTGTTAAAAATATGTTGAAGTTGAAAGTTATTTTGTTTCAAAGAAGTAACTTTAAAATGTCCGTTAATACAAAATTTTATTAGACGATTTCCAATTTCAAAAACACTATAATTTCTCGAACAAAACTATGCACTCTTGTTATATAAATCGATTCAATTGGTTATTTTGCATATAAAAATATTGAGGTACGATTATTGAAAAAATAAATATCTTTTAAGATATTCCAAATTATATAAATATTCTAAATTAAATAAATATCTTTTAAGATATTCCAAATTATATTGATAACTTTTGGTATAAAATATGAAAAGTTGCATTATCTAATAATCATCATAAAGTGAGATCATACAGGATGAAGATTTTATAAGAATATGAATATTCTTATAAAATCTTATCATATTTTATATTCAAAAGTATCAAGATAAAATATAAAATATTTCAGAAAATAATTTTTGGATGGTTTTATTCTAATATTTTTACATGCAGAATGATAAATAAAATCTATTCTAGAAAATAGAATATTCTAGAATGATAAATAAAATCTAATCTAGAAAAGCGCTTTAAAAAATTTTTTGTAACCTTAAAATATCAGACGCAACTTTATTTAAAAATAAATTTATGTTATAACTCTAAGATAATTTTTTTTTAAACAGAATAACTTTCACACCAAACAGTTTTTTTCAAGAACCAATAGTTTGAAAATCTAAAGTTATATTATTTTTCAATATATAAAAGATATAAAGTTCTACAAATGTAATCCATTATCAAATTTATATTCATTCTACTTCATAGGTTATTCGATGTACATTATGAAATAATGTAAAATTTAAATATTACAACAAATTTTATAACTAAAAAAAGTCGATTTATTTTTACTTGAAAAATATAAAACTTAGAAATTATATATAAAACTCATAGAAGTAAACAAAACTTGGTTATATTATGGTTATATTAAAACTTGATATTATATGACTGCTGTTAAATATTATTTAATATTTTCTTCCAAATATCTTTCTATAACTTTGATATTAAGCAACGATGTGAATTATTTGAATCATGTAAAACTGGTTGAAAAAATCAAATAGTTTTAGTCTATTTTATAGAATTTGTTTCTATATTTTGTAACTTTATTAGTATTTTCTAAAATTCTTCTAATTTTATGGGAGATTTTATCTATTATAATAATAAAAATACTACAATAGAAAAATATTAAAATCAGTGAACGAATCATAATGGGTTTAATTATGATATTCTTAGCCATAAAGGATTTTAAGCAGATAATTATATAAGATTTTACTAATTATATAATAATTTTGGAATTTAATGTCACGGAAAAGATAGCACAAGATAGGATTCTCTAATAATTTCAATGATTTATAAGTTTACAATGTTTAAATTACATAAACTGTGTAATAAACTGAAAAAAATGTACTTTATAATTATAACCATGATTGTTTGTTATGTCTCCTGTATATTTTCAAAACCAAACATGTTAATATATCAAAATATAGAAACAAATTCTATAAAATAGACTAAAACTATTTGATTTTTTCAACCAGTTTTACATGATTCAAATAATTCACATCGTTGCTTAATATCAAAGTTATAGAAAGATATTTGGAAGAAAATATTAAATAATATTTAACAGCAGTCATATAATATCAAGTTTTAATATAACCATAATATAACCAAGTTTTGTTTACTTCTATGAGTTTTATATATAATTTCTAAGTTTTATACTTTTCAAGTAAAAATAAATCGACTTTTTTTAGTTATAAAATTTGTTGTAATATTTAAATAGATACGTCTGTATATAATATAATCCTCGAATAATTTTAATACACTACTATACAATTTTATGCATAAATGTTATGCATAAAAAGAGAATAAACAAGATAACACGTATATGACAAAATATCTTGTTTAATATTATTTTGTTATATGCACTGAATAATAATAAATTATGAATTATCACATCCAAAAATTTTTGTAATCATCACTTTGCTTTCATTTCTTTATTTTAATCTAGGCATGCAAGAAGCATGAGTCAAAAGTACTTTTCTGTTTCTTCTCAAAAAGTAAAATAATTACCTTCTCCAATTGATGAGCACCATCTGGTAAATAATCACCTGGTATACTTTGAATACTAGGCAAATTAGGCATTGTTGGTTCCAATCGGTCAACTAGTAAGTTGTATATAGCTGACACATGATCAAAAGCATTTCCATTGATGGCTTGTAATAATGTATCTGCACTAAGTCCAGGTAATCTTAACATATTTTCTATTACTAATTGATTTAATTGTGGTGGTACGCTCACATCAAGATTGCATCTGAAAAGATACATTTTTTTATGATATAAAGCACAATAAGAGCAATTTGTGCTTAAATGCGTGCACGTGCATGTATATATGTACACGCATAATACACACCCTCCAGGTTCTAACTCCACTACTCCATCTTCACTCATCCATGTATGATCTAAGATTTGTGAAATACTTAAACGTCGCTCTGGTTCTACCACCAACATATGCCTAATTAACTTTTCACAATCTAAGGAAGACAGAAAAAATAAAAATTATTTATATTATATAGACTTTTATATGTATGTGTGTGAACACAAATATATATGGGAAGTGCCTGTGTGCTTGTATATATATATATATATATATATTTTTATGGTCCAGCATCTACATGTTACTTGTTATTGTTAAGAGGGTCATCAACGGACTTGAGACATTACAAATCAGACCTTAGCTACAAAGCTTGTCCTACCACTACTCAGCACTCATATGTTGATATTATTTAATTAATTTCTTAACTATCGTGAAATTTATAAAATGCTATAGAACTTTTTTGTCCATTTTGATACGATTTACCTGCCCACGAGCATTGTGTCAATCAGACATCCTATGCATATGTGTGTACATAACATACAACAGATGTAGGTATGTACATATGGATAGATAGAATATTTGATAATTAATGACACAACGTTTGTATATAAATAGTTCACATTGGATTAAACAGTAAAATTATCTGCTACTTTATAGATTTCGCAATAATTATTGAGGAATTAATTAATGAATTTGAAATAAAATTGGCAAATAAATCCATGGAAAGCAATGAAATAAGCTCTAGATAAATCTCTTCTAGTATGGCTCATATTTGACAATCTTCTGTATTTTTCCATTGCCCAGCTCACTGTTTACTACTGACAGATTAACAAATTCGAGCTATCTTCTATGAGCATATAGCATTGTGCATGTGTGCGCACATGCATATATTATATATAATGCACATACATACCTGCAGACATAAAATATGGTATTCTGAATTTTCCTGAGATAACTACAGATCGTAATAACTGCATTGTAGCTCCATCAAATGGTAGGGCACCACAAACCAATACATATAAGACAACACCAAGACTCTAAAATATTACAAAATATTATGTGTATATATTATATATTTTTAAATAAAATAAAATTTGAAATACACTAGACATCTTCTAAAATAAAAATACATGTTTTTTTTGTAAGAAAGTAATAACACATACCCATACATCAGCTCTTGGACCATCATAATGCTTTCCCTCAAAAATCTCAGGTGCAGCATATGGTGGTGAGCCACACCATGTACTGAGTGGAACACCAGGTGTATATTCATTACTAAATCCAAAGTCAGCAAGTTTTATATTATTGTCTGCATCAAGTAATAAGTTTTCAGCCTAAGAATATTAGAAAAAAGGAAAATAATTATATGTATATATATATATATTATGGAATATAACATTTGTTAATATAATTAATATAATTAAGATTAAGATATTAAATCTTAATATAACACAATGTGATTAAACCTTAAGATCTCGATGAACCACTCTCTGTTGATGTAGATAACGAACTGCAAGCACAATTTGACGAAAAATTCTACGTGCTTCTGGTTCTGGCATTCTACCATTTCGAACAAGATGATCGAATATTTCACCTCCAGGTGCATATTCTGTTACTAGATATATCATTTTTTCTGTTTCCATCACTTGATACAGTCGTATGATATGTGGATGTCGTAATCTTTTCATTATATGTACTTCACGAAAAATTTTTGCTAAGTTTTCTTCGTTTAATTTAGTTTTATCTATTATTTTTATAGCAACCTATAAATTATATAAAAATATTAATAACTACTCAAATATTTTAAAAATAAATATTTCTTAAAAATTTAAATACTTAAAAGTTTTTCACCTATAAACTATCATATAACATGTATGTGTTTGTCTATGTGATATACACATATCAAAGTTAACACAGAAGTAAATCTACTATTTAGTATTTTATTCAAACTATAAGCTTTTGTTAAATAGATATTATATTATGAAATCACTAGTTCTAATTAAAAATAAAATGACTTTGATATAATATGCAAAATATTCAATGGTAGAATATATATTTTAGAATTAATACTCAAAACTAGTTGTAACTTGCAATATTATGTTAGACAAAACAGTTGACTAAAATATATCTAAGATTATGAAGAATAGCAAGTTTTATATTTATATATTCATGAAAAATTTATATATCCATGTATATTATTATAAATATTTAAAATCTTTTGATTAACTGTTATTAATTATATAATTATTCTATTACACACATATAAAGACATACATATACACATAGATTATGCGTACTATATCATATTATGTCAGTCATATATACAATATAAACATATATATATATATATGTATATATATGTATATATGTATATACTTACATATGTATATATATACTTGCAAAGTCAACAATATTAGTATGTTAAATTACAGAAATAAATTATAATATTACATCAAATTATCTAATATTTTTCTATTATAAGATGTTTGAAAATATATATTTAATCATACACACACTCACACACACCACACCACACCACACACACACACACACACACACACACACACACACACACACACACACACACACACACACACACACACACATATTTGTATTTATATATATTCAATTATCTATATTATTGTTCATCAGTCTGTTCCCTAATATAACATATTTTAATGAAATACAGTAAAATTTAGATTAAGAATTAAAAATTTAAGTATATTATGTTATAAAAACCAATATATAAAATCAATAGAAAACATATTTCTGACACTATGTACAATGATAAACATGAAGTATAAAAAGATTTATACCATTTAATATTTCATTGCAATTGGTGATATTATTGTTCTTTGTTTTATTTAGAATATTTAATCCACAATTATTACTGAGAAAATTTGAGAAATTTATAATATGCATATTCTACATGTAACAGTAGTTGTTTTTAGTACTAATAGATTAACATATATTTTTTAGATTGCTAATTATTTCAGTATAGTCATAAAATATAATCGTATTAATGCATATTAAAAAAAATAATGTTGAAAAAAGTATTCTTATAACTATCTAAAAGATATTAACGACAAAATGACGGATTTCGTGTTTGCAACTGAAAGACCTTTACGGCGTTTCTTACCTTAGATTTTGTTACAACATGGGTGGCCATTTTAACTACGGCGAAATTTCCTTTGCCGATGGTTTTTTCCAACTCATAATAACCGACACGTATGAGTTTGTTGACAGAAAATTCCTGTGAAACTTCATTGTGCGACGTCGGCGCGGATGCCATTTTTTAATCACTTGTCTCACTCGTGCTCAACTCGTTGCCAATCGCAATACTGACTAGTATAACGTTATCACCGATAGAGGAGCTACAATCGCTTTCAAAAACTGCCATCTACTGGTGAAGCTCAATAACATTAAGGCCATATTCCACTACAGGTTGTGGGCGATTGAAGTAATTAATTAGCCGATCATACTACATGTTAAACAGTCAACTTATACGTGATCTTTTCTCATAACTTTATTAAATGATTTTACAAAAGACGAGTTAAAAATAGATTTAGTCTAAATTATAATTTGCAACCTGACCGACGAACTGCTTTGTTCTGATTGGTAGATTTCCAACATCCAACTGAAAAGCTTAAGCCAGCAGCACACGGTGCTTGTTTTCGTGCTGGATTGCTTGCTGGATGAAAATACTGCGTTCTGATTGGTGCATTTCCATCCATCTTCGGAAATGTACCAATCACAACGCAATATTTTCATCCAGCAAGCAATCCAGCACGAAAACAAGCACCGTGTGCCGCTGGCTTAAACAACTAGTAGTTGCCATTCTTTGCAACTCGCAACTGAGTATTTGCAACCTATTCTGGACCGGGCTTAACACTTACTATACCTATTGTAGACCGGACTTAAACAAACCCTGTTCATAGATGTCTGATTCGACAGACGCAAACATTTTTTAAATTCCCTAGTTTACTATGCTGTTGTCAAATATGGGCGAACTCTTATTGATTTAAGGTGAAATATGCGTATTGTAGGTGGCTGTTTGTCGGTGATCTTGTTCAACAATATTATCAAAGTGCTTGCTAAATGAATTAATTTGGTTTGTGATCCAGTGTGAGTGAATAATATATTTTTAAATGAGGAAATTAGATTATCAGGAAACATGGAAGGCCGAAGGATTAGAAGCTCAACTAGAAGCTGCCCGTGATGATCTCCGTGGTCTTGATCGGAGCATTCGTAAAATCTTAGGCCGAGATCTTCCTGATGGCGAAAATGGCCCATTACAACCACCTAGGTTAGATCTATTTTGACAGTGTTCTATTTATTTTATAAATGTGTATAAAAATAAAATTATTAGAAAAATTTAAAATATTGTATAATTATAATTGAAAATATTGCAAGTTTGTATTATATCTTGTATTATATATAATATCTTCTATTATAACCGAATGTTTTTATACCATATACATTATATGTATATATATACACGTGATATAAAATGTGTGTGTGTGTGTGTGTGTGTTGTGTGTTGGTGTTGTATGTGAATGTATACACATATATTGATTGCATGCATTTATTTATTTTGAATTTTATTTGTTTAATTTATTTATATTTGTTTTGAATTTTATTTGTATTAGTTGTATTACTTATGTATGTATTGTGTAACATGTAGCTTTGTAACAACTTATTTAGTATGATTAATTACTTTTAGAATATCTCAAAAACGACCACTACAAGAGGATCGTCGACGAATGGTGACAGAGGTTATGAATAATGAATTATCTGGTGGTAAACGACGTTGGCAAAGTTCCAATACTGAACCAAAAACAGTATTTAGCCGACTAAGTGCACGAGTTCCATCTAATGCAGATGACAGTGCTGATGAAGATGACAGTGTCATCAAGGTAAATTATTTATAAAAAAAATAGATAAGAAATAAATTCTGTTAATTAAAAATGATAAATCTAAAGTTTCTTAAATACAATTAAATAACAAAACTTCTTTTTTATAGATAGTATTAAAGTAGTCTTACTGTAAGAAAATTTTTAATATAAAGTTTATACAGTATAAAGTAATAGTTATTATGGGTTATTGAAATTTAGAATAATTTTTTATCTAGCTAAAATTGTCAATCATAATTTTGATTTATCTGAACTTTGTCAGTTACAATATGAGGAATTATTAACATTAATATAAGTAGTAAATATCATTGTTTAAAAAGACATAATAAATTTTAAATAATTATGAGTTCTAAAAAAAATATTAAAAAATATTTATATTTAAGCCTAGTTTATAAGTCTATAGATTATTATATATTTCTAGATTATTAGATAAAAGATCTAGATAAAAAATCATGATAAAAATTTAGATAAAAAATCATGATAAAAATCTAGATAAAAAATCATGATTTATTTTATTCTAAATTCATAGAAAAAATTACATGCTATATATATAAATAAAATTTTTAACAGGTTTTAATTATAATTATTTTTATTAAGTAAAATATACACATGTTCACATATGCACAAACATACATACACACACGTGCACACGTGCATATGTATATACAGAGTTTAATGTATTTAAGAAATTTATAATTGAAAGAAATTGTAATAGCTTATTACATATTTGGATAAGAAACTTTGTATCACTTATAAAGTTTGATATATATTTATACACATTATTCTGCCATTTATATAATTAAACATAATATGTTAATTTTCATCAGCCTGCTGTGTCATCTAGAGTAATAGCTACTCCTCGAGAAATTCCTTCACGTCAAGAAGTTATCAGACGAGAAAGAACAGATGAACGTAGTAGACAAAGAAATAAACGCATGTTTGGTGCACTTTTGGGTACTTTACAAAAGTTTAGACAAGAAGAAACTAAACTTAAAGCAAAGGTAAGACCTATTCAAATAAATTTGACTTGTCAAATTTTACTATATTTCTAATTTATAGGAAGATAAAAAAGCTGAAGTAGAAGCTAGAGTAGAAGAAGCTAAGAGAAGAGAGAAAGAAGAATTACGAAGGGAAAGACAACAATTGTTTTTGTCACGGAAACGACAGTTGGCTGAAGTACGAGCGTTAGAGATAAAACTTGCGCGAAGTCGGCAGTTTCAAGATTGGCGCAATGCACAATTATTTCTTGCCTCGTTTATAAAAACACGCGCACAACCTTCCATTTACTATGTACCAAAACGCAAGCATCCACAGACAGAGTTATTATTAGCACAATCCACAAAAGAACTCTACGGTTAGTATTTCCATATTTATTATTCTGAAATTATTGTTATTTGTTTACATGTTCTTGCACTCATTAGCTTTTTATCTTTCAGAGGAAATTGAAAAAAGAGAAAAGATATTGATTGAACAATTAAATTTAATTGAGGCCCAAATAGGATTAGGCAAACATTCACAGAATTTTGATGGATCTGCATCTTTAAATACTGTAGTACCTTCACGCTCTTTGGAAGATGGTGAAGAAAATCGAGATCCTAATCCAGAACATAGCATTGAAGCTACGACCGATAATAATGCTGCTGTTTCAACAATACAATCTATAATAAGTGAAACTTTTGATGACGATCAGGATATGGAGAAAAAAGATGAAGTACAACTCGACCAGGTCCAACAAGATAAAAAAAATGGCTAATATCCATTATAATAAAAAGAGTTGTACATACATTGTGCATTGAATGGTCCAAAACAAAATAATTTTCATAGTAGGTCCTTTGACAATTGTTTTAATTAATAATTAAAGGTAGCATTAAAAACACATTTTAAACTGTAATCTTACCATGTAAACTTGTAGTATAATCTTACAAAAAAAGGGGTCCCATTTCTCTATAAAATATCAAGATATTCCTGAACCTTTTACATATTAAGTGAGAAATAAGATTTGTATATATTTCTCTATTATTTTCATATCTTGGTAGAAATGTAACAGTAGTTATTATTTAAACTGAGAATAATGATATTTTATTATTATTATAATTGCTACTGTTACTGTTATTATTAACTTATCAGTTGATATTAATTTGAACAACTTTAACGATAAGAATTCAAGTTCGCAAGTTTGCTCACATTCTCATGTGTTCAAAAACATTTCTTATATATATATATAGAATTCAAAATTACAATAAATGAATTTAGGTATCTTGATGATAACTGAATATCTAATTACACCTTAAATTATTAATGTAGATTAGTCAAAATTTATATATACATCCTTTGTAAGTAACTGACACAATGTATTAGCCAGGCATTCAGTTTCTATTGATTATATTGATTTATCTTAATATCTATTATTCCAATCTTATTTTTCTTTTTATTGATCTCCAGTACTTATCATGCTCATGATATGTAACAATTTTTGCATAGATATATATACACATGTATAAATAAACGAGATATTAAAAAAAAATAGACTTGCAAGTCTTATATTATTATCTCATTGCCAGAAAGTCAGAGAAGCCTTTTATCGCAAAATATAAAATAAGTCTTCTATAATATAATAAATCGTTAGTCTTAAGCAAATTGACCAATCACAATCGATTATTCCAAAAAATAATCAATCGTGACTGGTCAATTTGCTTGTGACTCAAAACTAACGATTTGTTATAGAAGGCCCAAAAGGCTCGACTATAAATCGATATTGACAATCAACTTGTGACAACTTTTATGATCTTGGCCAATAGAACAATAGTTCTGGGTTACAATTGGAGAGGAAGAACTCTTTTTTTTATGATCAACTAGATTAGCAATCCAACGCGCATGCATCCGGCTTCGACAGAAATGACTTAAGCCAGCGGCATACGGTGCTTGTTTTCGTGCTGGATTGCTTGCTGGATGAAAATACTGCGTTCTGATTGGTATATTTTCGAAGATGGATGGAAATGCACCAATCAGAATGCAATATTTTCATCCAGCAAGCAATCCAGCACGAAAACAAGCACCGTGTGCCGCTGGCTTTAGGCCTGGTCTACAATACGTGTAAGTTGTAAGCCGTAAGAATTGACGAATCACAGTCGATTATTACAAAAATAATCGGCTATAATTGGTCAGTTCTTACGGCTTATAGCTTAGAACACCTATTATAGACCAGGCCTTATTGTAGATCAGACTGAATGCATACATAAAAATTACTATACCTTGTGGATGGAATAAAGAAATGGCATATGGGAATATCCACTTCCCCCAGATCCAGCTATAGAAAGAAAGAAAGAAAAAGTACCTATTGTGGATTGGGGTTTAATAGAGTTTAGTTGTTGGTATGGATGTGGTGCTCACGTGTATAAGCTTTACGCACACAAAGTGTTATCTCGCTGACATAAATGATATATATCTATCGTAAATATTGTTATACAGGTGTGATATATTGATATAGAAAAAGTTTACAATTACATCAAAATGCAATTCGTAAAATACTACAGTCTTGAGGCCTGACACGTGTCCTTTGCTCGCCCATAATGTAACAATATTGAAAATTAACAGTTTCTTCCCATATTAAGCAAATAATGGAAGAGAGAGCAATTTTATGGATGCTCTCCCTTGTTATGTTCGTTGGTTCTTGCTTGGCTGGATCATTGCCTCTAGTTATCACTTTGTCAGAAGTAAGATTATTTTTGCAAAAAATAAATTATATTTTACACGAAGTATTCTAAACATGTTAATATATTACTTAATTAGTGCTACTGTACAATATTTTCTTTAGGATAAATTACAATTAGTATCAGTATTAGGAGCAGGACTTCTTGTTGGTACTGCATTAGCTGTGATCATACCAGAGGGTATAAGAGCATTATTTAGTAGTGGAATTACCAGTGAAAGAGAGTTACATAGTATGTAATTTGTATGTTTGTTTATTAGAGTATTTATGATATATATATTTTTAAAACTATCTTTAAAACTATTTTTAAGAACAGTATTTCTAAAAAATTTTTTTACAGGTGATCTACATTCTTTAATTGGAATTAGCCTAGTATTAGGTTTTATATTTATGCTTTTGATTGATCAATGTTCAGCGAGAAGAAGTGGTGGAAGACAAAAAAGTGTTACAGCAACTTTAGGTCTTGTAGTACATGCAGCAGTTGATGGAGTTGCATTGGGAGCAGCAGCTACTACATCTCAAGCTGATGTTGAAATGATAGTTTTTCTGGCAATAATGTTGCATAAAGTAAATGTTTCAAACTTAACTTTTAAAAAATTTAATAAGAAAAAATTGCAATATTCCAATCAGATATATATTTTTTAATAGTGTCATTAAATATGTTGCTTTTTTGTAGGCTCCAGCTGCATTTGGACTTGTGTCATTTCTTCTTCATGAGGGTGTAGATAGGAAGAAGATATATAGACATTTATTAATTTTCTCTTTCGCAGCTCCATTTCTCGCTCTTGTAACATATTTTGGAATTGGAAAAGTAAGTATTCAAGATTTTTCAAATTATGTCTGGTATGTAATAGAAATTCATCATCAATTAATAATTAAATTTTGTGTTTACAGGAAGGAAAAGAAACACTGAGTAATGTCAATGCAACTGGCTTAGCTATGTTGTTTAGCGCTGGAACATTCCTTTATGTAGCTACTGTCCATGTTTTGCCAGAATTAATGACAAGAAATAATAGTTACTCGCATTTGCCAAGCATTGAGGGTACAAAGCTATCTACGACTGGTCTTAAAGTTCAAGAAATATTATTTTTAGTAATAGGGTCATTTTTACCTGCTTTGATTACAACTGGACATCATCATTGACTAAAATAAATATCTTGTAAAAAGTGCTTTTACTACATCTGTAATATGTATGAAAGTTATTACTAACTAAAAAAAAATTCATTTTTAATATATACTCTATATACATTAACAATTATTTATGTAATTCTAAAGAAAATATTTTAAAAGATTAATATATAAAATATTTTCTGCATTTTATGTAACAAATTTCATTTTTATAATCATGCTCATAATCTTTACGTTAGTAAAGAATAATATCAATTTTGTTTAATAAAAATCTGGTATTTTTTCATTACAGTTATAATTTTTCATTAATTATCCAGAATATCCTCTTTTGTAAAGTTATTTTCTCGTTACGGTTATCTTAATGATATTAAAATGTTCGAACATGTATCTAAAATTCTTGCAGAATACAAAACAAAACAATATGTCCATAAAATAACATTTGATCAATTGAGTATACTTACACAATATTCCAAAAATTTTCTACTTTAACAATCAATAATTAAGCGAAAAGTTAATGTAATAAAATCATGAGAAAAGATAGACATTAAAAAAGTTGTTTATCACATTAACGATTATTCATTGATCGTTGATTGTATTGATTTATTGATTGAGAACAAAAAAAATTTAGAATATTTCACAGATATGCTCAATCAAACACAAATGTCATTTTTGGGATACTTTTTATTACAATGTATTATGTAACATTTTTGGGCAACATGTTTAATCGCTTCTATCAAAGACAATTATAAAAATAAGACAGGGAATTATAAATATAACTATTATTTAAGGTTTTTGATAATATTAAGGAAAAGGAATATGTACAGAAATTATAAAAATATTTTTATTTTACATTACAAACTTTTTGTTCGATAATGTTATCAGATGAATTTGTTGCATATAAATAAAATTGAGTATTTGGTATACGAATACTTTATCAAATTTGTACAGAGGTAGGAAAGAATATATGGTAAATAAATCATTATATATTTCTTATGTTATGATACACAGACTAATATAATACCTTTAACATGTCATGTCATTAGATTATTGATTTTTTAATCACATATATTACCAACGTATTATTTATTGATTATTCAAATAAGAGCGAGAATGTGTTGAAATATTACATTACAACGATAAGTTTACATTAAAGGGAAGTTAAAAAAAATTTCTATAGTTGAAAAACACTAGTAACATAATTATATTAAATATTAAAGCTATTATGTCGATCTGTGTAACAATTGTATGTAACATATTATCCTCTACTCAACAACAGGAGCACTTAGTTGAAGAAGGAAAAAACAAATTATTAAATATATATATAATACATTTACTCGCGTTTCCCTCCTCACACACACGCATATTAAATGAACCTTACAATATTGTTGCAGCTAATAAAACATTATCTATATCGTTGTACATTATATGCGAATTTTTTATGACTATATATATTTTATCATATTTACAGCAATCAACAACTTATAAAATAATTGTTCTTATTATACCTTTCCTAGCATTATACTTTCTTGTATAAGACTAAATATATTTACTTTTTATAAGGGATGTTAAATATAAATTTTCTATTGAACAGAGAATTCATATAAGAGAACTCCAAAACTTATTTTCTATTTAACATATTGCGGGTACATATGCGCACGTGCGCATGTATGTATATGTGTGGTGTACATGATTATATTAGAATTATATTCTGAAATTTGTTTAAGTAGCATACAGATCCATATGAAATATAAAGTTCTATTGTATGCATTATATTATGCATATTTTTCTAAAATACAAGTTTAAAAAAGATATTTTTCTATTCTATAACTTTTAACATTATTTTGACTCATATTATTTTTCTGTACTATAGTTCTATAAGATTAACTTCCCTTGTTATTGTATTTAATATAGGAGATGCCACAACAGATGTTGTAAATGAACGTACATGAGATCTAAAACTAGAAGCAGGTTCCCAAGCTTCATCTCGTACAACGCCTTGATTTCTAGGATACATAAGTAATGGATCTTTGCCAGTTTTTTTGCATAATCTTTCTTGAAGTGTAATTAATTGAGATCTCCAATATCCATAACTTGCTTGTTTAAGTGCATTAATCCACTGTTCTACATGAGACTCTGACCGTCCACTTAGTACATGCCGTTTCTCATGATCATCATGGAACGAGATACTAAATGCAAATGCTCCTTCAGATGATGTATCTAAGTTAATGCTATAATTCTCCAAAATAATGACACCAGCAGGTTGTCTTCTATCAATATGTCCTAATTCATTGATATTGAAATAAAATAATAAATTGTATCTCAACTTAAACCATTTTTCTTTGAATACTGAAAATAAAATACAAGTTTTAATGTTATTATATGCACATATGTATGTGTGTGTGCGTGGCTTTATAATGATACGTCATAGAAACAAAATACACACACACATAATTATCCATTTCATCATTTAAAGTTTGATTTACAGAAGATCCTATTTTTTCAATTATTTATTTTTAATATTATAGAAAGTCATTTTCCAATCATTTGGTTTTTAAAAATTATTAATATTTCAAGGCTTCTGTTGAGGAAAAATTAACTCCAAATTTCTCAAAAAATTTTTTTGCAAAATTAAAGTTGCATGACTGATAATTATGTTTATATAAATATATATATATATATATATATATACATACATAATATATACAGGGTGTTAGAAAAGTCTGGAAACGGTCAGATATCTCGAAATGTTTCTGAGAAAAATGTTTTAAACCAAAGTTGTAGGGCTTTAAAAGCTCTATTGAATGATCATATCCGTTTGACCTTGAGTGGAGGGGTCAAGGCGAGGTCAAAGCCAACATGATCTTTTTAAATGGAACACTCCATTTTTTATCACACAGTGTGAAAGATGACAGCGAAACGTTTCCGAAACACTACTTGATGACCTATTTTTGTTGAGAATTGTCTGAGTTATGAGCTTTAGAATTTACCAGCACTGGCGGCTGGTGCCGCCAGCATTAGTATTATCCAGGATGTACCGCGTGGAGGTTGCATGGTCGGACTTTACACCCCTGTATGTGCGCGCGTGTGTGTGTGCGTGTGCGTGCGTGCGCGCGTGCGTGCGTGTGTGTGCGTGTGTGTGTGTCAGCAGAGATAAGGTTCGTCACTCCCGCAGTATTTAACTCTTTAACTGCTATCGAGATATTTTAACTGCGAGATACTTTAACTGCGGTCGAGTGTGGAAAAAAATGGCGGCTTTGCTACGATCGAGTTTACTCGATTTGGACTTTCAATGTGTAATACCTATTTAATTTAGTTTGTAAAAAGCATTTGAATTGAGCGGGAATATAATGCCATCTCTCACCATTATAAAATATTTTATAATTGCAAAAATAACTCAGCAAAAGGGTCATACTGGTCATTTAATATCTCAGCAGTTAAAGGGTTAAAACCCTCTCTGCTGTGTGTGTGTGTGCGTGTGTGCGTGCGTGTGCGTGCGCGCGCGCGTGCGTGTATATGTAAACGGGTTTTTACTGAATTAAATGTTCAAATTGTCTTCCGTCTGCTGCTTGACAATGACCTAATCGTAGATGAAATTCATTTAAAACGTTTCGTCTCATTTCTGGTGAGATAAAATTTACTCAGTGTAGTATGCGTTTCCTAAGGTCTGCCAAGTTAGCAGGTTTTGTTGCGTACACATTGTTTTTAACATACCCATAAAAATTAGTCCAATGGAAAAAGATCTGGTGATCCAGAGGGCCACTCTATTTCTCCACGTCTTCGTATCCATCGGGATTTGGGAAAGTATCAGTTAAAAATTGACGCACTACTACTGCATAGTCCTTATCTTTGCTGACACACACACACACACACACATACACACGCGCGCGCGCGCACACATACAGGGGTGTAAAGTCCGACCACGCAACCTTCACGCGGTATATCCTGGATAATACTAATGCTGGCGGCACCGTAAATTCTAAAGCTCATAACAAGCTCAGACAATTCTCAACAAAAATAGGTCATCAAGTAGTGTTTTGGAAACGTCTCGCTGTCATCTTTCACACTGTGTGATAAAAAATGGGGTGTTCTATTTAAAAAGATCATGTTAGCCTTGACCTCACCTTGACCCCTTCACTCAAGGATATGATCATTCAATAGAACTTTTAAAACCCTACAACGTTGGTTGGAAATATTTTTTTCAGAAACGTTTCATTTTCGAGATATTTGACCGCTTCCAGATTTTTCTAACACCCTGTATATATACACTGCTCAAAAGAATTATAGCATAGATAATTTATTGCCGAAAATTGGCCAACTTTGACTGGCGATTACTTCGTGAAAAATTATTGTAAACTAATAATTTTTGTTTCAAAATGAAGCTTGAAGTCTCTACTTTAAGAATGTATCTCCATTTTTTGCATGCGATGCACCCCTACCCCTGTAACCCCTGACATCTGAGGGCATGTTTGGTATATTGAAAATTGCAAAGTTTGACGGAATGCATGGACGTGGACAATTTTTTCTCGGGGATTTGCATCGTCATGAAGTTCAAATCTTCCCCTTCAATTAAAAAAAAAAAATAGAGTCGCTACAATTTTTTTCGCAAAGTTACAGCCCTTCAAAAATATTGTTTTTGGCCTTCGGGCCAAGTGTGCACGCATATGTGTGTATGTCCGTGACAGAAGAGATAAGGACCCTGTGGTTCGTCATTTCTACATTAATTATTGACTGTGGAAGTGACGAACCACGGGGTCCTTATCTCTTCTGTCATGGACACACATACACATGCATGCACACTTGGCTCGAAGGCCAAAAACAACGATATTTTTTAAGGATTGTACCTTTGCAAAAAAAACTTGTAGCGATTCTATTTTTTTTTTAATTGAAGGGGAAGATTTGAACTTTATGATAATGTAAACGGCATCCCCGAAAGAAAATTGTCCACGTCCATGCATTCCGTCAAACTTTGCAATTTTCAGTATACCAAACATGTCCTCAGATGTCAGGGGTTACAGGAGTAGAGGTGCATTGCATGAAAAAATGGATACATTCTTAAAATAGAAACTCCAAGTTTCGTTTTGAAAAAAAAAATCATTAGTCTACAATAATTTTTCACGAAGTAATCGCCAGTCAAATTTGGTCAATTTTCTATAATAAATAATTGGCAATAAATTATCTATACCATAATTCTTTTGAGCAGTATATATATATATATATATTTATATGTAGATTGCACTACAAACATATAAGATATTCCAGTTTTTGCAACTATAATTTTATCAAGATATTCCTTCAGAAATTTAAAAACAATTTTTTCTTAACAAAAAAGTGGAGACATCAGTAATATCTAGGATATAAACTATAAATAAAAAACATGGAAATTTTGCAAGCTAAGTTTCAAATAATCAAATGGATAACAAAATTATTTTGTTTAATTTATTTCAATTGGACTTTATTTGAACAGAATTTTACTTTGGGTTCTAATTACAAAAATATGTTAGGTCAAAATTGAAAAGCTGTCATAAGAAACTGTCTAACATTTTCAATGAAGAAAATTAACTCTAAATTGCTCAGAAAACATGTCAATAAAATTGAAGGTATAAGAAATGAGATATCTTGTATAAAATGTTGATTTTGTAATTTATATAATAATTTTGATACATGCATATGAAAAACATGATAATTATGAAATATCTTTTTAATAAAACAATAAATATAACAAGCAATTGATGAAAGAATTCATTTACAAATAAACTGAATGCATTACATAATAAATAATGGATAACAAGTTAAATAATTTTGCTGTGTTACATAAAGCATGCTTAATTATATTTAATTTAAACTAACCTGATTTATGGGCCTGTTTATGATTTAGACGTCCTTCAAAATCTGCAGGGCCAAAACTTGTTTCTGCGAGCTCTTTATCGTTAAATCTCATTTTGGTTCAAAATTCAACAATGCAATTAACGCATCAGTTTAACATACTGCAATAATGCTATCATATGTTATTCACATTTGTATCTTTAATCATATTAATTAATTTAAATTTATGATAAATTAATGTGGATTAATCAATATAACTATCAAATGTCATTATTAACTTACATTAATTAATAATCGTGAGCATTGAAACAATGGTTGAAATATAGTAGATCTTAATATATGTTTAAGGGTTTTAACCAAAATCTTGATGAAGAAATTTAATTAATTAACAAACAATTAGTTTTCGTGTATGGAAAAAATTCTGAAGGTTAAAACTGCTACTATCAACAGAAAGTTTTTCAGATAAAGATAAAATTAAGGTTAGTAAATCTGTCATACCGATGAACTGCAATATTACAGGCATAGGGTGTGTATCTATTCGAGCACGATTAGATACAAAGTAAATGATTGGTTGGATCTAGTAATTCACCAAATAATACTTTGCATCGGTTGGTTGTGTCCAATCATGCTGTGTCGAATTGGATGCTTCTCGCAGGTATAGGGTCAGAGCACAGACTTCTGCATAACGCATAATACATAACGCATAAAAGAATCAACCAATCAGAGTTCTTCATTTCTATCCTGAGGAGGGAAATGAAGAAAACTAATTGGTTGATTCTCTTATGCGTTATATATTATGTGTTATGCAAAAGCCTATGCTGTTGCCCATACAATGGCCGCGTTCAGCAGAAAAAGCTGCTTACTAAGCGCTTAGTGATCATTATCTATGATTGGAGTATTCTTTTAGATCTTTAATCCAGGGGAATGAACCAATCAGAAACGATAATCACTAAGCGCTTAGTAAGCAGCTTTTTCTGCTGAATGCGGCCAATGGCTGCGTTCAGCAGAACAAAGTGATCAGTGAACACTTAGGCCCAGTTCCACAACTTGCTTTAAACTCCGTTTAAAGCAAGTTGTGCACTGTGTTCAGAAGAACAAACAAAATGATCAGTGAGCGCTTAGTGCTTGCTTAGTGCCTTAGTGATTATTGTCTGTGACTGGAGTATTCTTTTAGATTTTTCATAGACCCAGAAGTATTTACCAATCAGAAGTGAGAATCATTAAGCGCTTACTGATCATTTTGTTTGTTCTTCTGAACGCAGTGTAACATCACTCCATATTAAAATTCCCTATCTTCTCAACAAAACTCACTATACCTTTTCCTATCCAATCAAATCCTTACTTAGCATCGATTAATCTAACTGCAGTGCCTCCTACAAACACCTCTGCAATCAACAAGTACCTCTGCCGTCTTTTATTGTTAATATAATATAATAACATTACTATTCGAAACTGTTCACTGAATTATCATCTATATTTTTCTCTCTCTCTTTCTCTCTCTTCCTTCTACTTTCTCGCTTCGTTAAGTAAGCGATAGATTACTAAATAATTGAATAATTGAAATAAAAATGAGATTAAATAGCATACCTTGAAATAAAATTAACATTAACATAGGACTGAAGCAGCCATCAACATAATAAATATATAAAAAATATAAAACTATATATATATAAAATATATATATAAAAAATATAAAAATATATAAAACAAGAAAGGAGAGAATAAAACAATTTAAGGAACAAATTTAGAGCTAGCTTATAGATTCATTTGTCTCGGAGACTAAAGGCCCATCTACAATGGCTGCAAGAATAAGGTTATAAGCGTAAGCAGTAAGAAATGGACCAACCATAATCGATTATTCTTATAATAATCGATTGTGGTTGATGACAATTACATCTTATTTTTCAGGTACTTACCCCTTTAATTTACTCAACAAATTAACTCTGTTAAACGAACGATCTGTATCAATTTTTCTTTTCTTATCAAGAAATGAGAGAATAAATCACAATCGAAAATCGAACACCGAACAATACCTAATTTTTTCATCAAATTAACGCGGATTAATGAACGATTCGTATTAATTTTCTGTTTTCTTATAGAGAAATAAAAGAGTAAATCAGTATCGAAAATCGAATATCGATTAATACCATAAATCAGTGTCAAAAAATTGCACACGTGCAATGACAATTTGTTCTCATTTTTCAGGTACTTACCCCTCTAATCTTATTCAACAAATTAACTCGGATAAACGAACGATTCGTATCAATTTTTTTGTCTTATAAAAAAATGAGAAAATAAATCAGTACCGAAAACCGAAGACTGATCAATACCATAAATCAATGTCAAGAAAATTGTCCAAGTGCAATGACAAGTTGTTTTCATCTTGCAGGTACTTACCCCACTAATTTACTCAACAAATTAAATCGGATAAAGGAAAGATTCGTATCAATTTTTATTCTCTTATAAAGAAATTAGAGAATTAGTCAGTACCGAAAATTGAAGGCCGATCAATATTTAATTTATTCATCAAATTAACGCGGATAAATGAATGATTCGTATGAATTTCTTGTTCTTATAGAGAAATGAAAGAGTAAATCAGTATCGAAAATCGAATATCGATCAATACCGTAAATCAGTGTCAGAAGATTGTCCAAGTGCAATGACAATTCGTTCTCATTTTTCAGGTATTTATCCTTCTAATTTACTCAACAAATTAACTCGAATAAACAAATGATTCGTATCAATTTTTCTTGTTTTATAAAGAAATGAGAGAATAAATCAGTACCGAAAATTGAAGACCAATCAATATTTAATTTATTCATCAAATTAACGCGGATAAATGAACGAGTCGTATCAACTTTTTTTCTTGTAGAAAAATGAAAGAGTAAATCAGTACCGAAAATCGAATATCGATCAATACCAGAAATCAGTGTCAGAAGATTGTCCAAGTGCAATGACAATTCGTTCTCATTTTTCAGGTACTTACCCCTGTAATTTATTCAACAAATTAACTCCGATATATAAACGAACGATTCGTATTAATTTTTTCTTCTTTTATAGAGAAATGAGAAAGTAAATCAGTACCGGAAATCGAATATCGATTAATATCGTAAATCAAAATTTATATTGCTGTTTAATTCCATCGTCGCAAAAGATTTGACGTTTTTTCTATCCTAGTCCTAACTTGTAGAAAATTTGGTACTCATCTCTATTTGTCAAAAGTACGTCGGACTTTCTGTACTAACTAATATAAAAAATTTTTTTTCATTCTTATTTTTTCTACGTCTAATATTTTAATACCGAATCTGTCGAAATGAATCGATCTGCAGAAATCCCGGCAAGACGTTTTTCTCTCTTTCTCGCTCTCCTCTCTCTCTTCGTCTCCGAATCGCCGCTAACGATCGAAAACCGCAAGCGGAAAGTAACGAAAATTGATTCATCCAACTAAAACGTTCTCCGTGTTATTTTTTAAGCGTTGGATAAATACCGATCCGGCGTTTTCTCAAATATCTGACAAAAGTATCTCCGTTTTTTTCTTGCCGACATTCAAATCGATAGTTTTCTACAAGTTAGGATTTGATAAAAAAAAGTTTTTCCCGAGTCGAAATATTAATTCTACATTGATCCTGCAAATTGCATCCAATTTGAAAAATCAATGCAGAATATCTAGATGCGCAATAGTGAACAAGCTTTGTCCTACCTGAACGTTACATCTGGCTACTCTCGCAGTCTCGCCCATGATGAGTCTTCAACAGCGACGTATTCAGCAATTATTTAATGCTCGTTTATCTCGATAATGTATATGTACTTAATCCTTATATTCTTAATTTAAATGAGCAATTTTTGTTCATGTTGATTATATATTCGCTTAACAGCGCAAGAAGAGAACAAAGATAAAAACGTAAATAGAACTGCCTTTGTTAGAACTGCGCGTGAGATAAATATATAAGGATTAAATAATCATATAAAAATTAGAGGAAATGGGAGATGAAAAACACTTTTCATTCTCATCATTCTTAAAGTTCTTTTTTTCCTTTTTTCTTCTCTTTTTATTTTCTTTTCTTTTTTCTAATGAGAATGATGATAATTGTAGCTCTCAAAAGAGTTGAAGCTACAAAGGCAAAAACAACGGTTATGTCTAATAATGCTGTTTCACTAATAGAGATTTTAATTCAAATTCAGTACAATAAGAAAGACAAACAAGAATGAGAAACAGACATTCTAACAGATTCTAAACGAAAACAGCAATCTGAGCATTATTAGACGAATAAAAATCAACACTTGTAAAATTTATATCAAATTCTAAGATCATTATTCGTAGTTTTCTAAATTATGTGCAATTTTTCATTGAGAACATAATTACAAATTTGTATTCATAAACCTTAGCTTGTCTCAGCAACCTTGCTTGAATAGACATTCATATTTTATGAGAAAAGAAAAGTAGAACTCATGTTACGTGAAATTAGGTTAACGAATAATCAAATCTCAAGCTATTTTATCATTTTTCAAATGATAAACTATGAATGCTGATTTAATTTCGACTCGGGTATGTCCTTACTTCGAGTAAGGTCCGTTAAAATCAGAAAAATAATAATGCGTAATAATAATAACTCAAGCTACCTCGAATACCATACATGATGTATCGCTGTCCTCAGCTACGTCTCTCAGCGCGCTCCAAGTCTTCTCTCCATCCTGACTTCTCGATCCGACGTCCTCCTTCTGGTTACTCCGTCGCAACACCCCCGGATACTCCATCGTAGCACTGGCGACGACACTGACTCTAGTGTAAGATATTAAAGAGATATCGTCTATATCTTTATTCTTATTTCCTCTTTCAATCTCTCTTCTTCTGGATCCTCCTCCTTAGATAGAAAAAGGGGATGTTCAGGATGTAAAGGTTCCGAGCGATTAATGTGAAACTCTTCTTATAGTGAACAAGAATATAAGTATATATATATTTTTAAAAACACAAATACAATAGTACCCGATACCGCGTTTTATACTAAATATATCTCTCTACGAAGCTTAACTATCTACGACTTATTTTTTCGATCCGACTTTATCTTTTTTATCCGTCTCAACGTTCTATGGCCAAAAAGCCCTGCCTCCACTCGTTCGTCTCGTTTTATCTTCTTTTTCTATCCGCCGAATCTGATCTCTTAGGACCGGCCTTTCTCCCGTGGCTCCCCCTGAATAGACTGGTGCTGTCCTCCCTCGTCTGTATCTTATAGCTCGGCCATTCTGCTTCAGCTACGTCCCGCGGCTGGTGCTGACCAAGCTTAAATAAGGGCGGATAACTGTGCGTCTGCCCTTCTCCGCCTACGTCGCTCGCGAGTTCCTTAATCTACGGGTTATCATACGCTTATTTCGCTCGCTCATTCGTTAACAATGAATTGCCGTCCGAAATTTTAATCCACGGCTTAATTTTATCTACTGACAAAATAGTATCTAACGGCCGTGCTC